CTATGTTCTGGCCTTGGACACAAATCTGGTGTCAGTTCCATCCCTCACATCTAGAGGTCTCCAGGTGACATTTGAAGGAAATGTCTGCAAGGTGCTTTCAGGAAACAAGGTTGCAGCAGTTGCAGAGAAACACAAGTCATTGTATGTCCTGGACACAACAGTGGTCTCAGGCAGTCACTCTGCTTATATAGTCAGTGACCCAGGAAGACTTGATGTGTCAAAACCACTTACAGCCCTTGTGAGCTGTGTTGCCACATCAAAGGCATCTCTCACCACCTGGCACTGCTGCCTTGGACATTCAAACATCAGGAACATACTGAAATTGCTGGATAAGGATATGGTTGCTGGGATGGAGATAGTGGGACCTCACAGTCATGAGACCCATAGCTGCAAGGGTTGTCTCAAAGGGAAGTAACATTGGAATCCTATACCACAAAGGTCAGATGTGGAGAACCCAAAGGTTCTGCATCAGACATACTCAGATGTCTGTGGTTTGATGGAAACTCTTGCACATACCAGACACAGGTACTTCATAACTTTCATTGATGGGAGGTCACACCATCTTGTGGTCAAACTACTGAAGTCAAAGGACAAGGTCCTCAGAATGACCAAAGAATACTTTGCATGAGCTGAAGCCAAAACCAGGGAGAAGGCAAACTACCTTCAGACAGATGGTGGAGGCAAGTATTGCTCATGAGAGTTTGATGCCTACTTGAAGTCAAAAGGAGTGCATCATGAAAAAACCAATGCATACACACCTCAGGAAAATGGAGTGTCAGAGTGCATGAACTGTACCTTGGTCAAATGTGTGAGGGCTGTGCTAAGTGATGCTGGACTCCCCAACAAGTATTGGGGAGATGCTATACTACATGTGACCCATATTCTGAACTGACTGCCTACATGAGCTATCCAACAGCAAGTAACTCCATATGAGGCCTACACTGGAAATAAACCACCCATCTCCCATTTGTGGGTCTTTGGATGTGTCACCCATGTTCATGTTCCAGAGGAAAAATGTCAGAAACTTGATGCAAAATCACTTGAATGTACTCACCTTGGGTTCATGGAAAATCACAAGGCTTATGTGTGCCTGCACCAAGCAAGCAGTCAAATCATCAAGTCTCAGGATGTTGTATTTAATGAGGGTGACAGTGAACAGCCTACTCATGTCACATTTGGTTGGAGTGAGCTGGTAGCAAAGGAAATGGTGCAGTCAGTTGCAAACATGCAGATGACTGGTGGGCAAGTGCAACTTACCACACAGGAGGATGAGGGAGGCTCAGATGAGGTGGGGGAAGTGATGGATCAACCCCAAGTTGAGTCTACAGGTCCAGCATGGCAGTCTGATGCCACAGGGAGCCAGGGAGGTGCTTCAATGGGTCATGATCAAGGGCAATCAATGCTCAAGTCCACAGAGGCTGAAAATGAGCCAAGTCAGGCAGATGAGCAAAGTTCTGGGGTAGAAATGCCTAGAACTCACCCAGAAACCTTCCAGAGGGTGAATCAAACAATGGCAAGACATCCTACAATGTCCAGAGGTCCTCCAGTGCCATATCCACAGCCAGTACCACCTGCTGAGGTCTCTAGGGCCAGAAAGGCTCCAGTTCAAGATAACAACCCAATATATTTTGTCAATGCTTACCAGAGGTTGATGTTGACAAGGGAAAAGCATCAGTAGACCACTTTGTGAGCTGGTAGTCCTAGGGAATCTGTCCAGTGCTGGACAGCTCTGGACAGCTCTGGACAGCAAAAGTGATTTACTGATGAGGGCCAGGGGAATGCAGAGAGAGATGATGGAAGGGCAGAGGTTCATGGTGGGGGTGTGGCTGAGCATGAGGTTGAGGTGTGGCAGTCAGGCAAAAGTGCTGACTCAAATCAACAAGACCACACAGCTTACCAAGCAAGTTCTGCATGTGATGGTGAGCCTACAATGTTCAAGGACACTGTAAATTGCCCTGATGGCAATCATTGGTATGCAGCAATGGTAGACAAGCTGAATATGTTTCAGAAGCTCAGGCTGTATGAGGAGGTTGAACAGCCCTCAGATCAAAAGATCAGTGATTCAAAATGGGTATACAAAGTAAAGTGAGGACTGACAGGTGACATCGAGAAGTACAAGGCATGTCTCATCACTAGGGGGTTCACTCAAGTTCACAGAGTGGACTATACTTGATACATTTGCCCCCATTGCAAAGTTCACTACTATTCAAATCTTGCTCACTCTTGCAGCCAAGTATGACCTCAAGTTACACCAAATGGATGTCAAGTCAGCCTTCCTGAATGGAAAACTGGACAAAGAAGTCTTCCTTTGACCTCCTCCCAGGTTCCATGCATCTGCAGATGTAGTTTGGCACCTTCACCATGCTCTTTATGGCCTAAAACAAGCTCCAAAGGCTTGGTATACCTGCTTGAGGGAAGTTTTTGAAGCCCTAGGCTTTGTGTGCAGTGATGCAGACCACAGTTTGTTCTACAAATTCAAAAGTGGAGTTCTGATTGTAGTCGCTGTCTATGTGGATGATAAACTCATCTTGTCAAAGAGCTGTGATGCTATTGACCAGCTCAAGACTCAGCTCTCCTCAGAGTATGACCTATCAGATTTGGGCAAGGCACAATGGATCTTAGGAATGGAGATCATCCAAGACTGTGATAAAGGAGAAATTGAGCTCTCACAGGAAAGATATGTCAAGTCTATACTCTGGCACTTTGGGTTGCAGGATATGTGCCCTGTGGGTACACCTATTGAACCCAGTCTCAAACTCAAGAAACTTGATCAGGCCAAGTCAGATGTTGCACACTATCAGAGTGCTCTCAGAGCCCTGATGTATGCTATGTTGGCTACTCACCCTAATCTTGCCTATGCAGTGGGCATCCATAGTAGGCATGCAGTGACTCCAGGTGAGTGCCACTGGGTGGCCCTCAAAAGAGTCTACCACTACCTTCAAGGGACCACTACCTTGCATCTCCACCATTCTGCAGCATCAGGACCCACTCCAGCTGGGTATGCTGATGCAGACTGGGCATCTGATGTAAATGATCAACATTCTATCACTGGCTATGCTTTCATCCTATGTGGTGGTGCAGTGAGCTGGTCATTGAAGAAGCAAACCTCTGTTGCCCTTTTGAGCACTGAGGCCAAGTATATGGCTGTTTTGGCAGCTGCAAAAGAAGCTATTTGGATCTGCACACTGCTTGGTGAGATAGACATGGCTGCATGAGTTGACCCCACCCCTCTCCATGTTGACAATCAATCAGCAATTTTGTTGGCAAAAAATGCAATGTTTCATGACTGTACAAAACACATTTCCATTCACCATCACTTCATTCAAGAGAAGATTGAGTCAGGGGACATCTCTGTGGTGTACTTGCCTACAAATGAGCAGCTGGCAGACATCTTAACCAAAGGACTCTCTAGAGATAAGCACATTCATTTTTCTATTGGCTTAGGTGTTACTTGTTGAGATATTCACCATTGAGTGGGTGTGTTGATGCACATTAATTATATTTCTTACACCAGTAATATCTTACATAAGCACAGTCATTTTGGCACATTGTTTTTCCTTCATGCACCTCAGTCTTCTCCCAATAGAAGCCTGAGTATCTTCTCTCATTAGTCTGCCACTACTTGGAAACACCCCTTCAGAAGACATCTCTCTTCTCCCCCTTTGACAGATAAGTGGGTGGATCTTCTTGGCTCTATGTTGGTGGCTTGGTGATGAGGTCAGTTACAAGCATGTGGGGCTCATAACCTGTTAGGAACAATGTGTGTGCAGAGACTGACATGGGAACCACCAGGGACAAGTGTGGATATGGATATGTGCATGGATGGCAGGCTTAGAACTCAATATGCTCAGGCAGGGATGCAGGTCAACAAGGTGATGTTCTTGTCTCATAGGGATTCATTCCCCTGTGGTAGCTACCTTATATCTATGTTGTGCATTTGACATCTCATCTGTTGGGGCATGTCCACCCCTGCTCCCACCTTTGTATTTTTCTTTACTTGCCCCCTTCTTGGGGTTATGACATATATCCCATGCCCCTTGCACATTGTTACTTCCTTATTTGGGTGTGACAGTGGATTGGTGTTCCTACACCTTTACATTTTGTCCTAGTATACATTTTATTTTATACTTGTGCACAGCACATCAGTAAATCACTTTTGCTGGCCAAAGCTGTCCAGAGCTGTGCAGAACTGGACAGATTCCCTAGGACTACCAGCTCACAAAGTGGTCTACTGATGCAGGTATTGTAGGTATCATGGGCACACAAAGCATGTCAGACCCCATGTTTCTGTCCAAAACATTTGCAACTAGCTTTCAAGTGTAAGCAACCAATATTCATTTCGTTGCGATGTCGAAGGCTATACAATGTGCAACACGAGCCAAAATTGAATGGGGGGGAACAGCACTGATGACAGGTTATAGCTAACCATATGAATGAACATTACAAGAGAAAAACTTGTGATTGCAACTAGGTGAATGACATTGCTCGATGTCCTCATCAGGAAATTAACACTTTACTATTTTTGACCTTTTTGTGACTTTTTTTTGACATTTTTGTGACTATTGTGACTATTTGTGACTTTTTGGGAAGGGACCTACTATCTGTACTTTTTTTTGACCATATACAGCATTTTGAAGAATGAAAAGAGAACAGAATCTATTGAGACAACTAAGTGATGATATATCTAAGCCAAGAAGACTAGAAAATGTCTGAAAATTCAGAGATATTGAGCCATTGGTGTGATGCACACTGTCTGAGAGAAAAATCACAATATCTCTTTGGAACCTCCATCAATTTGAATGTATGTGGTATCTACTCAAAGCTATGAATTAGGTGGTTTGAACAAGACCAAAATCAGCAAGAAAAGTGGAGCCATCCCTGCAGGACATGGGTAATAATAGTAGATTCCTTCCCAAAGAGTCACATTAGTCACAAACAGCCAAAAATAGTAAAGTGTTATTTTCCTGATGTTATCTCCATCACCCTATCGTCGTATCCTCGAATATGAATCGGGATGGACAAGCACTTCAAAGAAACTCTTCTGGAGAACAACTTCCCCGTTATCCTCGCCGTCCTCAGTATCTAGTACAACGACTTCTACGGCGCTCAAACTCATGTCCTTCCCCCTTACGACCAGGACTTGCGCAAGTTCACCGATTACTTCCAACAAGGCGATATAGAGTCCAACGGTATATCGGTCACCAAGTCCGGCAAGTGGTCGATTATCAGACTGGAGTATGTACTTATTCTTCATTTTCTTCGTGATCGGCTCACAGCTGATGTCCCTCCCGTCTCTTTAATAGCCCATCATTTGGGGTACGGCGGGTACGAACGGCCAACACCCGTTCTACCAACTCCTATATCAAGGAACAAAACTCGTCCCTGCAGACTTCCTTACTCCCTGAGCGTTCCACAACCCTATTGACCATTCTAAACACCACCGTACCCTGCTCTCCAACTATTTTGCGCAACTCGAGGCGCTGGCGTTTGGCAAGACCGAAGAAGAGGTTCGTAAAGAGCTCGGCCCCAATGTGAGGGAGTAGGTCGTGAAGAGTAAAGTGTTCGAGAGGAACCGCCCGAGCGACGGTATTTTGTTCCCGTTGTTGACGCCGAGAACGCTCGGCGCGTTGATTGTGCCGAGCGAACATAAGATCTTCACGCGGGGCGTTATCTGGGGTATCAACTCCTTCGGTGCGTATCTCGTGTCTATCGTTGATGATGTTGGTCGTTGACCGATCTGTATCACCACTACCAGATCAAATGGGTGTTGAACTTGGCAAGGTCCTCGCGAAGAACATCTTAGCGCAGTTGAATGCGCCACGTGATGCCAAAGGCCACGATAGTTCTGTGCGTCCTGCCATCCTCTTCTTCTCGATAGATGTTTGACGTGTGTGTTGGATGAACCACAGATCTCATCCATTACTATCGGAAACACAGGAAGGAGTGAATACGAGCGTGTCTCCGAGCGAGCGGTATCAAAACAAATTATTCGTTGTACTATGAGCTCAGACTGTAGACTTTTGGTAAACCTGTTCCCAGCCACACCTTTGGTACTTATTCAAGATGGTTATGACATTTCACGATGATTGAGCTGGCGAGCCTGTGCGTGTGAGTTTGGGATGAACGAAAGCCTCGAGTTCAAGAATCTGGATCTAGCCTCGTGCGGTTTACAGCAATGGGTTGAAGCAGGGCCATTCAATTGACTATGAGGAGGCGGCCAAGTTCTTGAGAAACAAATCATAGATGGGTGCTCACGTTCAGCGGGTGGCAAAGGAACATCACCCGCGGGAAACTCACTAGAATCCAACATGCGAGTGCGAGGGGAGAGAGGATGAGGGTTGCGAGTTGGATGAAAAGTGTCCTAAGTTCTTCGTTTAGTTATGCATTACTCACAAGAAAAGGGATACATTATCGGGTCAAATACCGCTCCGAAGAAGGATACATGCCTCCAATGGACGCGAAGATACCTATGCTCCCCTCTAACGTGCTATGGATTCCAGGCTTCCAGTTGTAAGGATATACGCCTGGAAAGGGTACGTACGTATGTTATGCCCCATACGCTCGCGGTTTTGGGAGTTATTTTGAGAGTCTAGGCAGGAATCTCTATGCAATGCGCGAGAGTGCCACAGCTACGACAGTGATTTGACGAGCGTGGATAGTGACAACATAAGCTTGGTGCAACGTGAGCTAGCGATGCATCGAGTGACACAACTACAGCGAATGGCATTGCTAACGGTGGTGCTGTGGCCGCATCCCCAGCCTGTTAGAATAAGTCCTTGATCTCTGGTCGAGACTTGAAATCTTTCGGGGGGAATACGGAGGTCGCTGTAACATTCATCTGTACAACTATCTATATACGGTATCCGATTTCGATATATGTATGAAGCGTGGTCACTGAGAACCGTTAGAGTAGCCCGACATTATTTTCAGCAACGCCCTGCTAGGTAAGTGCCCTTAGGAAAGCCATTCAAATCTGCATAAGTACGTACATACTGGTGATTGGGTACTAAAAATGCACTGCTGGCACAGATATCAAACAGGAACGCGCATAACAGGAATACGACGGGGCGCAGTAGGAGAGTGCATGACGAATACGACCTACACAATCTCCGGTATCAGCACTTCAGCATGTAAGGTACTGGCCAGGTCTTGAACGCAAGCGGTAATCTCGCAATCGCTTGCAATTCTCTCGTACTCGTTGTGAGGTAACTTCTTCAGGAGAAGTGCCCTGAATGGCTGCTTCAGCTGTTCCAACTGCTCCCATGCAGCCTCGTCATCGCCCGCGGTCTGCGTTTCCTGTGATTTCGGACCACAAGGGCGGACAAGGATATATGCATCAGCCTCATCACTAAGTCGGTGCGACAATGTGATATTGACAGGCCTAAGGCGTGATGCGTGAATCACGTATGTGTAACGTGAGGAGCTAGTCGAGAAACTTGGCTGGCTGACTTCGGTGACTTTGTGGATGATGGAGGGCAACACGAGCCTCCTACTGACAAATGTGGCACGTGGTAACGCTGCAAGAGTACTGTACAACTTCCGTGCCTTTGCAAGAACCGGAGGGCTGCGGCTAATAGAGTCGTTAGGGGTCGAGCGGTGCTGGGGTATCACGCGATAAGGTGCGAGGTCGGCAGGGAAACAACTATTGAATGACGACGGCTTCCCAACCCAATCCAGAACCGAAACATCTCCAGAACGTGAGATGATCTCTGCCAGGAGACGTCCGAGTGCATTCTCCACAGATTCGCCGTAGAGGACTGACAAGCGAACCTCGAAGATTCCAAAAAGTGAGTAGGCAATATCTTCTGGTCGAGTGGTTCTACGGCCTGATGCCCAGTGGAGTCTGGTTCGTGCATCATCCATGCCCGGATAGAAATCTACAAGATGCCGTTTTGTTATTCCCGTAACATTCTGGAGCTCTTCAAGCACAGCAGGATCTGTTTTGTGATTCGTGCTATCATTCTTCGTGTAGAGCGACCAGTCGGACCTATAGAAGAGGACGGTGGGTGAAGCCAACAGCTCTTGGAGTGTCCAGCCTTGCTCGAACCAGACACTACTGGCAAGCGAATCAGTGTCGGAGACATCGGAAAGGTACACGATCGTCAGCGATGACCGGCGATACCAAGAAAACAAAGACCAAAACGCTTCGTCTGATTCGGCGCTACTGCGTCTGTTGATGCAACATGTATCGCTCCATGCCCAATTGAAATGGCGTTTGAGAGCATGAACGCAAAACTGTTGGAGCTTTTCCAGACCGTCCGTGCCCCCCAAGTCATAGATCTTTTTGCCTTCGATTTCACGTAGTAAGGGCTCGCCACTCCCCCACCTGTGAGACAGCATGACAATTTGAAAGAAGTCAGTAACCGCACTTAAGATCTCCGTTTGAAGCCGCTCGCTGTCGAGTAAAGAGGCCGACAACAGGAGTTGCTTGTATTGATGACTAAGTTCGAAGTAAGATAGTTGGGCCTCTCGGTTACACATGACCCCTGTCGGAGTATATAACAGACGCGGCGGGAGGTTTTCAACAGTTGCGAAAAAGTGGGCTTTGATCAAACTCTGGATATCGGAAGAACCGAAAAATGAAGGACCAAAACCGGCTCCCTTTGAACAGTCCTGGGCGGCCTTCGCTTTCAGGCAACGTGCAAGACATTCCTGAGACAACGCTCGATCGGGGTGCCCTGGAGGGCACAGCCCCAACGCAGCATGCGCGAGGCTAATGGCCTCATCAATATCTTCCACTAAACCCCACCGTTGGAACTTTTGGTGAAGGGAGTCAGCGAGGCTGATTCTAGGAACTCCTACGTTTCCATTATCGCAGGATACCAAGAGTTCCTGGACGGTGACCCACGCCGTCTCGGGCGTTCCATCAAAGGGCTTTCCGTCAGGTAAGGTGCTACAAAACTGTACACCCTCATCATTTGCTTGACGTCGAAATTGAGTCATTGATGTTTCCATTCTCTTGTTCGACAACCATGCGATGTGGTACCAAGTCGGGACGACGCGAATGACGCTTGGAATAAGATTTGGACGGCATGTTCGTCGGAAAGCACCAAGATGTTTCGAGACTTCCAGGTTTGAGTCGCCTGCACTGAATGCAAGGTTATGCATGTACAATACTCCAACCGCTTTGCACGGCTTAGTATAGCTAACAGATAGGTTATTCACTGCATGGTGTTTGCGGGGGGGTATGTCTTACTTTGAATCCATCCACTGTTTCAATGACTCCTCCCCATCCGGGCCTTCGGTGTAAAAAGATGGCATCCTTACGATAACAACGTCACTTTGCATTCCATCGAAACGGCACCGTTCTGCATGAACATCTGTGGCGTCGGGATTCCGGCTATTGCTGGCTCGAACACGAACATTTTCAAGTTGCAGAAGGGTTTTTATAAACTGGTGGAACACAAACGAAAGCACAGTAAGCGATGGGATTGAACAGGATATATGTGGATTCTACCAGACTCTTTCCTGAACCACGGGGACCTATGATGCTAGTTGTGCTCTCAGCTCTGCGGCGTCAGCAAAGATAGGCATCAGTGCACTCACAACACTACGGTATCGGTCGGTAAAATGACGGTCGTCTTTTTGAACCCGGGAAGATTATCTAACAGGCGCATCTAGCGAACGGCAGCTGAGGATTTCGCATGAATTGCAAGGTCGGATGGCAAAGGGAGACTGAGTGGTACTTGAATGGTGTGACCTCGCCCACAGGTAACACAGGGTAACAATTGCGGCAGTCTCATGCCGATGACGGGAGTTGAATAAGGGCCTAAGGCATCTCCCTTGAATGGTGTGACCTCGCCCACAGGTAACACAGGGTAACATTTGTGGCAACGTCATGCTGATAACTTGAGTTGGATCACAAGTTGCTTGCAGATCTTGAAGGTCTCTGCACCCGCGAAACTCGTGTTGGAAGAATTCCCCTTTTTGGGTTCAGTTTATCAGTTCTGTATACTGGATGCATGTCAGGCTTGGCATCCATCCATATCTCACTTCTAGAAACAGCAGTACCCGCTAGAAAGTTCAGGATTGTTTTCTCATCAGCATTGTCAGGAAATGCCTTAGGCCCTTATCCAACTCCCGTCATCGGCGTGAGGCTGCCGCAATTGTTACCCTGTGTTACCTGTGGGCGAGGTCACACCATTCAAGTACCACCCAGTCTCCCTTTGCCATCCGACCTTGCAATTCATGCGAAATCCTCAGCTGCCGTTCGCTAGATGCGCCTGTTAGATAGCCTTCCCGGGTTCAAAAAGACGACTGTCATTTTACCGACCGATACCGTAGTGTTTTGAGTGCACTGATGCCTATCTTCGCTGACGCCGCAGAGCTGAGAGCACAACTAGCATCATAGGTCCCCGTGGTTCAGGAAAGAGTCTGGTAGAATCCACATATATCCTGTTCAATCCCATCGCTTACTGTGCTTTCGTTTGTGTTCCACCAGTTTATGAAAACCCTTCTGCAACTTGAAAATGTTCGTGTTCGAGCCAGCAATAGCCGGAATCCCGACGCCACAGATGTTCATGCAGAACGGTGCCGTTTCGATGGAAAGAAAAGTGACGTTGTTATCGTAAGGACGCCATCTTTTTACACCGAAGGTTCAGATGGGGAGGAGACATTGAAAAAGTGGATGGATTCAAAGTGAGACATAAACATGCCCCTACACTCACCATGCAGTGAATAACCCATCCGGTTAGCTATACTAAACCGTGCAAAGCGGTTGGAGTATTGTGCATGCATGACCTTGCGTTCAATGCAGGCGACGCAAATATGGAGGTCTCGAAACATCTTGGTGCTTTCCGGCACACATGCCGTCGAAATCTCATTCCAAGCGTCATTCGCGCCGTCCCAACTTTGTCCCACGTCGCACAGTTGTCTAACGAGAGAATCGAAGCATCAGTGACCGAATTTCGACGTCAAGCAAATAATGAAGGTGTACAGTTTTGTAGCACCTTGCCTGACGGAAATCCCTTTGATAGAAAGCCCGAGACGGCGTGGGGCATCGTCCAGGAACTCTTGGCATCCTGCGATAATGGAAACGTAAGAGTTCCTAGAAACAACCTCGCGAGCTCCGTTGGGAAGGCAGAGGTCAAGGATGATATAGCTGGAACTCGGGTACATCACTCCTAATTGCATTCGATCTTTCTGAGGAATAACTTTTGTTTCCATTCGTACGTAGGCAAAAGAGCCCATCTTCCTTCCGATGGGACCTACCCTGAAAGCTACTCCCCCGCAGCTCCCAAGTAGTTGCCTAGCTGTTGAAAATTCTGCCGATCGCTTTGTTGAAGAGTTCAGTGGGCATGGCAGTTTGGACACGATAATCATGTTCGAACGAACTGTGCTGGAATCAACACCAGACCACGCAGAACACTATCATACCCTCATCCATCTCGCCGATCTCCTAAATGACCGCTTCAAGCTGGAAGGGTCGAAAGAGGATTTGGACGAAGTAATCGCGCTGAGGCGAACTGCGTTAGAATCCTTTGCTCCAGATGACCCCCAAAGTCAGACAAATCTTCTCCAGCTCGACGATTGCCTTTATGAACGTTTCAGGAGGGATGATGCCATAGCAGATTTAGAGGAGATCGTGTCGCTTCGCCGAGTTTTATTAGAACGTACACCCACGCCGAATCGCTGCAAGCCTCTTCTTAACCTTGCTAATTCCCTTCACGAAAGGTTCCAAAAACAAGGTTTGGTGGAGGACATCGACGAGGCCATTATCCTTGCGCGTACTTTGTCGGAGCTGTGCCCCCCAGAGCATGCCGAGTATGCACAGTCTCGGGGATGTCTCCCACGTTACCTCAAAGCGAAGTTTAGAGCGGGGATTGCCCAGGCTCACCCAAAGAGACCCCAGATCGATCCTTCATGTTCCGGTTCTTTCGATATCAAGCATTTCATCAAAAAGAGCTGTTTCGAAACGATTAAAAACCTTCCGCCGCACCTGTTACATACTCCGACAGGGGCCATGTGTAACCGAAAGGCTCAGCTATCTCACTTCGAGCGTAGCTATCAATACAAGCAGCTCCTGTCCACAGCCCATTTACTCACCGAGCAGCAGCTCCAAACGGCGATCGGTAGTGCGGTTACAGACTTCTTTCAAATTGCCATGCTGTCTCACAGGTGGGGGAGTGATGAGCCCTTACTACGTGAAATCGAAGGCAAAAAGATCTATAACCTGCGCGCCATAGATGGTTTGGCAAAACTCCAATATTTCTGCGCTCTTGCTCTGGAAAAAAATTTCCAGTGGGCATGGAGCGATACGTGTTGCATCGACAAAGATAGCAGCACCGAATTACAGGAGGCGATTGGGTCTATGTTTTCTTGGTACCGCCGGTCATCCCTGACGATCGTGTACCTTTCCGATGTCTCCGACGCTGGTTCACTTGCCAGTAGTGTCTGGTTCCAGCGAGGCTGGACACTCCAAGAGCTGTTAGCTTCACCCACCGTCCTCTTCTATACGTACGACTGGTCGCTCTACACGAAGAATGATAGCACGAATCACAAGACAGATCCTGCTGTGCTCCAAGAGCTCCAGGAGGCTACGGGAATAGCTAAGTGGCACCTTACCGATTTCCACCCCGGCGTGGATGATGCACGATTAAGATTCCATTGGGCATCGCGCCGTCGCACCACTCGACCAGAAGATATAGCCTATTCCCTTTTTGGAATCTTCGAGGTTCAATTGCCAGTCCTCTACGGCGAATCCGCGGAGAATGCACTCGGACGTCTCCTGGTAGAGATCATCTCACGTTCTGGAGATGTTTCGGTCCTGGATTGGGTCGGGGAGCAGTCGTCATTCAATAGTTGTTTCCCTGCCAACCTCGCACCGTATTGCGTGATACCCCAGGACTGCTCGACCCTCAACGACCCCACTAGACGCAGCGCTCTGGATACTGCAAAGGCACGGGAGTTGTATAGTAATCTTGCAGCATTACCACGTGCCACATTCCTCAATAGGAAGCTCATGTTCAATGCCCTCCATCATCCACAAGGTCACCAACGTCAGCCAGCACAGTTTCTCGACTAGCTCCTCACGTTACGCATACGTGATTCACGCATCACACCTTGGGCCTGTCAATATCACATTGTCGCACCAACTTAGTGACAAGTCTGGTGCATATATCCTTGTCCGTCCTTGGGATCCGAAATCACTGGAAACGCAGACCGAGAGCGATGACGAGGCTGTATGGGAGCAGTTGGAACAGCTGACGCAGCCATTCAGCGCACTCCTACTCGAGCAGTTGCATTACAACGAATACAAGAGAATTGCAAGTGACTATATGATTACCGCCCATGTTCAGGACCTGGCCAGTATCTTAGATACTGAAGTGCTGGTATTGGGGATTGTGTAGGTCATACTCGTCATGCACTCTCCCACTGTGTCCCGTCGTATTTCTGCTATGCGCGTTCCCATTTGATATCTGTGCTAGCAGCGCATTTTTAGTACCCAATCACGAGTATGTATGTACTTCTGCAAATTTGAATGGCTTCCCCAAGGGCACTCACCTAACGAGGCGTTGCTGAAAACAATGTCAGCTACTCTAACGGTTTTCAGTGACCAAGCCTCATATATCGAAATGGAACACCGTAGGGAAGTTGATCTCATCTACGACGTTTCAGACAATCATGTGATGTGGATTGCTCGTCGCGGGCCACCTCCTAGCAACCAGTATTTATTTTGTTGCGACATTGAAGGCCATATACAATGTGCAACACAAGCTGAAATTGAATGGGGAGAACAGCACCGAAAGCGGCTTATAGCTAACTGTACGAACGAACATAACAAGAAAATGACTTGTGATTGCGACCAGGCAAATGACGTCGCTCGAACTCCCTCTGCTCCCCTGGCATGGCATTACGTGCTTACGGTGCTCTCATCGCTAATTTGGTAAGAAAAAAGGAGGTAACCGATACGACCTCTGACGACTTATTCCGGCGAAACTGGTTACACACCAACATCTCACACATACCTCTAGCTCTTAAAATTGATCGAGGGAGACATGTAAGAGAGGGGAGGAGAAGATATCACAAACGACCATCATTGAGGAAAGAGAACACACAATGCTCAGCAGTATGGCGTAAAATCTGCACATTTATTTTTCGCGGCCGCACCGCCACACCACCGCGCTCATTCGGCCGCGTCGTTACTTGTCGGGGTCGCGCAACTGCACTACCGCGCCCTCTCAACCGCGTCGCTACCTTCCGCAACCACACCACCGCGCCCTCTCAGCCGCGTCGTTACCCTCCGCAACCACACCACTCGACCGCATGTCGCATAACAATACTATGTGTATATTCGTATATGCCTACATAACATAACAATCAATCTCTGCACATTAATGATTGAATTTTGCATGAGGTATATAGAAACAACAATGATTGTATTGGCTAGTAAATTTACCAAGTGGTGGGTAACACGAATGCAAACATATCAATGAATGGTATCATAGAAGTTATTCAAATCTCTGACAACTCCAATGAAAAAAAACTTTGCCATCTCCTCCTGGACAAGCTGCATCCTTCATCTCCTCCATCAAGGGAGATCGACGAGGTGGAGAGTGGGATCGACGAAGTGAGGGAGACTGACGAGGGGAAGATGGCAGGGAGCACAAGTCTTCATGGTACTTGTCTTGCATGTAGTTGTGACCAAGTTCCCGAGTGTATTCCCCATCGCATCCATGTGGCCTGTAGTCATGTGAGCTGTCTGGGCTCTGAGCCAGGCCCTGACTGTGACCTTTGCTGGTCTCTCTGTGGGGTAGGTGAGCATTGGGAACATTGTCAGGATGTCTCATATCGGTGAATGGTATGGTAGTAGTTGTCAAATGCTTGTTCAATGCACTCCATCCAGATGTGACTAAGCCAACTAAATCATTCCCCAACAAGGCTGTAGAAGGTGGAGTAAGAGTGCTCTTGTGAGCAACACTCAATAATCATGTTGATGAGCTTGATCTAACCAATGGTCATGAGTATGATTTTGAAGTAATTAAAATAACAATACTCACCTCTTCTCCTTCCTTCGACTGGATCTTCAAGAGCTTGTGGACCACTTCTTTGTAGTTGAGAGTGTTCATGATAGTAAGGTATATCATTCATTGTAGATTGACCAAGTTTGTCCCCATCTGATCTGATATACCTTCTTGTTCTTTGGCCACCAAAGGGTCAAAATTAAGACAGAGGAGTGAAAGAGTTGTGTACTTTGCTCTTCTTCCTTGCTTGACTCCTCTGGACCAGATTCATTGTTGGAGCCCTCTCCAAGAATCTCAGCTTTTATTGCTTTTTACTTTTCCTCATTCTCTGTGTAATTGGGGTCAAACTTGAGAATATCTGCCTGAATGCTTCAAATACTAAAACTAGTAACAAACAACAGAAACTCACTGAGCCCTTCTTGCACCTGCAACTCCTCTTCAAGGCATATGTGGTGTGTAATTTTCTCCTCTTCCTTTACAAGGTCCAACCCATCTGGTATGATTGGGTTGTCCTTATACTTGTCTTTCTGGACCTGCATAAACACCTCTATCATATATTGTATGTGATGACTGATGGTCCCCTTGTTGAGAACATCATGGAAACAGTCGAAAACAAGCACATTTGCTTTCAGAGAGTTTTCTGCCAGAAACATGCTGACCTCATGCATGAATCCAACTGCAATCTCAATTGAGTCATCTGTTCAGTGCTCAAGGAGGAAGATGAGGGTTTCAAGTGCAATAATCTCATGTGTGACAGCTTGATTGACAAGGTGAGCAATGAAAGTTGTTGAAGAATGACAAATGGTCTGTCTGGCATGACATCAATGATTCAAAACAGGTGGGAAAGAATTGTGACTTACTTTGTCATTACACTTGAATGCATGTCAAAACTGGCTTATGAGCTGGGTTAAGACAAGCTCTCCCACTTGAGGAAGTTTTGTGTTGATAATGGCCACCAGAGTGGCAAAAACAGGTGTAAAGGGTAAGCTGGATGCCTGTGCTTTCATGACACTGCAGGCAAACAGTCCTCAACCTCGTATGAGGTTTTCTGAGAATGGTTTGGGAATGACCTGCTTGATGTCAGCAATGTTGACTCAGTTAACAATACTGGTGATTGATTTGTGCAGCGCATCCCAGGATGACTGTAATCTTGACTTGACTGAATGTGGAGATGAAAAGTTGGTGGCCAGACAAGGATGATTATGTCAGCAACTAGTTGTCCATATGGCTACAGCAGCTCAAAGGTGGTTACTCACTGCTCATGTGCACCACTCACCTGGCCACTGACTTTTCATTTCAGTGTTTATGATAGTAAGATAATCTACTATGATTTTATTTGAAGTAAGTCTTGAGATGCAAGGCATGGAGGCATTGGAAGGGGGGGAGGTAGCACGCAATTAGTAAGCAGCCACCAAGTGCAGATAAGATAGTGCAAGGTGTAGTACTTCGGATCGCAATAGCACACTGCAGAATTACATATAATTTTTGTACTGTCCTCTAGGTAATATACAGGGCTCGAAGAATATGAATTTTTTGTGAAGAAATATGTAGTACTTGGATCACAATCTTGGTCATATGTGTAAAATCAGCCTATGTTTTTTTTTTTTTTTTTTTTTTTTTTTTTTTCAGACTTATATAGTGGTATAGTGGTAGAACTATTCTAATTTTTATACAAGAACCTGAATCTAATTTACCTGGTTCTGAATCTGCAAAAATACTGGCAATCTGACTTGAATTGATTGAGATGTTCAGATTCTAAAATTTAGCCACTACATGTGTGTGATTTTGTTTGTTTAGCCACACCCTCAGTTTTGAAAATGGCCGTAATTTGAAACAAGGTCTCGAAACACTATACATTGCGACAAACCGAAGTTACATTGTAAGATGCTACATCTCTATGTACAGCGACTATGTAGGTATGATTTTGTGGACAAGGCGATCTTTAATGTGAGTAATGAATTGATGAGAATGTGCAAGTGGTTTGTTCAGGTTCATTATATGTGAAAACATATGCCTCTTACAATCCACACTGACCCAGCCAAATTGCAATCCTTTGAAGTGATCATTAGCTTCATCCAAATGCTGCAGGTTCCTTCCATCAAGGGGGAGTTGCCTCATACCATTCCACCACACTGCAGCCCAATCCTCAGCACACCCTTTGTGATCCTGACAGCTGCTACAATGCACAATGGGGGGAAATTCTGCAGTGACTGTGTGGATGTACTCATCCAAATGAGACCTGACATAGACATATGCAATGTAAGTATCCATCCCCATCCAGACATGGTGAGACTTCTTAATCTTTGTCAGCAGGACTTTGCAAAGCCTAGTGAAACCTCTTTTGAAGATGGCCTGAATCTGTACTTGATGCCTAGATAAATGAGTTCAGAAGGATGGAAGAAGTATGCTCTCTTGATGATGCAAGAGGTGACAAAGCTGAGCATATGGGTGCTGCATTGGAAATGGCAGATGAATTCCAGCAAGTTCTTGAGGTCATCCAAGGAATATTTGGTGGAAGGATGGGGACTAGAATGAGTGAATTCAGCAAGGGTCACCATCAGGGGAGTGCTCAGAGACTTACCACATGAACTTGAATTTGATGAACAAGTCAAAAGTTTGCACAGTCAAATTTTTGCCACCAAGAATAATCAGTTGCCCATCAACCTTCCCCTCCTGGTTGTCTGGCACGTATTGGCCAAGTGAAAAGACATCAGTGAAGAGTTTGGACTCATTCACCAAGATGTTGTGATTGAGTTTGTACAGTGTATTCTCAACCTGGAAGATGAATGTGCCATTTTCGAAATAAAATTCAGGATGGCAGGTGACTGTCACTGGTGCTGATTCAGTCATGATTAAGGCAAAATGGCTGATGGAACAGTAAGGGAAATTATATATGTTATTGTTTATTTGTTGCCTTGTGTTCTCATACATCCCATGTACTGTTACATCGTGTTCTGGGGTTTGGGCTTCAAGCTTGAAGACCCATCCCATCGATGGCAACATCGCTTCCCAGTTCCATCCCTCAGCTGCCTGCAAGTACCACACTGTGGCCAGAAAACCTCATCATGGCAGTTGATTCACTCTCTGACATCTATCAGTGTGCTTTCCAAGTGTGGACCCAAGAGGACAACGATATAATTCACCTTGAGTGTCATCTTGGCTTTCTGGAAGGAAATGCAATACATCTCCTTACAGCAATTGAAGAAGACTGTGTGGGTGCTGACCTGTCTGAGTGGCTCTCAGACACCACTGAGCTAGTTGGGAAGCTGTATGCAGTGATTGCATGCTATCAAGACAGCATGAGGACTTGGTGAGCAAACTTGAAAAAATGGTTCCCAATGCTATCAGCCTAACATACACATTCTTCATGCTTAGTGTTGATGAGAACATAGAAATGCTAAAGCCAGTAGCAGAAGTTCACACCAGTTTATGAGGATGGCCAAGGAAGGTCATTGACATTGACATTCTCAAGGAGGTTGTTTCAAACTCAAGACACATTCATTCCACTGAACTCATGTGCCTTCTTGGAATCCATCAAAATACTCTGTGCCTTTACATGAGGTGCCATGGCATTGAGCATACGTACACTGAGATTAGTGATGCAGACCTTGACAATCTTGTCAAGGAATTTAAGAAGAGATGGCCAGAATCTGGACTTCGTTATATCATTGGGTTCATGCGGGCAAAGAGGGTTCACATTCAGTATCACTGTGTAATCCAGTTGCTTTCTAGGGTGGATTGCCTCGGTCAAGCTTTATGAGACTGCCATATGAAGACCAGGTGCAAGTATCATGTCAAGCAGCCCAATGCATTATGGCACATGGATGGTCACCACAAATTGATTCAGTGGGGGATCGTTATCCATGGATTCATCAATGGGTTTTTCTGTACAGTATGTTTATCAGTTGTCTAACTCACAACATTTGTTGATTCATTCTTAGGTTACTGTGATACATGCTAGCAATAATAATTGGTCGGTGACCATCCTTCACATATTTAAACAAGCAATTGAAGAATATAGTATGCCTTCCCACATACATGGAGACCATGGTGGTGAGAACCTTGACATCACAACCTATGTCATTATGAAGAATGGCCACCACTGAGGCTCATTTATCTGGGGAACATAAGTATATTTTACATTATTTCTGTATTCATCATTGCTAATCACACATGAATCTAGATCAACTTGAAATTGTCATATTGAGCGTTTGTGGGTCGAAGTGGATCTCAGTTTGCCAGATGCTGGTGCACATTCTTCACTTGGCTTGAACATATTCACTTGCTTGATGTCAACAACACATCACATATCTGGTTACTCCATATACTTTTCCTCAACGATATCAATCATGATTGTCAGGTGTTTTGAGAGGAGTGGAATTGCCACCCAATAGGTGGCCCAAGTGCTAACAACAAGAGTCCCAAGGTAAGATTTCAGTTTTGTTAGTTTACTACTCTACTCATTCCGTGATATACAAGGATATGCACCTGTTAGGTCAAATCAAGTTTGGCGTATACCAAGATCATGAAGATCATGAAGAGCTTGAGGGACTTGGCCTTGCTGATGATGAAGTAACAGATACAGCCGATGTGATTGCATGTCAACAGCAAGTACATATTAACCATGAAGCCATGCATGTACCCTCACTTCAAAATCCATTTGGGAGTGATGAAGACAAGCTAATCTTTTTCAGTGGTCTTCGTGAGGTAATTGCTCAGGACATCACACCAGAGAGTTTCGGGTTGACACCAGTGGAGTGGGGCTCAGATGGATATCCAACAATTGAATCTATTTGCATTGGTTGACATGCAGCCAAAGACATGGACATTTTGTTAGCAGACTCAATTTGGTATTCCCAGGCACATCTATGGTGCCAGGCTTTATCCACATTGTCATATTACTTACTAAGTCTTAAACTTTGATCTAGTATGCTGGCACCAATTATAAATTGCATGGTGCTCTGTTCATCTGTCTTTATGCCCCATTTGTTCTTGCCCATATTGATGCCAGTTAAGGAGGGCCTCTGCCAGGGTGGTGATGGTACTTGTGACTGTGAAGTGTTCTTCCCCCAAAAAGACAATGCCACCCACTGCTTGGAATGTCTGCATGGGATAAGCAAGCATCGCAATGCTGATGGTACCTCAGTTGCCACCCAACCTCTCCCTGCCATATCTGGCTCATCAAATGTGGCGAGAATATTCAAAGGCCTTGCTAACAAACATCCCACCAGCTTGTCTCAGGTTGCTCAATTGGATCCCCATCATGAGGCGCTAGCAATGAAAACTTCAAAGCTAGTCCAGAAGGTAACTTCTTCTACTGAGCACAAGGCAAGTATTTCCAGTGGTATGTCTGGATCGTTCAGATTAAGTATTCTATTCTAGGTGTCATCTCAGAGGCGCACAAGTAGTCAGAAATTTCATGTTGGTTCTGTCGCCATCATAACTTGTGGATTGGATGTAAGTCTGTTTCTTCATTCCAATGTGCAGATTCTTACATCACAAATCAAAATCAAGGCTAATGGTCAGCTGCTGAAAGACCCCTTACCCCTACCACTTGCAGATAGGAAGATATTCATCCAGCAGCTCAAAGATCATGGATGTTACCTGCAACAAATGATCGAAATTGACACATTGTGGTCCCATGATGATGTCACCACCCATCTTCATTCTTGGTTCCCCAAAGTCTTCAAACATTTTGATGTGCATCATGAGCAGGCTAATACTGCTTCCCAGACTCAACCTGACTGGCAACTCCTTGTTCCAAATAATGGGAAACTCGAGCTCTCCACAGCTGTCTGCCCAAATGGTATTGTTCTTGCTCATTTCAAGGGACATCAGAAGGCAAGTATAGCTGATAGTAACTTGTGGTTTGGTACATCACTACAGTGCGATAGTTGCAATCACTCATATTTTTTGAACAGTTACCTGAAACCTGGTTCCACTTGCTGTTTTCAACAAGTGGAAAGTTGAGTCAGACATTGTGGGAACAGACATCGAGGCAATGAGTAATGACAGAAGTGAAGTGATTGAACTCTCAAGCTCTGTCACTGAGCTCAACATCAATGCTGTGGCTGAGACAGGTAATGATTTCCAGCGCTATCATCTTTACTAACAGAATTAATGGGTTTTCTTCAAGTAGGCAAGAGGTCTTGCCTGGCAGTCCTTCCACAAGAAATGCAAGGATCATAAGTCATGTGTTCCCAGCTCTATGACAACATGCTAACTGAGCAATATCTACAGTTAATGCAAATGCACTGCCCACCTGGCCTTGTCAACCTGCAGGGCCCATTTCTGGGCCAGTGATGGTGAAAGAGCTCCTGTCTGACAGCGATGACAACACCCCACCCAACCCATGGTCTGCTCAATTCAATCAAACAATGTTGCTGAAGGATGATGATGTCTCCAATATTGATCTGTGAACTTGCCAACCATTTCCCCTCCCCTCCCTGCTCACTATATGTCTGTCCCTAACAGTAGACTGATGTTTGTAATGATTCATTCAATGTGATTTGTGATTTCCAGCAATAACATCTGTCCAAACATGTCAAACAACTAATATTGATATGAGACCACCTTGTCATCAAAAACGAAGACATTTGTGTTCATGTTACCCACCACTTGGTAAATTTACTAGCCAATACAATCATTGTTGTTTCTATATACCTCATGCAAAATTCAATCATTAATGTGCAGAGATGGATTGTTATGTTATGTAGGCATATACGAATATACACATAGTATCGTTATGCGACATGCGGTCGAGTGGTGTGGTTGTGGAGGGTAACGATGCGGCTGAAAGGGCGCGGTAGTGCGGTTGTGCAACCGCGAAAAGTAATGACGCGGTCGAATGGGCGCGGTGGCGTGGTTGCGGAAGGTAGCGACGCGGTTGAGCGGGCGCGGTAGTGCGGTTGCGCGACCGCGACAAGTAACGACGCGGCCGAATGAGCGCGGTGGTGTGGCGGTGCGGCCGCGAAAAATAAATGTGCAGATCTTACGCCATACAGCAGAACGGCAACACACGATGACAAGTTCACTCCTCCCTCCTCCCTGACGAAACTTCCTATTTAGGTGTTGACGACCGTGATCTACACGGAGACGTTCAGCAATTTCATTCGGCACCTTGATCTTGTCTACATGTATGCATCCATCCGCTGTGTCGTCCTCGACAATTTGCACACGTTTGAGTTCCGCAGTTGGGTGACGATCGTTGTCTTCAAAGATGAACGTATACACATTGTTCCCGCAGGCCGACGCCGAGGTGTTCTGGGTCCTATAAGTTTTTGACGTCTGCTGCACGAACCTGAGGGAGCCCTTCAACTTGCAGCCCGACAACAAAGTTTGTAGGATTACATAATCCATCCCATTCCTTCCGCTCACTGGGGGCACTACCAACTGGTACAGGGCAGTTTATCCCGCTGCCGCAGTGAGTAAACACACCTTTCCGAGCTCCGTGATTTATGTTTCATACTGATGATAATGATGCTGATGATGACCCACGATTCTAGGAGTCCCGTGTCATTCATCACGCCAATCATCATCGATCCAGAAAATGTCCCCGAAGCCATTTGAATCGGTATATCTACCCCCTACCATGGCGTTCGTCTCTCCTTCGTAGCAGGCCCCGACATATCATGGTGGAGGGGCTCCCTGATTATAACCTTCGAGACACAAAGTACCAATAAGTTGTTTTCTTATTTTGATCTTTGCCGTACTAGGCACTGTAACCACTCGTTACGGTGAACGAGAGCCTTCCAAGCCCACCAGAACAACCACCCCGCGTGATGGAGCCCGAGGAGCCAGCTTCGACATCTCCTGCCGCATCCACGTCCGCCTCTGCATCAATAGTGGCGGCAGAGGCGACATCACCCCTAACGGTAGTCGTAGTCCCCCCGATGACGCCCGGAGCACTACCACCGTCACCTTCAACAGGAGCAGTACCCCTAATGCCTGTTGGCATTGACAATGACATCTCCCTCATGAACGTCATCACATTCATTACGACAGCCACGTCTCCGCCTCACCTAAGTCAATATCTCAAAAAAAATCGCACCCAAGGAAGTCAGAGAAGTCGCTCTCGCCAGTATGCTCCCCGAAGGTCAAAACCCCCTGAATACAAGCCAATACGTTAGGCAACCTCTACATCTTGTTCGTGGATCTTACCTTTGTTTTTGATGTTGATGGACGCGACATACACATTCTTTCACAGATCTGCTCGGTTCCATGTTCCCAATGCACCTCGCCCACCCCTGAATTACATAGAGGATTTTTGCAGTAATTTCGGGGCAGAGCAAGCACGATTTGCCTTTGATCGAGGTACGACCCTGCTCATTATCAACTATCGTCTTGTCGTGTCCGTGCTGAGCCTGCCATTCAGTCACATAGTTAGCAGCGGGTATCGCTCAAGCGGCTGAACAAGAAGGCAACGAAGGGCTCTATAGTATATCCCGAACCGCAAGAAGCTGATGATACGATCGCCTTCCCTAGCTCCGAGTTGCCATCTTGCTTATGCAGGATCTTCTCCTTCGGTATGCACCATCGCCATCTCATCTCACAACCATCCATCCTATCTTCGCGAGGGTAAGCGTGTCGAAGCTCGTCTTTCTGCGACGCGGGATTCTTTTCCCGGGCTGATAGACTGATGACGTTCGTAGATATGTGTCTCCTCGCGCGCGTTCACAGTTGCCCTTCCTGTTCTCGCACATCCCATCACGACGATCGACCTTGCCATTTCCGGATTTGACCTACAATGACAATTTGGTGTACCATTATGCGGGTGGGATGATATACGCCGCTTTGAGACGGTGGGTGCATTTTCGCATAATATAGACCTATCGCTTTTGCAAGATTGCTGGTCGACATCACGAGAACATTCTTCCGACGCAGAAGCGGAGGAATACTTTGAGATCTGCGCATGCAGTTCTGGTGCTGTACCGGCTGCTATACAATTGGAAGCGTTGATTAAACTCGTACTGGTACAGCTAATTCGTGAAGGAAAGGTGATTACATCTTCTTTGTGCGTGTGGCGGGGAGCCGACGGCACATTTCTGTTTCGCAGACGTCACCGCTACTAAAGTATACTCACCCGAATCTGTCACGTCTCTTCAAGAACACGCCATACTCTGCGTTCGTGAATGCGTAGCCTCACCAACATAGTTGCGAACTATTGTAGAGGCCGAAGATCCCTTGTTCTCTGCCGTTAGCACACCGCAATGGTTGTCAACTTATGGGGGGGACGTTGGCACATCGACTCACAGGAGAAAACGCTCGGACTCATCGATGAGGCTCTTGAGCGAGCACCACGTTGGCCCATTCGGAAGCTTACCGCGACATATTTGACGTCACACCTTTCGGATATCGGAACAGTGTGCGTTGTCGGAAAGATTGGAGAAGGAGATGGCAAGGAGTAAAGAGTCTACGGAAAAAGTTTGTTATTCGCGATCAGGGCATATTGCTACGATCTCACCAATGGGAACGGAGTTTGTAGCGCTACAGGTGACTCCATTCGATCTGACAACGAAACTCGACAACGCAAACTTCTTTGCTCCCTACACGTCTCATAACCCGATTGACCATTCCAAACACCACCGTATCCTCCTCTTCAACTATTTCGCGCAACTCGAGGCGCTGGCGTTTGGCAAGACCGAAGAAGAGGTTCGTAATGAGCTCGGCCCCAATGCGAGGGAGGAGGTCGTGAAGAGTAAAGTGTTTGAGGGGAACCGTCCGAGTAACAGTATTTTATTCCCGTTGTTGACGCCGAGAACGCTCTGCGCGTTGATTTTGCTGTATGAGCATAAGATCCTCGCGCAGGGCGTCATCTGGGGTATCAACTCCTTCGGTGCGTATCGCGTGTCTGCCGTTGTTGGTCGTTGATCGGCGATACCAACACTACCAGATCGAATGGGTGTTGAGCTTGGCAAGGTCCTCGCGAAGAACATCTTGGCGCAGTTAAATGCGCCAGAAGATGTCAAAGGCCACGATAGTTCGGTACGTCCTGTCACCCTCTTCATCTCGATAGATGTTTGACTTGAGTGTTGTATAGACCACGGGTCTCATCCACTACTATCAGAAACACAGGAAGGAGTGAATATGAGCGCGTCTCCGAGCGAGCGGTATCAAAACAAATTATTCGTTGTACTATGAGCTTAGATGTAAGTTTTTGGCAAACCTGTTCCCCAGCTACACTTTCGTACCTATTCAAGATGGTCATGACATTTGACGATGATTGAGCTATCGAGCCTGTGCATGTGGACTTGAGATGAACGAAAACCTCAAATGCAACAACCTGGATCCAGCTTCGTGTGGCTTACAGTAATGGACTCGCAGGAAAGGCAGAAGGCGTCCAATGGGTTCAAGCAAGGCTATTCGATCGACAATGAGGAGGCGGCCAAGTTCTTGAGAAACAAATATGTGAACGGATGCTCACGTTCAGCGGATGACAAAAGAACATCACATGCGGAAAACTCGCTAGAATCCAATATGCGAGTGCGAAGTACGCGTACAGCGCGAGGAGAGGGAGGACGAAGGTTGCGAGCCGGATGAAAAGTGTCTTGAGTTCTTCGTTTAATTATGTATTGCTCACGAGAAAAGGGTGCCTTGGTAACGGGTCAAATACCACTCCGAAAAAGAATATACGCCTCCAATGGACACGAAAATATCTATGCTTCCCTCTAACGTGTTATGGATTCCGGACTTCCGGTTGTAAGGATATACGCCTGGAAAGGGTACGTACGTATGTTACGTCGCATACGGTCGTCATTTTGGGAGTTGTTTTCAGACATTAGGCAGGAACCTCCGTGTGATGTGCGAGAGCGTCACGGCTACGACAGTGATTTGACGAGCGCAGATAGGTGACTAATAAGAACACATAAGCTTGGTGCAACGTGAGCTAGCGATGCATCAAGTGGTGCAACCGCAGTGACCTCAGTCAATCACATTGCTAACGATAGCACTGTGGCCGCATCTTCAGCCCGTTAGAAGAAGTTCTCCAGTCGAGGTTTGGAGGTTTTCAGGGGGGCTCTATGTTGTGCATCGGGAGGAGGGAAGCTTATCTTCCGCTTGTTTCAGCCACGCGTACCAGCACGTACCATATACATGTCGCCTAACAGCCGATGGCGCAGTGGGAGAGAGCCTCACGAGCAATGAGCTAAGCTCGAAGCAAGCTGTGGGATGATGTAGCTGCTAATGTACATGCGTCACGCGCAAGTCACGCGCAAACCGACTCTGACCATGCTGACTCAGCACTCAGCGGCTGTGCTCCCCCCAGTCTTCGCCACGACTAGATTGGCGCTTTGGCTCTCGTCCTCGTGTCATGTCTCGTTATCAAGCTTTCCTAAATGCGAGGTCAAGTTCTCAGGGTGTGTTCCATGCCGATTCCCCTCCTTGAAGCGGACTTCCGTGTTCCCTTTTTTCTTGATGTCGCTCTCCAAGGTAACCCAGTAATCCTGCATACCCTCTCTAGGCTAATAGCGGACACAGGCTCGTTCTTTGTCTCGGTCTGCATTAGGGAATACCTATGACGCTTCCTCTTCATCTACCCCGTTTGCGGCCCTTGGGGACGTCAACTACTCCTCATGTCCTTTAAGTGACGTACCTGAATGGAATGTTCGTCATACACCACCAAGGGGTGACCAGGATGTCCAGGCCTGGGAAAACAGCTCCTCCTCCCTCAAATGCCAGTTCGGTGATAGTGTAAATGATCTAACTGCAATCCCGACGTCTCAGCTCGGGGAAATTGCGATTGATGAGAATGATATCATTATCGCGTGTGTAGGCATCACTCCCCGTATGGATGTTTAATACTAATGCTCGATGCTAGTGTCATGGGTCCCATTGGCGCCGGAAAAAGCACTGTGAGTATTCCACGCGTGTTCACAAGCTCATTCCAATTGAATGAACCCAGTTTGTTGATCGCGCGGTTGGAAGACCTACTGTAACTGCCGGTCATGATTTGATGTCGTATACAAAGGAAATTCGCCCGGTTCGATATCCTCATTCCGATGGCATCCGCAACATTGTTTTAGTTGATACTCCTGGGTTCGACGATACGTTCATGACAGATGCCCAGATTCTTAGGGAAATTGCACATTGGTTAAATACAGCGTAAGCTATCCAGCTTGATTGTTGAGCAGTCTCGATTCTGACAACGTTTCAGCTACAAAAAGAACCTCAAACTGAGCGGCGTGTTGTATTTGCACCGAATTTCAGACAATAGGGTTTCAGGAACACCGTTAAGGAACTACAATATGTTCAAGGAACTATGTGGAAAGGAGAACTTTAAGAATATCGTCCTCGTTACAACGATGTGGGATGAAGTAACTGAAGAGGTTGGCTCAGCACGCGAAAGCGAACTGCGGTCCGACTTCTGGCAGTCCATGATCAACTTGGGATCAACTATTCATCGCTTCGACGGGACAATGGAGTCTTCCTGGAAAATTATTAGTTGCCTTTCCGTGGCGCCACCACTTCAGCGCCGTCCACTTCAAATCCAGCGAGAAATGGTTGATAAACATGTGCCACTTCATAGGACAGCGGCAGGAAAAGCCGTCACGGCGACTTTCACTGACCTGATGTCGGGTGTCAAGGGAGTTTTCAAGCGGCTCAAGAATAGTACAAAGAGGTCTCGTAGCCGGGTTCCACCGGATAGCAAGCGTCTTCTCCAAAGAACTTCGTTGCTTTCGAGAAGTTCATTTTCTACCTCCTCCGATACCTCCTCCAATAGTCGGTCTGTTGGATCGGGCATCATAAGCCTTAGCAGTTCTGGAACTTGCAGCACAGAGGGCTACCGGGGTGGTTTGGTTCGGGTAATTCCTCTTCTGCAAGCTGCTCTTGGCGTGGCAGAACTTGTTCGTATACCTCATCTCAAGGACGTGATTTCTCCATCTCTCAGCATTGCTCTGTCAATTAAGGTGAGTCTTCGTCGCTGACTTCGCGTCGAGAAAGACTTCATGCCGTCCTGTCCCAGGCCATGACGGGAACGCACCACGTACTTCTTCAAGTCTTGCAAACTGCTACGCTCCTGGTTAACGCAGTAACTGAAGCAAGACTGACGAGGTTATCGGCAGAGATAAAGACAGCAATCAAAGGTTTTGCAAAGTAAGAAGATAATGGATCATATACAGAAATAGGATGACCGTCTTCTACCTCTTAGGCATATGAGTGATGTGCAGGGAATCGTCCAGAGTGTTGCACAGAGGCAATCTGAAGTACGACGGGTCCTTCGATCGACAGATGCTCGTGTTATTTCGGCCTGTGCGAATTCGATGCGGCTTGTATGCGATGTCCTCCGCGTGCGTGAAATGACACACTCATGTTTGCTTGTAACTGACAACTTCTGCAGTCGACACCCTCCTTAAGAACGGGCCTCCGCGCCGTGGATGATAACTTGGGAGCATTAAAGCGGAGCTTGGAGATTGCAAGTATTCTGTCCCTTTCTTTGCGTGTTGTGGCTGCCTTCTCACGGTCATTTATGCGCTAGGACATTTGCAGTTGCGGCATCCCCAGAAAGCTCGTGCGACTCGTCTCATCTGTTCAGAATGTGTATGTAATCTTGTACGTGGCGGCATACTTCCCTAAACGTCAGGCCTAACGTCGTCAGCAGTGTGGTCGACCCTGCTGAGGCTGGCAAGAGTTTGGTAATGTTGGCATTGATTTACAGGCAAAACTTCCTAAATGAGTTCTAGTTCGCCAACCGATTATTTGAATGCCACGGTATCAAAGTAACGGAGATGGGTCCACATTTTACAGAGCATGTCAAAGCATTGAGGTGCAACCTCATGAACGGCCCAGTCAATATCGTAGTTGTCAAGATACCCTTATTCCATTCGAACCGTGAAGATCTCGATCTCGATTCTGAGAATGCGATGATTAGTTGGTTAAAGTTGGGTGTGACAAATGCCCTTTGATTATAACGTTTTAAATACTGCCACAGCTTGTCCGAAAAATGTCATTCTGGAATTCTCTTTCTCCACTCGCTCGACTCGGATCCGACAGATTTCCGTACACTGATGTTACAGCGTTTCGAGTTGCTTGTCAAGCGTTTTTCTAGCAAGATCACGGTTCCGCCCTGCATTTATGTGGTGCCGACTATCAACTTGGACTCGCTTCTTCCCGACGAAACGCAGAGCCAACGGTTGTCGCAGCTCAAAACTATGACGGAAGCGTTGAACGGCAACGGAAACAGGAAATGGCATGCATCGATGTTCCCTGAAGTCTTCAAAGGCCAACCAGAAACAGCGTGGAGTGCGGCACTGTTGCTACTCAAAGATATAGCTGAGACTCAGGTACATCGCTCTGCACCGCATTCAATCCATCTTGGAAATAACTGTATTTTCATGCATACGTAGGCAAAAGTGACCGCCCCCCTCCCGAAGGAACCTGCCTTGAAGCGCATGTCCGCGCAATTCCCAGACGGTCACTTAGCTCTGAAAGATCTTGCCGATCACCTTATCAAAGAATTCAGGGGAAGGGAAAGGAACGTTGATTTGGATGCGGTAATCACGCTTGGGCGAACTGCACTGGAATGTACGCCACCAGAACACTCACAACGCCATTATGCCCTCATCAATCTCGCCGACCTCCTTTCCGAACGGTCCAAGAAGAAGAGAACGAAAGAGGATTTGGACGAAGTAATCATGATAAGACGAGTTGTGTCGGAATACATGGTCCCGAACGACCCACATAGACAAAGAATTCTTCTCGAACTCGACGACTGCCTTCACGAACGCTTCAGGAGGGAGGATTCCATGGCAGACCTGGAAGAGATCATATCTCTTCGCCGGGCTGCATTGGAACGTACTCCTCTGCCGGATCGATGCAGACCTCTTCTCGACCTCGCTAGTGCCCTTCACGAACAATTTCAAAGACAAGGCCCAGCGAACATCATGAGTGAGGCTGTTAGCCTCGCGCAAGCTGCGTGGGAGCTTCACCGCCCAGGTCACCCAGATCATGTATTATCTCGAGACCTTCTCGCGAGTTATCTCAAAACGAAGGTTAGAGCAGGGTCTGCTCCTGCTCATGTGAAAGAACCAGGGGCTAGCTCTTCGGGCTTCAATTCCCTTAATATCAAGCAATTAATCAAGAGGGCTGTTTCCAAAACAGTTGAAAAAATTCCCCACCGTTTGTTGCACACGCCCACTGGCCTTTTGTGTAACCGGGATGCGCAGGTATCCCGTTTCGAGGGCAGCCATCAGTACAAGCAACTGCTGTTGTCCACCTCTCCGCTCAACAGCCAGCAACTTGTAACGGAGATCGATGATGTGCTCTCAGAGTTCTTTGAATTTGCCACGCTGTCTCACAAGTGGGGGATTCGCGAGCCGTGACTGCGCGACGTTGAAGGGAAAAATATCTATGACTTAGGCGGCATGGACGGTCTGGCGAAACTCCAGCACTTTTGCATTCTCGCTTTGGGGCAGAATTTCCAGTGGGCATGGAGCGATACTTGCTGCATTGACAAAGATAGCAGTGCCGAATTGCAGGAAGCGATTGGGTCGATGTTTTCTTGGTACCACCAGTCATCCCTGACAATTGTGTACCTTTCCGATGTCTTCGATGCTGGTTCGCTTGCCAATAGTGTCTGGTTCACACGAGGATGGACACTTCAAGAGTTGTTGGCTTCACACACCGTCTTCTTCTTTACGTACGACTGGTCTCTCTACACGACGAGTGACACTGCGAACCACAAAACAGACCCTACCGTGCTCGAAGAGCTCCAGAAGGCAACGGGAATAACAAAACGGCACCTTGTGGATTTCTATCCGGGCATGGATGACGCACGAACCAGACTCCACTGGGCATCAGGCCGTGGTACCACTCGACCAGAAGACATTGCCTACTCACTTTTTGGAATCTTCAAGGTTCACTTACCAGTCCTCTATGGCGAACCTGTGGAGAATGCCCTCGGACGCCTCCTGGCAGAGATCATCTCTCGTTCTGGAGACATTTCGGTTCTGGATTGGGTTGGGGAGGCATCATCGTTCAATAGCTGCTTCCCTGCCAATCTCGTACCGTACCAGACGGTACCTGACATCCAGCTGACCCCCAGTAACCCTGCTAAACACAGTGACCTGGATCTGGAAAAAGCACAAAAATTGTACAATAACCTTGCAAGATTACCGCGGGCCAAATTTGTCAACAATAAGCTTGTGTTGCCCTCCATCGCCCACCCAGTCACTGTGGTCAAACTACAAGGGACCTCAACTAGACACTCCGACCGTTATACATACGAGATTCATGCATCGCGCCTTACGCCCCTCGAGCTCACACAGTCGGTCTACCTTGATGAGGATGCCTGTAGATATAGTCTTGTTCGTCCTTGGCATCCAGAAGCGCTCCCGACGCGAACCGGTAGCAATGACAACGCTGTGTGGGAGCTGTTGGAACAGCTGAAGCAACCATTCAACGCACTTCTACTCAAGGAGTTGCGTCACAATGAGTACAGGAGAGTTGCAAGCGACTGTATGATTACTGTTTGCCCTCAGGATCTGGTCAGTGTCCTAGATAGTCAAGTGCTGATACCCAAGATTGTGTAGGAAGTCTCTCTTACCGAAAGTTATCCGCATCACCGAGGGCCCCTTTATGTTTTGTCCTAGCATGTGTGTCATTTTATACCTGTACACGGGAGGGTACTGTAGGTACCACGAGCGCGCAAAGCATGTCGGACCCTCTGTTTCTGTATGCAAGGGTCAACCCAGGTAGCCAGAATCTGTATGGAGTTCGCAAGTATGAGCAACTAGTATTCATCTCGTTGCGACGTCGAAGGCTATACGATGTGCAACGCAAGCCGAACTTGAGTGGGGGAACAGCGTCGAAAGCGGGTTATAGCTAATTGTACGAACGAACATGACATGAGAAAGACTTGTGATTGAGACTAGGCGAATGACATTGCTCAATGTCCTCGAACTTTCCTCAAATCACCTGTCATGGTTTTACATGCTTATGACACTCTCGTCGCCCAGTTGGTAAGAAAAAATGGGGGCACCTTACCGATACGATCTCTTACAGCTTGTTCCGGCGAAACTGATTACACACCAGCATCTCACACCCAACGCACCTCTAGCTCCCAAAATCGATCGAGGGAGACAAGTAAGAGAGGAGAGGAGAAGACATCGCAAACGACCATCATTGAGGAAAGAGAATACACAATAGTCAGTAGTATTCCCCGCCTGCACAAACAGCACACTCGCAAAAAAATACAACGGCAACGCACGATGACAATGCTCACTTCTCCCTCTTCTTTGACGAAACTTCCTATTTATCTGTTGACAGTCGTGATCTACACGGAGACGTTCAGCCACTTCGTGAATTATGCGCTGGCGGCCGGTATCATCTCGAGTGCCGAAGTTCCGAGGTGGGGCGGACCGGTGCCCATAGTTCTAATATTAGTTAAACCTACAGGTTTTGGAGGTACGGCAGGACTGAGCCGCAGCGAAGTAATTGTCGAAGTCAAAGATGCAGACTTTGAAGATACTGCGGGGCAAGAGCATGACGGCCTGAATAAGGGATCGTACATGAGATCGGTGGTGGTGTTACCGAAGACTGGGCAGCAGCGAGACACTGATTCCGAGTTTGGATACGACGCACGGTTGCATCAGCAGCTGGGAAGTCGTTTGTGGGAGCTCTCGGTTAAACTGACAGTGTAAACAGAACTGGACGTGGTATTCTGGAGTCCGAAGAGGAACTCCCGGGTGGACTGGTGTAGCAGCAGGAGCTCGGATGAAGCTGGCGCGGTATGAGGAGCTCTTGGTTGAACTACATGAGCAGGCTGAGCTCTGGGTTGTGACGTGGGCGTTTTGAGGCCTTGGCTGAACGGGATCTACCTCACTGAACACTACGCAAGGGTGCTCACCCCGACCGAATTGCGCGTCGATTCTCTGCTCCGGCGCAGTAAACGGTCGGCGCTCATCCCACTGTCGTATGATAATACCCCATGTTCAGGTCAATAAGCTACGAGAGCCTAGGCATCGCACCCAGCCTTCCCCGAGAATGAGAGGGACAAGGCAATGGGCAACTCCGCTCCGCGTGGCACCCCGACTAGGACCCCGAAAAAACTCTTTCGCCCTCGTCACACCAGCCCCAGCAGAGGCCCGTCGCAGGCACTAGCGACGTACAGTAGCGTTCTTTAGGATTACAACCCCAAAAACACATCTCCCATCTCCCCAACTCCCATAATCAGTAGAATTACCCTACATTCGACGATCCATGACCACGACAGGACGAACGTCCTTGAGGTCAGGTTCCCACGCCACGTCAGGCCCCCCGCCGGGACCCCGTACATCTGGTGTGGCCCCACCCGGCAAAACAACCCGAAGTAGTGGCATACCACTCGACGACATTATCAACGACCCAGATGCGGAAGTCAAAGACGTAGAATCAGCAAGAACTCTCCTGGACCAAGCGTACACGATCCATGGCAGGCCAGCCTCGCCAGAACACATCTCCCAAGCACTCTTCTACATTTCGCAAGCCAAGGGAGTCAACAACATGTTACGCTCAATCATTCACACCACAGCCTTCCTCATCAGGGAGCTGATGGTACCGGCTTTGGCCGACTCCATCACCAGGGCAGTTGCAGACAAGCTTGAAAGTTCAGTACTGATCGTGATCTCCCCCCATGTAGGAAAGATCTTAGCAACTGCCGACAACCTAGAGAAGGTCAACAAGAAAGCAAGCGAAAATGTCCAGTTGATCAATGCTAAGCTCAGCAAAACCATCGATCCATCACCCACAGCCACCGCCCATCCAAACGACAACCAACTGGAAGATAAAGTACAAAGTCTCACCGACGATGTAGGATTGGTTAAATCAGCACTCAAAGAAGTCAAAACCCTCCTCAAAACCAATGCTCCCCTGGCTCCCTTCCCCATATCCTACAGAGATGCCCTCACAACAACATCAGCCAACCCAAACCAGATCCTGCTTGGAACTTGTCCCACCCCAGAACTCACTAGGGCTCATGCAGCCATCAAAGAAAGGCAACTACTACCAGAACTCAACAGTGATCACCCACTCCTCAATGAAACAACCAGCAGAGAATCATCCATTGACCTCATTAAACAGGCGATCGATATGGTAGACTGCATCAACGGTCCAGGCCCCCAACTTAAGTCCATTGCCTGCCTTTGCAACAACTGTATCTTGCTTGAACTCAACAGCCAGGAGTCTGCAGCATGGATCAGAGATGCACCAAACAGAAATGCTTTCTTGGAGAAACTAGGTGGAACAGCAATGATCAAGGACAGACAGTATAGTATAGTCATCCCATTCCTTCCCATCACCACTGACCTAGACAGCCCTGACACTCTATGCAGGATGGAGAACAAGAACAACATCCAGACTGGGTTGATACTGTGCATCAAATGGATTAAGGACCCTGCAAAATGCTCACCCACCCAGAAAGTAGCCCATGCCCTCACCTTCATCACCTCACCTGATACAGCCAACTGCCTCCTGAGGGATGGCTTTTACTGGGGTCTAGACAGGCTCTGCCTGTACAAGGACAAAAGGGAGCCAATATGGTGTCTCAAATGTCAACGAACAGGCCATCTGGCAAAGGACTGCAAACAAATGGAAGACACATGCGGCCTGTGCACCCTACCACACCGTGCACAAGGATGCACCTCCCTTACAGTATTCTGTGTTAATTGCCAAAACAACACCCACCCCAGCAATGACAGACAATGCCCCGACTTCATTAGATGCTGCAATACACTACACAACCATACCCCGGAGAACAGGATGCCATACTTCCCCACCTCAGAGGAGTGGACACAAGTAGAACTACCCCCACGCCCTCTAGATCCCATAAAATGGACCAGACCCCCTCCAAACCCACTTGCTGCCCAGGGACAATTAAGACAAATGACCCTAGGCAAGGCCATGAACATCCGCACCCACGTCCCCAAATGAGGTCAACACAACATGATACGAGGAGGCAGAGGAGCCCCCCCCATCCATACTCATTCACTGCTACATCCTCTACCACCCCACCCCAATTTCCAACCTGCCCTGATGTCAACCCCACCAGCCAAAACTCCCCCCAACCCCTCCTCTAATGATGTCTGAAAGCCATACTCAAGATGACACACTGACCAAACTATGAATATGGCAACAAAACCTTAATACTTCCCATATAGCACTACACTCACTAATTAACAGCCAGTTAGCCGAGGAATGGGACATAGTTGCATTACAGGAACCCCCAATAGATCAACTTGGTAACACCAGAGCCAACACCTGATGGAGGGTGGTATACCAACAGCAAAACTAGCACAAGGAGCAAAGCCCTGGGCAGTAACTCTGATAAACTCAAAAATCAGCACTAACACTTGGGAGCAGGTCAACTTCCCATCTGTGGATGTGGTGGTTATGAGACTGAGAATGACAAAAGGAACATACATGCTGTTTAACATATACAATGATTGCAAGCACGACCACATGGTGGAAGGCATGGGATCCTTCTTAATGGCAAACATAAGGGACATCAGAAGAAATGAAGGCAACAGAATGATATGGGCAGGAGACTTCAACAGACACCACCCAATGTGGGATGAAGAACACAATCACCACCTGTTCATGGCCTCCACAATCGTGTCAGCACACAAGCTACTAGAACTGGTAGCGGACTACAGCATGGTCCAGGCCCTGCCCAAGGGCAAACCCACGCTCCAATCCTCCTCCACAGGGAATTGGACATGTCCAGATAACGTTTTTTGTACAGAGTCTATGCTAGCGGACCTATCCAAGTGTGACACCAGTCCAGAGGACTGTGGTCCCAACACCGATCACCTTCCGGTGCTGACACTGCTCGATATGACCCTCACCCCATTGTCGACATCCCCATCCTTTAACTTCAGGGAGGTCGACTGGAAGAGGTTCAACAGCTCACTCAAAGCCAAGCTGGCGAAGATCGGCCCTCCAGCAGCAATAACTAATGAAACAGTGTTCCAAAGAACAGCCAGAGGCATAGACGAGGCCTTGTGTAGGACCATGGAGAAGGAGGTCCCGAGGACACGCCTGCACCCTCACAGAAAAAGATGGTGGATGAAAGAACTAATGACCCTACATAATGAGCTAAAAATGCTAAGTAAAGCATCATACACGTTCCATGCAATATGCAATCACCCCAGTCACAGCCAATGAAAGATGAAAGCTAAGGAGTATGATAGGACCATTCAATCTGCCAAAAAGAGCCACTGGAGGGACTGGCTTGAAGAGGCAAACAACGACAACCTCTGGATAGTGAACAAGTACATATCCAAGCCCTATGGAGATGGCAGTAACACCCATGTACCAACACTGAAAAAACTAGACGACAATGGAGCTGCAACCACACTCAGCACCAATGAGGACAAAAGCCAAGCCTTCGCGCACATGCTCTTCCCACCCCCTCCACCCCAGTCCTCGGTACCACAAGACTACAGATACCCACCACCAGAAGTGCAATGGTTGGCCATCACAAAGGACCAGCTTGCTCAAACAATCAAAAATCTCAGCCCATACAAGGCCCCAGGGCCTGATGGGGTAGCCAACATAGTATTTCAAAAATCTCCAGTCCTGGAAAGCTACTTACTACACCTCTTTAACACAGTGTTCATGCTGCAGACCTACTACGACCCATGGAGAGAATCAACAACAGTAATTCTCCATAAACCTGGCAAGGCAGACTACACTACACCAAAGGCCTATTGCCCCATCGTGCTCCTCAACACCACCACTAAACTTCTATCAGCAATTGTAGCAGAAAACACCACATACATCCTTGAGAAACACCAACTACTCCCAGGCACACACTTCAGCAGTAGGCTGGGCCGTTCAACCAAAGATTCGCTGATTTTACTCGAGTCCATGATACAACACACCTGGTGACAAAAGCAAGTGGTATCAGCACTCTTCCTTGACATTGAAGGGGCATTTCCGAATGCCGTCACAGACTGCCTACTACACAACATGAGAAAGCAGGGTCTGCCTGTGGAAATTGTTAGTTACACAGGATGACTACTCTCCAACAGAAAAACCAAAATCCACTTTGACAACTACGAATCCAACTGGTTCGAAATAAAAAATGGTATAGGCCAAGGGGATCCATTATCAATGATCCTATATGTAATATACAGCTCGGATCTGGTCGATACAGCCAAAGGTAAAAATGAACTAATGCTAGCCTTTGTAGACGACACTGCCTTTATAGCTATCAGTAAAACCTTTGCAGCGACCCACACCATCCTACATGACATGATGGAACGAGATGACAGTGGCTTCATCTGGTCCAAAGAACACAATTCCCACTTCGAAACTAGCAAGTTTGCACTCATGGACTTCATGCTCAGCCACAACAAATCCAGACCACCACTAATGCTAAGAGACACCACCATAAATCCGTCAGCTACTCACAGGTTCCTAGGGATTATCCTCGACCAAGAGCTAAGGTGGAAAACACAAGCAGCACAAGCCTTAGCGAAAGGAACAAAGCAGGCCCTCCTGCTACGAAGACTCTCCACATCCTCATGGGGCATCCCCATGAAACAGATGCAACGACTCTATCAAGCAGTAGTGGTGCCAAAGATAACATATGCAGCATCAGTATGGCTACACCCACCCTACACTGGGGACCTCTCCTCCAAATCAAGAGGCTCAAGAGGTGTCACAGTGTGCATTACCACAATCCAGAGAATGGCTATTCTAGCAGCAACAGGAGCCATGAGAACCATGCCCATGGATGCCCTTCTAGCACATGCACACATGCTCCCAGCTCCCCAACTTGTCCAACAAATACTACATAGAACGTCCCTACGCCTGGCATCGCTGCCAGTTATGCACCTGCTTCACCAACACATCAAAAAAGCAGCAAAAAGGAATGTAAAACACCACCGCATGGTACTACACCGCCTCTTCCACAACCTGGAGGTCAACCCAAGAGCTGTCACAGAGATCTGCCCATGCCTGCTACCCCCATATGCCCTCCCCATGCACTCAACTGCCATAGCCCCAGATAAAAAACCGGACTCTAGTGTTCACAGATGGGTCGTGCACTGATGGAGGAGTTGGTGCAGCAGCAGCCTTGTACGTAGATTACCAACACATCATCACCCTACACTACTGTCTAGGCAGCACATCAGAACACACAGTCTTCGAGGCGGAAGTGGCAGCCTTGCTCCTGGCAGCCCATCTTCTGGCTACTAGGGACAAGGTTGACTTCCCAGCCTCCATACTTGCAGATAATCAAGCAGTTATACGATCCAGTGAGTGACCATCAGCCAAACCCAGGCACTATCTACCTATGCGCTTCAGGTCAATGATTTGAGATATATGCAAAAATGGATGCCTGACAAAAAAGGACATCACCCTACAGTGGATAGCTGGCCACATGGAAATAGAAGGTAATGAACTAGTGGACAGAGAAGCCAAATTAGCAGTGAAGGGAGACATACCCAACAGTCCATCAGGAGACCTCCCATCAACACTAGCAGAACATCTACCCATCAGTGTCTCAACCCTAAAGCAAGCCTATGCAGCCAAGCTTAGAAGCCTCTGGAACAGAGAATGGCAGAGATCCCTGCGTCACAGCAGGATCTCTCACGTCGACCCATTCCTGCCCAGTAACTCATTTGTAAAACTGACTGCTCCGCTCCCTAAAAGAAAGTCAGGCCTGTACATCCAACTCCGTACAGGTCACATCCCGCTCAACAAACACCTGCACCGCTTCAAACGCAGCGATACACCTCTCTGCCTGCAATGCAGCGAGACCACCCCAGAAGACGTACACCACTTTTTGTTCCAGTGCCCAAGGTACGACAGGGAAAGGCACGTTCTCCGTAATGCCTTGGGTAGGGACGCCAGTTCACTGCCGTACGTCCTGTCAAACGCTAGAGCTCAGCCTCATCTCCTCAAGTATGTGTCAAACATGAAACGACTAAAGGAAACATTTGGTGAGATGTATAAAACCAGATGAGACACCTGATAAAGCCCTAGCATAGGTAACATGACCGCTCCCCCGAGTCTACCCAATAGACTGTCCACCCCACACCTCACCAGGCTACTGCCTAAAAACCACAATAAACCACGACCTCATCCCCACTCGACTCGTCCGACTTGCACACGCCCCAACCCCTCGCTCCATCACTCCCATCAGACTCCAAAAAAAAAAAAAAAAAAAACCCTCGGCTTAAATGCTACCTCCGTTCACAAGCTCCCCAGTCATCTCACCCTACCATAATACCGCCACCACTGCAAAAAATGCAGTCCCTACAACATAGTCATCAAACAGCAGAGCTAAAGAACGCGATGTCTCCCTTACCAGCTTGCCTAACAGCAGCCGAATTAGTGTAGCCTCAGTTTAATGTCTAGAAACGTCTTAAGCCTACCCCACTCCAAGGCGGAGTGTCTAAAACAGCCGGCGGGAACGGAGGACTGGTGGGGGGCCGTAGGCCCTGCCACCAGGGCATTCACTCGCTTGTGGGAGTAGGCGGGCCACAGGGGGCCACCACTAGACAGCATAAACAGACGATAGTATAGTGCGACATAGGTTCGTTAGAACCTCATGCACTTAAAACTATGAATTAAAAAAAAAAAAAAGGCAATGGGCAGGCGGAATGTGAGTGTTTTCTATTACACTTCGGCTGGGGCACTGAAGAACTGACACCTCTACGACAGACCGGAATGCAATATTTTGCTGAATCTTGTTTACTGCTGTCAGATGTCCCAATCTCTTCGCTCTTGATAGGATTGAAGGTTGCGAATGGAGGACGCGGAACAGGTGGCATTCTCCCTCCTTGGTCGGGCCTCGGCAGATGTCTCTAGTATCTACGACTGCAACATACGCTCGGAGAGTATGTAGATTAATCCGATTCTACTAAATCAGAAGATTGAGATGTCCGTCAGGCTTTCGTTCGTTCGTTACCCCTTCGCTAGCAGGCTCAGATGTGCGATCTCCACCACCCCATCTTCGTATCCTTGAATATGAATATGATTGGGTAAGTAACGACAGGTGCACAGACAACCGGAAGGTGGGCCTTGTGCTACCGTCATATCCCTCATCTCCACTGTCTTCTCGCTCGAATGAAGCGCTGTCACGACGACGGCCTCTGGGACAGTGTTCGCGAGTAATGATCTGCGCCGTAGTCAGAACTATCAGTTCCCTACCCAGTGCCATCAGCTACACAGGCTCCACAGAACACACCTCTAGTCCCACAAGCTGGGCAAGTTCGCCTAATCAATCTCTCGTTGACCCGAAAAAGTTGCATCTGCGGAGGAGGGAAATGGACTGGTACCCTATCAGTGGAGCAGACGATGATAAAAAAGCCACGACAACGTACGAGGAGCAAGCCATTGGTGATCACAAGTGGTCGCCCGTAGTGCGGAAGCTGTTGTCCAGAGAATCCACTCAATTGCGTATGGGGCGTGTCATCGATCACGCTCACGTTGCCTTGCAGGGGGAAGACACTGTGCAATGCCCATGGATGTCCAGCGAGTGGGTTAGCCTGTTGGTGTTTCTCTGGCGACAATAACCCCAAAGGGCACTGTTCGCATCAACGGAGAAACGCTAGAGAATCGAAGCGGAGTGCTGGTATATGGCGTATCATACAGGTGAGATGTCATCTAGGAAGAGATAGTGATAAATTCACGCGACTTAGGGTCAACGTATGCACTCCTTTTTCGGCCGAGGAACAGCATCGATGAAACTGCTGATACCTCTGCAGTCAACTTCAGTATCCCCGAGATGCATTGAAATTTCGTACCGCAACAGCAGATTGTAAATGCGTACCACTTGGCGAGCATATCCATGTGACTATCCGATCTACGGGGTACCCGTACAGGATGGTATTGACTGAGTCAAGGATTTCTCCTCTTGTTCCTCCATCTACCAACCTCATCCTGCTCGGAAGGGCCAGCGCGTTTGCCAGGAGTACATGAGGTTCGTTGGCGTCCGTTGACGCGACGAGAACGGTCGGGGCTCGGCGTCGTCCATCAATCGTGATGAAGAGGGTGGACAGGGGAGTAGGTGCGCAGTACGGACGATGATCGTTGAAGAGGAAGGTAGGCGTGCAGAGCGGACGACCTGCGTGCTGAATCTATAAGGGCAGCTGTGAGCCTGACATCTGATTTCGGGGGTACTTTCCGGGTCAGCCACCTTTTGGCTGCCGGCTAGCCGAAGGGACGAGGCTTGGTACGTGATCATCTAAGTTTCAATGCATATCCGCACTGCTGGTTGTGATGCGTAGAGTCTACGAGACGTTGGTAGGATTCTCCCTCTAAGACGACTCGCAAATTGGGAGGCCGACATTCGATTCCGAAGGCTCTTAGATGTATGTACCACAAACAACCATTGGTAGAGCTCTCCATTGTCGCCCTTGTCCTCGAAGGCTAGTCGGAACCTGCACTCGAATTGAAGGTCGGAAAGGATTCACAACGAAACAAAATGGAACACCCACATATATGCCTCGTCGGTTCGTCAACTCCAACCTCCGTCCTCTACTAATTCTAGCCTCCTTCAATACGTACCTATCCAACCATCGAATCCCCATCTCCCTAACATTCGGTGGTGCGTGACACCCATAAAGAAACACGAATATCATTGGGTAAGTAACAGAACAAAGCACGTTTTGGAATACGTATGAGGTAAATACATCGTGTCGGTATATTCGTAGATAGATAGCTTTTGTTGGCCCGGATAGGGCCACGTATATATGCGACAGATGCGACGATGTCGGGAGGGGTATGATGAGAACGATGAACAAAGACAACGAAAACAGCACGAAAATACGAACACAGAAATGACCGCTGAAGGGAGAAATACAGACCAGATGTAACAACCAGCAGTCCCCCACATACACGTCAAAGGATTTCTAGCACTTTCACTCGAATGTTCTTGGAGGTAATGTTGGTTCCGAGCCCCGAGACGACAATCTCCCTCTCGGCAGCGACCCTCTTGTACGTTCCATTCTATTGTTGTACGAGAAGAAACGCGTTGAAGGACTGTCCGAGACGAGCGATCATCTCCAGTGCCCGGGTATAGCTGTCAACCTGTGGTACAGGGACAATCCAAGTCAGAATCAGGGTCAGATTCCGAGTCATTTTCCAAGGTAACACCACTGCTCAGGCCTCGGGTATGATCGATCCACGGATGCGCGAAGGCGAATTTCTGTGTCCCGTTCAGCGGGAGCTGATCTATGGTCGTGAATTCCACTTCACCAAGCCCCGATACCCGGGCAAGATATAACTTTTCATTGCCTCCACATGGCTTCTCGAGACTTCCTACAGAGAAGACGATGCATGGAAGGTGCAGACGTCAGGTTGTAAAACGGGCGAGGGAAAGATGGTTGATCTTATTATATATAATTCGCGCTTTTTGTCTGGGAAACTTGTCACGTAGCTTCGCGATGCAACTTTTCATTTCTGCCCCTTCGAGTGATGAGGGGTCGTAAGGAATTTGGCTGTAAACGGAAAATCGAAGCCGGGAGACAGCTGTTGTATGACGATGAATTCCCTGACCACGCAAGTACGGTGACCTCTCCATTGCGGGCCACGATCTCCTCCAGGAGATGTCCGAGAGCGTCGCTTCCTTCGCCGTAGTGGGGCCTAATATCAGACGTGAATATCCCGATCAGAGAGTATGCGACGTCTTCATCGAACTTCGCATTGCGCGTCGAAGCGAAACGAAGTTTTTCGCGCACCCCAAGATTGTCTGGAAAGAACGTGACGATGGTTCCGGAGGGGATCTTGATAGCATCCGCTCGCTCTTGCATGATCCCTGGAGATTGCTTGTGGCTCACGCCAGTATTGCCGAAGTACGGTTTCCACTCGGAGTCGTAGAAAAAGATGACATTTGGTGAGAGAAACTCTTATAATGTCCAAGTTCGCGCCATCCATAAACTACGCGAAAGGTCCCCGGGCTTGGGCGGATGGGTTACACCGGCAAGGAATACGAGCGTGGCCGCCGAATTCGCATTCCACTTGTACATGGAGGTAAGGGACTGGTTAAGGACAGAGCTCGCGGACTTGTCGATACAACACGTATATGACCATGCCCAATTGTGACCGAACCTGCGCGTTTCCAGGCGAAAAACATGCAACTTGTTATTCAGGGGCGTGTCGGGAAGGTCCCACACGGAGTTGACTACATTGACGTCCTGGAACGACGGCTCGTTCCCCTACCATGCGTGCGAGAACATGACGTATCCGAAAAACCTTTCAACCACATGTCGGATCTCCGTCCTGTCCACTTTTTTTGTCATGGATGAAACAAGTCCTTTGAACCTCGTATCAGCCTTGAAAATACGCATCCGCCCAGTATCATTGCAAAGGCAGCCGGTAGTGACATCAATGACGACGAGGGGACAACAGATCTCGCCGACGATGGAATCGATTGCAGCAATCACGTCGGGTGGTGAAATGTAGTTCTTACGGAGTTCTGTGAAACCGTCACTTGGGGTATTAGTTTCATAGAGGAGGTACATACGGGTGGTTGCGGGGTCATGGGACTGATCCATCCTATGCAGCATGGACTTGAAAGCCTCGATTGCCTCGTCATACTGCTTCGCGCCATGAAGCACCACATGCGTGGCCTCATAGCCCCAAGGACTGGAGGGATCCGCTTTCACCTCCTATACAACAACCGTAGGGGAACCCACTCATACAAGAGAGATACCATGCATACCTCGTTCGCATCCTGTATTGCTTCCTCCCACAACCCTTTTGTAGCGCGAGTTCTGCTTCGTTTGATAAGTAGACTCGCAGGACTTGAAGGACTGAGTATTATTTTATTGCGTCGTCATGTTCTGAAGATCCGAAAGCATCGTCGCCAAGACGCTCAAGCGTCGCAGCACATTTTTGGGTGAAGTCTGACGACAGATATGAATGTGAACGTCAACTAGCGGTTACAAGACATACCTGCGATCCAACCCACAATTGCATCTCGCTCCTTGTCTGACGTCCTGATGATATTGAGGAGGATCTCCGTGGCTTCGGCAGTACGTCCTTCAGCATAGAGGGTCTCACATAGATGTTGCCGGGCGGTGGTATCCGGTCCGTTGGGACTCCGCCCGGGTGTCTTCGTGGGGCATTGCATTAATAGGCAACGCTAGTAAGAGCAGAGGACCTACAAGTGAGATCGTCACTAGCGGAGGACGTTGTTTGTCCTTGGGGGCCAGGTTCTTCCCATGCTCGATCAATGATATCGCACGTCCGTAGCTGTCTTTGTTCGTGTACATGACCCCAAGCATCTGCGGGATGAATCAGCAGTGATACTTACATGTCGGCGTCACGCGAGGCACGTACCTGGGTATAAAGGTAGGAAGCGTTGAAATCGTTGTCCTCGCCCGCTATCGTAGCGAGGCGTTCTGCGCGCATTACGCGCTCCTCTTGATTTCCGGATTCAAACACAAGGATCGACTGAGCGGAACGCAGATTAATGGTGAAAAGGACGCAGATTAAGTCGCGCACCTTCAGTAGTAAGAGAATTCTGTGGTCATGCAGCTCACAATCATAAAATGCAAGGTCGAATGTGCGCAGCGCACCCTCCCGATCGCCCTGGGCAAGTGGAGCAATCGCCATCGCGATATGGCTGATAGGTGATCGCCGAATCCGGTGGGACTTGGGGTGCATGTGGGCAACCATACACATGGAGTAGTGAGGAAGCGGACTCACCTCCTTGACGTCCTCTATCACAGGTGCCGAATGTTTCAGTCTTGTTCGTATAAGTGCGCGGTTCGCTAGCACGTAGTGGCTAGGGCTAGAAGCGCCCGCAATCTCCTGAGAGTAACACTTCGTTTTTCGTCGGCTCGTCCTGTATCTGCGACTCGAAGGTCTTGTTACTCAAATCTACGAGCGGAAGCTGAGAGACGCGGAATTAGCGACAGATTAAAGCGTTACACAGGGCACAAGAATAGCATGGTGATTGTTAGTGAAGCGAGCTTCATGAGTGGATGTACACTTACACTGTAGTCGAGATACTGATCGCGGATTGTAATATTCTTGCCATTTCCACATGCGAGATACCACCCGCTTGGTGAGACGGCGGCGCATCCGACCGCTATGGTATGTGTGATAATGCTACCGATCTGCTTGTGGGACGCACAATCCCATAGCGAAACCGATGAATGTGCGGCACATGCGATGAATCTGCTGTTAGATGTTATAGATGGTTGGGATTGGTTTTCATGGATCGACCATTCTGAAGTCAAAGACTTGGAAAGGCCAAAACAGATAATTTTGCCTTCGTTCGCGACGAGCAGTTGCTGGTCATCAGGCGACCAGGCTAACGGAGTGACGAAATAACCGCTGGCGCAACCGCTTTGACCTGAATCGAACAAAATATTGTCGGTGCTGTAGACACGGAAACCTTGTGCCGTCGAGACGGTAGCAAATCGAGTGCCGTCCAGAGAGAACTTGATGCCAGCAACGGTAGAATGTGAGAGGGGAAGGAGTCGGTCGCCGTAAGGGATGCTGAATATTCGGGCACGGAAGAAGTCCGCAGTGGCAAGTTTAGTACCGTCGCTCGAGGTATCGACCGAATTTACATGGTAGCTGTGTTCTGTGAACTTACGCACATTCGCCTGAGTGGCAGCTGCGTTCCAAAGGATTGCATTGTTGTTGTGGTCTCCGAACACGATCCACTGGTCATCCTGGGACACGCCAACAGACCAGACAGGGCTACTCGCTTTCATGGTTTGCCCCTGTTGTCGTCCGTCTTCAATCTTCCGTCGTTGAATGTCACCTCCATAATCACCTCCTACGACTTGACTTTCGCCCGCAAGGGCGACTCCGTGTACATCATTCCGAAACACAATTTCGATCCGTTTCGCATCTTAAACACCAGAGCGAACATTCAGTAGGGCTGTCTCAGCCTCTCTGACTGCTGGTACGCACCTGTCGTCATCGCTAACAAGCCTGCTAACACAGTCTGTCCTGGAGTTTAGAGGGGAGAAGAATGATGCATCGTAAACTTGCTCGCAGTGCTCAATATATGGCCTACAGTTCCTCGAGCTATCCATACGGTAGGACCAGTGCGTACAGCCAAAGTCACATCGTGTTCTTCGAGATCAGGAAACCGATGCAGATTTGGCAGTGCAGGTCCTAGTAATGATCCCTGAGCTCCACAGAATCCGGACGATGTCACACAGGGTAAGGGTTGGTGGCGACATGTCGAAGGAAGACGTGGTGATGCTATTGGCCATATCTACAGCCGTCACCAACCTCAGAAAATTGTCCACCGCATGCACTGCCCTCTGCCGCACCCTCCGTGCCACCAAATCTTTGGGCTCCACCATGTCCTCACTCGTCGATACCCTCAGCCCCTCACATTTCCTCTCACCAGGATCTGAATCTGCCCCAAAAACCAGTGCTCACGCGATGATAAAACATGTCCGGGTCGCACCTCTGTTTCACGTTCATCAGTACGCTTGTCAAAACACGTGCGCCATTCCACTGAGATGGGAGAGGTAAGATGTAATACAACAGCAACATCGTCACCAGCAAACATCTCATTTATCGAATCGTGCGGCACCTGGATTGTCGATAAGTATCCTCGTAGGGATGCATCTGAATGTCGATGTTATACTTGAGACCTTTCAGTCTCGTCGGTGTTCCACTCAAGACCAACTTTCATGACGATCTCATCTTCACAGCGACAGCCAGCAACGTCTTCGCTGTACTCGATGCTACAGACGGATCATTAGATGGGCACTGGGCAATCTAATATTTAGTAGAAGTTCTAACTCGTCGCAGGCGTGGCGGAGCATCCACGACGACTCAAGAACATGTCTTGGTCTGGCGTCTCATCATCTAATAAATATCCTCTGCAGATGTCGCACTGCTCTCTGGACCCGGTGGGTGCACTTTGTGCACGTACGGCACATCTACAGGCCACCGTTCCCTCTAACGTCGCCTCCATAACCATGCAGACACTCAAGCACACGAAGTACTACACATAGCGATCACAACAGGGCGAGTTTCAGTCGAGGGGGGCACGGGGTTCTTCCACTCACCAATCACGACACGGTCAGTCACATAGACAACCAGTTTAACGACGTCGTGTGTACATGGAACTCTCCAGACAATGGGTTTGCCCAGTATCCTCCTTTACAGCAACACGATGATACCATGATAGGTCTCTTGTGACGTACTCCCAGATCGGTACGACACCAGACGCCATCTACGCGATGGTCTCGCCAAGTCCAAGGCGGCGTACACTCTCCACGTCACCAGTATGTTCATAGGCAACGGATCCGCCATTGCATTTGTCAACATCCCTGCACACCTCGCAAAGCACATACCTGGTTTTATCCTCTTTATGCAAGACATCGGACTCGCAGAGGCGGGACAGTTTATCGCATCACACAGGATGGGTCTACCCATGTTATAAGGTACAACGGTGAGTCCCTACGACCGATAGGGGAATTCACCGACGCGGTACGTATCCAGCTGGTGTATTCTGCGTCGCAGCCTGACAGGGACAAGCAGGCACTGTCACACACACCCCGAGTCGCATTTCGGAGGGGGCTTTGGTAAGGACGGCGAACCTCGCATTGCGTGAGTGTATTAGTCACACGCAAATCGTGTTTGTATCCTCGTCTCTGGCCATGCTTATGACGGGATCGAAGACTTCGATGATATAGCGAGTAATCCATCAGACGTCCACCCCGCGTCTTTCTGAGGGTACAAGACAAGCAACGGGATATGCATTTCCATTCCCAACACACGGTGCAATTCGACACGTAAGTGATCATCTCTCTTTATACTCTGCCACTTACTTCTCACCCCACTCAAAGATTACCTTCGACGGACGATCTCGTAGCTCTCACGAAAGGTATTGAAATGCCACACTGTAATAGTAACTTAAGTTGCAGATGCGGAAGATCAGCAGAGTACGTTCGTGTAACTATGCGACGAGGTCTCGACCAGGTCAAGGAATGTTCCGCTCACCCCTCCGTCTGTGGAGCTTGTCCTGCTCGAAGAGCCAGTGCGCTTGGCAGGAGTACATGAAGTTTATTGGTACTTGACGTCTTCTATCAATCGTGACGTAAGGGAGACGGGGGGGGGAGTATGTGCATAGTAGGTTGTTGATGATGGTTGAAGAGGAAGGTGGGCGGGAAGGGCGGGCGACTGGCGTGCTGAATACATAGGGGCAGTTGGGACCCTAACATCTGATTTCGGGGAGTGTACTCCGGGTCAGCCCCCTTTTGGCTGCCGGCTCGCTGAAGGGATGAGACATGGTACGTGATCATCTAAGTTTCAATGTATGCTCTAACTGCCAATCATTAGATGCGTAGAGCCTATAAACGTTGGTAGAATTCTCCCTCCGAGACGACTGGCGTGCTGCATTTATAAGGACAGCTGGGAGGCTGACGTCCGATTCCTAAGGCTCTTCCGGTCAACCACCTTTTGGCAGTCGACCTACGAAATATGTGGAACAAGCAACCGCTGGTAGTGCCATTCGTAGCCACCCTTGCCCTCGAAGGCTAGTCGTAAGCTGCTCCCGAATCGAAGGTGGGATAGGATTCACAACGAAATAAAACGAAACATCCACGTCTATACCTCATCGGCTCGTCAACTACAAAAATCCAACCCCTCGTCCTCTCCACCGATTCTGGCCTCGACCTTGTATAGCCCCTCCTTCAACGTCCAAAAGGCTTTATACGCAGACATCCACCTTGACTGGGCCCCTCTGTTTATGGAGGTTTCGTTAGTCTTGATTCGCGTATCGCTCAGAATCCTCGAACATGAACCTTGCAACCATCCTCCCCCACATTCGGTGGCACCTGACACTCACAAGGAAACGCGAACACGATTGGGTAAGCAACAGAACAAAGCACATCCACCTAAGCAGGCGAGGTAGTTGCAACTCCTGCTTAACGACGTCAGCTTTCCGCACTCCGTCGGTTACATGGGGACGCTAACCGTACCTCTTACACTGCCAGTCGCGATCTCAGTGTTCCACACTCCATATTCACCCGTTGCCGGAGGAACCCTTTCCACGCGAACCAAGAAGAGAGACCGGGGGCGTCTAATCGGCACCGCTCAGCCCATGAGATATCCTGGAGCGATACCGAGATCGAGAAAATGTTGCTGTGAACTGCAAGACCCATTAGCTCCAGTTATCCCTCGATCGTTAGCTGGCCGAATTGCAACTTACCTCTCTTATAGCTGTTTCTACGTCCAGGGAAACGCATCCTTCGCCCGGTTTTATCCTCGGCGTGACAGTCTATCGCACATAACCTGTAGGAGAACTAAATTCTTGGACACGCTCAGTGTCGTAGACACAAACGACTGAGGCTCACCAAAGACAAAAACATATCTATAAGTACAAGCACCATGGCCAACCACGTGACCATTCATTCCAATACATGAACGAAAAACACATACAGGGAAGCCATACGTAAAGAGAAAACCTGCGTAGAAAACCAGACCAGGGAAGAGCGGCCGTTGAAACCTGAACCCAGCGCCCACTGGAGAGTGAAAGACCAGCAGCATGCGAGGCAGCGTGCCAGAGACAACCTATCTCTTCATGGCACGTAGGTGTTCCTTGAGCATCGCAGCTTCGACAGCTCATATCACACTTCGTAGGGTGATTTCGTCGACTGGAGCCACTACAGTCTTGAAACCATGTCACTACTCCAAGTACTCAAAGCAGGGCAAGCTGTTCCGATCATTACTTGGCCCCTATTATTGTTTATGGTTATTCAGATATCCTGCCAAGGTCACGTTGTTGCGAGGAAATCACGAAAGTCGACAAAATCACCCAGGTCTACGGGTTCTATGATCTGTCTCTGCATGCACTCTTCACCCCGGTTAATTCTCCCCAGACGAATGCCAACATAAATACGGAAGCGCCGCAGTACGGAAAACTTGCTGTAACGTGTTCGGCTATCTGAATCTCGCTGTAGTACGTCGCCACACATTCCTGACGAACATCACTTATAACCCATCTCAAATCATCGGCGGAGAAACGCTATGCGTACATGGCAGACTCTCTCCGGATATACGCACCCTCGACTAAATTCGCGTCCTCGCAAGAGCCCAGGAGATTCCCCACGAATGCACATTCTGCGGTGCGTTTTATTTCAGCCTTCCTCAAGTTGGAATCATTTGATGATGTTGCACACAGGCTTCATGTGGTCAGATCCTGACGACATCGATAATTGGGCTGTAAATCCCAGCGGTGCGAGTTGGCTATTCGGAGGTAACGTAACTCGAGAGGTACTTCGTTCATGCCATTCAGGTTAATCGCATATACCCAGCCTAGCATCTTCACAGTTCAACCACGTCAACTCAATCTCACTCAGTCTTATCGCCCGCGCCCACTAACTGGTTCGAGAAGGCTACAAATACATGTTCGACAACGCCCTAGTCACCATATGGTCCGCACCCAATTATTGCTATCGACGTGGGAACATGGCGTCGCTGTTAACGCTAAGAGAAGGTGTGGAACATGAATTCAAGGTATTTGGTCTGGTTCCCTGGAATGAGAGGGACAAGGGGATGGGCAGGCCGAATGTGAGTTTTTTCTGTTACACTTCTGCTGGGGCACTGAAGTGCTCTACGACAGTCCGGAATGCAATATTTTGTATAGTTATGCTGTGTCTCGCTTATTGCTGTCAGATATCCCGGACTCTTCGCCCTTGATAGGATTGAAGGTTGCGAATGGAAGACGCGGAACCGGTGGCATTCTCCCTCCCCGGTCGGGCCTCTGCAGATATCTCTACGACTGCATCATACGCCCGGAGTAGGTATGTAGACTAATTCGATTCTACCAAATCAAAGATTTCTGTCAGGCTTACGTTCGTTCTTTATCCCTTTGCTAGCAGACTCAGACGTGCTATCTCCATCACCCCATCTTCGTATCCTCGAATATGAATATGATTAGGTAAGTAACGACAGGTGCACAGACAACCGGAAGGTGGGCCTTGTGCTACCGTCATATCTCTCATCTCCACCGTCTTCTCGCTCGAATGAAACGTTGTTACGACGACGGCCTCCGGGGCAATGTTTGCGAGTAATGATCTACGCTGTAGTCAGAGCTATCAGTTCCCTACCCAGTGCCATTAGCTACAGAGGCACTACAAAACGCACCTCTAGTCCCACAAGCTCGACAAGTTCGCCTAATCAATCTCTCGTTGACGCGTCTGCCAAGGAAGGAAACGGACCGGTACCCTATCAGTGGAGCAGACGATGAGGGTAAGGATCAAAAAAGCCATGACGACGCACGAGGAAGTGGTCGTCCGTATAGCGGAGGCTATCGTCCAGAGAATCCACTTAATTGCGTATAGGGCGTGTCATCGATCACGCCACGTTGCCTTGCATTTCCAGCGAATGGGCTAGCCTGTTGGTGTCTCGCTGGCGACAATAAGCCCAAGGGTACAGATTGCATCAACGGAAAAACACTAGAGAATCAAAGCACAGTGTTGGTATATGGCGTATCATACAGGTGAGATGTCGTCCAGAGAGATAACGATCGTCTCATGCGACTCATGTAGACCCAACGTTCAGCGACGGAACGGCATCGATGGAACTGCTGACGCCCCTACAGTCAACTTCAGTACCCCGAGACGCGTCGAGGTTTCGTACCGCGACAGTGGATTGCAAATGCGTACGACTGAGCGAGCATATCCATGTGACTATCTGACCCGCGGGAGTACCCATGCAGGATGGGATCCACCAGGTCAAGGATTGCTCCTCACGTCTCTTCGTCTACAACTACCCGGAAGGACCAGCGCGTTTGGCAGGAGTACATGAGGTTCGTTGGCGTCCGTTGACGCGACGAGAACAGTCGGGGCTCCGCGTCGTCCATCAATCGTGACGCAGAGAGGGGACGGGGGAGTAGATGCGCAATGCGGATGTTGATAGTTAAAGCGGAAGGTAGGCGGGCGGAGCGGACGACTGGCGTGCTGAATCCATAGGGCAGTGGAGAGCCTGACATCTGCTTTCGGAGGGTACCTTTCGGGTCAGCCACCTTTTGGCTGCCGGCTGCCGAAGGGATGCGGGCTCGCCTTGAAGTGTTCATTGAATACTGAAGCGATCCCATCTCTCCATGTCTGCGTTCCGTTGGCACTAGCAGTGTGAACGACACCAACTGACGATCATGGTCTGTAGATGAACGCACACACGTTATTCTCGGATATAGGCCCTCGTTGGGGCGCTCTGGGGCTTATAAGTTTTTGATGCCTACCTGAGGGAATCTGGTCATTCAACTTCAGCCAGTTTGTAGGATTACACAATCCATCCCAATCCTTCCCCCACGCTAAGTCCTACCAACTGGTGCAGTAGGCCACTCATCCCGTTGCCCTTGCGCCGACTATAATGATGCTGGTGATGATCTGTGATTCCAGGAGTACCGTGTCTTTCATCACGCCAATCATCATTGCAATACCATTCGCCGTTATCTCTATTAGCCCGGAATTATACGTTTGCAAAATGTCGATCCAGGAACTATCCCCGGACCAATTTGAATCGGTACGTCTACCCCCTAGCATGGCATTCGCCTCTCCTTCGTGGACACGAAAATATCTGTCCTCCCTTCTAGCGTGCTATGGATTCCAGGCTTCCAGTTGCAAGGATATACGCCTGGAAAGGATACGCACGTATGTTATGTCGCATACGGTCGTGATTTTAAGAGCTGTTTTGAGACACAAGGCAGGACCCTCCATACGATGTGCGAGAGCGTCATGGCTACGACAGTGATTTGACGAAGTAAGAACGCATAAGCGTGGCACAACGTGAGCTAGCGGTGCATCGAGTGATGCAACTACGGCGAATGACATTGCTAACGGTAGCACTGTGGCCGCATCTTCAGCCTGTCCGAAGAAGTCTTTGGTCTCCAGCCGAGTCTTGGAGGTTTTCAGGGGGAGTATAAAAATTGCAGTCGGCTCTATATTGTACATCGGAAAGAGGGAACCGAAGGAAGTGAGGTAGTGTGGAGGAACAGACACATTAGCGCCGGAAGTTCCCTTTTACAATGCGGAGAGATTCATAATCCCGTCACTATCGTCTGCATTCCTCGGGAAAATGTAATGAATTGATGACCTGCTTTCCAATGACGTGCCGCAAGTTAATTCCTCGTGGTGTGCCACTTGAATATGAGGTCAAACGTGTTCCATGCTGTTGTCCTCGTTGTAACCTCCCCTCGAGCATGTTTTTGATGTCCCTGTTGGAGTTAGGTCTGGTCGCCCTCCACGCCGTCACAGGCTGGCTAATAGCGGAACTCTCCATTATAGATTGGGTAGAAGGTGCGCCCTCTTCGCATGTTCCGTTTTCAGTTCCCGGTGACATCGGGGACAATACACGAGTCCTTTGTAGAATAACCAATACTTACCGTGAAATTCGATACAAGCTGGTACGAGTACTATCGGTTGGGATGACCCAGGTGGCATTGCTGCTCAATTTGTTGAATGTGATTGGCACGGTTGCTCTCGATGGAATCTGGCAACCGCTGTGAATGGAGTGAACAGGCTGATAGCGCATGATTTTATCGGGTATCGTCGCAGGTCTTGGATCACGGGTATCGGATAGAATGGCGTGAGACGTGGGTTCACAGGATTGGGACATCTGGCTCGACCAAGTCTCTCTCCCCCGCTAAAAGTAAGTCTGTGAATTTTCATACCGAATGTATACAGGAAGAGTAGGAGAAGTAACGGTGAAGAAAACAATTGAGGGGTGCACACAGCACAAGTCAAAACTTTGGGAGCAACTTACTGACCTGGCAGGTATAGTTCGATCTTATGCTGTGGATCTGCGTGAGTTCTGCGTCGGTGAATAACGACCAAACGGGGGACTTACAGATTGTGGCTTTTTAAAAAAGTGCAGTGCTAAGCGTCTGAAGAAGGGGATTTTCAGTTTCTCCATGTCATCCCACGTCTTCTGAAGTTTGGCTTCAGGCTTTTCCCGCAGTCCTCTCGTCTAGCCTGCTTTCCACATCCACCAGCTCTTCCTGAACGAAAATGGCCTGCCCTTCCCCCGTCAACCCTCGAATAATTTCCCACGCAGAACCCGAAGAGTTGTTGAATCGTTCATGGCGAGCCCCTGCGTCAAGTAGCGGCTTCCAGATCGCACACGCCCGACAGCCCTGTCTCCACACAACCGGCTCAACATGTGGAGGTGCTTGCATATTGATCCCGACATCCGATGATGCGTGTAGATGATGCCGGTCAGTTTGACCTCGTTGCGGTATCTGTTTGCGCGTGGGTGAGTGGTTAATCTAACAAACTCGGTCGCCCACTTCTCCCCCAGCCACCCAGCGATCGTGCGGAGTATATCTCGCTCTGATCGATAAGTGTTATCGAACCCCGGTGGAGCAGTGGGAGAGAGCCTTACGAGCGATGAGCTGAGCTCGAGGGATGATGTATCTACCGAACTTGTCCACGTCCGTGTCTACCACCGTCTGGCTAAGCCTAATGTGGCTGTGTCCTCACCTCCGGCCCCCAGGCCTCCCTACTACACCGGGATGTCGACGAATGCGTATAGTTGGTTGTTGGAAAGATTGACTGTGAGTTCTCAAGGGCCTTGCGTATCCGATTTGAGCTCGTGTGCTGAACTGTCCTCTTTTCTTCCCATGAGTTGGCTGATGAACTACATGTCTCTTTGGTGAATGAATCAGGAGAGATCATTCCTTCACTTACGTCGGATTTCCCTGTTCCCGTAGGACTCATCAATCAGGGACAGTGTAGTTAAAACGAAAAGGATCCACGGGGAGGACATACGCGATGATAACAAGCTTGGAAGACATTCTATGCGCCAGAGGATTTCGCCGTGGGTAGGGTAGAGCTCGCAGGGTTCAACGTTCAGGTATGTATAATACCGTCCGGGCACGTGCCAATACACCCGTATCAAGCTGTCCGCATGTTCTATCACCATCATTTATACTCTCAAATCTACCCCTTCTAATTGTGGCTTATTTCGATCGATCACTTAAAGCTCCTTTCATTCGTAGGACTATGACTATTCCCCTTTGAAGATCAGTGCTTTTGGCGCTCGATTCCGGGAATTCGGATGTCCGAAGAGAACGTTGTCCGTCCTCGTGTTTGTGGAGCAATAGTGATACCTGCCCTTCAAGGCGTGTCGTACCTCCTTGACGTGCCTCCTAAATGCGGCGTCAAATACTATGCATTCCATGCTCCAGTCCTTGTTGCAATCTCCTCTTTGCTGCGTCCTCCATTTTCCTGATGTCGCCGCCCAAGCCCAAGGTAAATCCCAAAGTCTTGCATGCACTCTCTTTGATAATAGCGGATATAGTCTCTTTCCCTGTCTCATTCTCCATTAAGGGATACCGACGACACTTCCTCTTCATCTACCCCGTTTGCGGCTCTTGGGGACATCAACTATATCTCAAGTTCTTTAAGTGACATACCTGAATGGAATGTTCGCGATACACCACCGAGGGGTAACCAGGATGTCCAAGCTTGGGTAAACAGCAACGCCGCCCTCGAATGCCGGTTCAGTGATAGTGCAAGTGATCTAACTGCAATTTCGACGTCTCCGCTCGGGGAAATTGCAATTGATGAGAATGATATCGTTGTCGCGTGCGTCAGTATTACTCCCCATATCGGTGTTTAACACTAATGCTCGATGCCAGTGTCATGGGTCCTACTGGCGCTGGGAAGAGTACTGTGAGTATTCCATGCATGCTCACAAGCTCATTCGAATTGAATGAACCCAGTTTGTTGACTGCGCGGTTGGAAGACCCGCTGTGAATGCCGGTCATGATATGATGTCATATACAAATGAAATGCGCCCGGTCCGATATCCTCATTCCGATGGCATCCGCAACATTGTTTTAGTTGATACTCCTGGGTTCGACGATACGTTCATGACAGATGCCCAGATTCTTAGGGAAATTGCGCGTTGGTTGAATGCAACGTAAGCCAGCCAACTTGATTTTTGCGCAGTCTCAGTTCTGACAACGTTTCAGCTACAAAAAGAACATCAAACTGAGCGGCGTGTTGTATTTTCACCGAATTTCAGATAATAGGGTTTCAGGGACACCGTTAAGGAACTACAATATGTTCAGGGAACTATGTGGAAAGGAGAACTTCAAGAATATCGTCCTCGTTACTACGATGTGGGATGAAGTAACTGAAGAGGTTGGCTCAGCACGCGAAAACGAACTGCAGTCCGACTTCTGGCGGTCCATGATCAACTTGGGATCAACCATTCATCGCTTCGATGGGACAGTGGAATCTGCTTGGAAAATTATTAGTTGCCTTTCCGTGGCACCACCCGTTCATCGCCGTCCACTTCAAATCCAGCGAGAAATGGTTGATAACCATGTGCCACTTCACATGACAACGGCAGGAAGAGCCGTCATGGCAACTCTCACTGACCTCATGTCGGGTGTCAAGGGAATTTTCAAGCGGCTCAAGAATAGTACAAAGAGGTCTCGCAGACCGGTTCCACAGGATAGCAAGCGTCTTCTTCAAAGATTGCCTTCGTTGCTTTCGACAAGTTCATTTACTACCTCCTCCGATACCTCCTCCAATAGTCGGTCTACTGAGTCGGGGATCATAAGTCTTAGAAGTTCTGGAACTTGCAGCATAGAGGGTTACCGGTGTAATTTGGTTCGGGTATTTCCTGTTCTGCAAGCTGCTCTTGGCGTGGCAGAACTTGTTCGTATACCTCATCTCAAGGACGTGATTTCTCCATCTCTCAGTATTGCTCTGTCGATTAAGGTGAGTCTTCGTCGCTGACTTCGCGTCGAGAATGACTTCATACTGTCCTGTCCTAGACCATGACAGGAGCGCACCACGTACTTTTTCAAGTCTTGGCAACTGCTACACTCCTGATTAACGCAGTAGCTGAACATACAAGACAAACCAGGTTACCAGCAAAGATAAAGACAGCAATCAAAGATTTTGCAAAGTAAGAAGATCATGGATTACATACAGATATAGCATGACCGTCTTCTACCTCTTAGGCAAATGAGTGATGTGCAGGGAATTGTCCAGAATGTTGCACGGAGGGAATCTGAAGTACGACAGGTCCTTCGATCGACAGATGCTCGCGTTATTTCGGCCTGCGCGAACTCGATGCGGCTCGTATGCGATGTCCTCCGCGTACGTGAAACGACCTACTCATGTTTGCCTGCAACTGACAACTTCCATAGCTGACGCCCTCCTTAAGAATGGGCATCCGCACCGTGGATGACAGCTTGGGAGCATTAAAGCGGAGCTTGGAAATTGTGAGTATTCTATCCCTTTCTTTGCGTGTTGTGGTTGCCCTCTTACGGTCATCTGCTAGGACATTTGCAGTTGCGGCATCCCCAGAGAGCTCGTGCAACTCGTCTCATCTGTTCAAAATGCTTATATAATCTTGTACGTGGCGGCATACTTCCTGAAACGTCGAGCCTAACGTCGTCGGCAGTGTGGTCGACCCTGCTGAGGCTGGCCAGAGTTTGGTAATGTTGGCATTGATTTACAGGCAAAACTTCCTAAACGGGTGCTAGTTCGCCAACCAATTGCTTGATTGCCACGGTATCAAAGTCGCAGAGATGGGTCCACATCGTTCAGAGCATGTCAAAGCATTGAGGTGCAACCTCGTGAACGGCCCAGTTAATATCGTAGTCGTCAAAATACCGTTATTCCATTCGAACCGTGAAGATCTCGATCTCCATACTGAGAATGCGATGATTAGTTGGTTAAGGTTGGGTGTGACAAATGCCCTTCGATTATAACGTTTTAAGTACTGCCACAGCTTGTCCGAAAAATGTCATTCTGGAATTCTCTTTCTCCACTCGCTCGAATCGGATCCGACAGATGGCCATACGTTGATGATACAGCGTTTCGAGTCGCTTATCAAGCGCTTTTCTAGCCAAGCCACGGTTCCGTCCTGCGTTTATGTGGTGCCGACTATCAACTTGGGCTCGCTTCTTCCCGACGAAACGCTGAGCCAACAGTTGTCGCAGCTCAAGAATACGATAGGAGCGTTGAACTGCAACAGAAACAATAAATGGCATGCATCAATATTCCCCGAAGTCTACAAAGGCCAACCAGAAACAGCGTGGAGTGCGGCACTGTTGCTACTCAAAGATATAGCTGAAATTCAGGTACATCACTCTGCACCGCATTCAATCCATCTTGGAAATAACTGTATTTTCATGCGTACGTAGGCAAAAGTGACCACCCCCCTCCCGAAGGAACCTGCCTTGAAGCGCATGCCCCTGCAACTCCCAGATGGTCACTTAGCTCTGAAAGATCTAGCCGATCTCCTTTTCAGTAATTTCAAGAGGAGAGAAAGGGTTGGTAATTGCGGAGTAATCACACTCGGGCGAACTGTACTGGAATTGACTCCGCCGGACCACCTACAACGCCATTCAGCTCTCATCAGTCTCGCTGCTCTCCTATTCGAACGGTTCCAGCGGGAAGGGACGAAGGAGGATTTGGATGAAACAATCACACTGAAACGGGCTGCATCGGAGTACATTTCCTCAGACGATCCGCAGAGACAAACAATTCTTCTCGAACTCGATGATTGCCTTTATGAACGCTTCAGGAGGAGTGATTCCATAGCAGACCTAGAGGAAATCATATCGCTTCGTCGAGTTTTGTTGGAGCATACTCCTACGCCGGATCGCTGCAGGCCTCTTCTCAACCTCGCTAATTCCCTTCACGGAAAGTTCCAAAAACAGGGATCGATAAGCGACATAAATGAGGCCATTAACCTCGCCGATGCCGCATTGGGGCTGTGCCGTCCAGGACATGCAGATCATGCATTGTCTCAAAACCATCTTGCGAGCTACCTCGAAACGAAGGTTAGCAAAGGCGCTGCCCGTGCTCATGCGACAGTTGTTCCTTCAAATTCCGGCTCCTCCGATATCAAGCAGTTCATCAAGAAAGTTGTTTTCGAAACGCTTGAAAGCATTCCACCACGTTTGTTGCATGCGCGGTCTGGCATCTTGTGTAACCGAGATGCACAGCTATCTCACTTCGAGCGTAGCCCTCAATATAGGCAGTTGCTATTGTCAACGTCTCCACCTGGCAGCCAGCAACTCCGCACGGAGATCAGTGATGCGGTCCTAGAGTTCTTTGCTTTTTCCACGCTATCTCACAGGTGGGGAAGTGGCGAGCCATTACTACGCGAGATTGAAGGTAAAAACATCTATGACTTGGGCGGTAAGGACGGTCGAGAAAAGCTCCAACGCTTTTGCATTCTTGCTCTCCGGCGTGGCTTCCAGTGGGCTTGGAGTGATACGTGTTGCATCGACAAAGATAGCAGCGCCGAGTTGCAGGAAGCGATTGGGTCTATGTTTTCATGGTACCGCCGGTCGTCGCTGACGATCGTGTACCTTTCCGATGTCTTCGACGCTGGTTCGCTTGCAAACAGTGTCTGGTTCAGGCGAGGCTGGACACTTCAAGAACTGTTGGCTTCGCACGCCATCCTCTTCTATACGTATGACTGGTCACTCTACACGAAGAGTGACACCGCGAACCATAAAACAGACCCTACCGTACTCGAGGAGCTCCAGAAGGCAACGGGAGTAGCAGAACAGCACCTTACCAATTTCTATCCCGGCGTGGACGACGCGCGGACCAGGCTCCACTGGGCGTCAGGCCGTAGTACCACACGACCAGAAGATATTGCCTACTCCCTTTTTGGAATCTTCAAGGTTCACTTACCAGTCCTCTATGGCGAATCTGTGGAGAATGCGCTCGGACGTCTCCTGGCAGAGATCATCTCACGTTCCGGAGACATTTCGGTTCTAGATTGGGTTGGGGAGGCATCATCGTTCAATAGCTGCTTCCCTGCCAATCTCTTGCCGTACCAGACGGTACCTGATATCCAGGTGATCCCCAGCAACCTTGCCAAACGCAATGACCTGGGTCCTGGGAAAGGAAAAGGAAAAGAGCTGTACGATAAACTTTCAGGGTTACCACGTGCCGGATTTGCCAATAGGAAGCTTGCCTTGCCCTCCACTGTCCATCAAGTCACAGCGGTCAAGCTGCAGAGTTCCTCCACAAGTCCCTCACGTTACACATACGAGATTCACGCATCGCGCCTAAGACCTGTAAACGTCACACTGTCGGTCAAACTTGGCAATAGGGATGCATATATTCTTGTCCGTCCTTGGCATCCAAAATCGCTCGAAACGCAGACCGAGAGCGATGACGATGCTGTTTGGAACTTGCTGGAGCAGCTGGGACAGCCGTTCATCGCACTTCTCCTGAAGAGGTTACCTCACAACGAGTACAAGAGAATTGCAAGCGATTGCGAGATTACCGCTTGCGTTCAAGACCTGGCCAGTACCTTAGATACTGAAGTGCTGATACCGGAGATTGTGTAAATCGTACTCGTCATGCACTCTCCTACTACGGCCCGTCGTATTTCTGTTATTCATGTTCCCTTTTGATATCCGCACCGGCAGTGCATTTTATTACCCAAACGCACGACGCACGAGGAAATGGTCGTCCGTATCGCGGAGGCTATCGTCCAGAGAATCTACTTAAGTGCGTATGGGGTGTGTCATCGATCACGCTCACGTTGCCTTGCAGGGGGAAGACACTGCGAAATCAATGGATATTCAGCGAATGGGCTAGCCTGTTGGTGTCTCGCTGGCGAGAATAAGCCCAAAGGGCACAGATTGCATCAACGGAGAGAATCGAAGCACAGCGTTGGTATGTGGCATATCATAGACATGAGATGTCGTTCAGAACTCACGCAACTCACGTAGGCCCAACGTTCGGGGATGGAACGGCATCGATGGAACTGCTGACGCCCCTACAGTCAACTTCAGTATCCCGAGACGCATCGAGGTTCCGTACCGCGACAGTGGATTGCAAATGCGTACGACTGAGCGAGCATATCCATGTGACTATCTGACCCGCGGGAGTACCTGTGCAGGATGGTACCCACCTGGTCAAGGATTGCTCCTCGCGTCTCTTCGTCTACAACTACCCGGAAGGGCTGGCGCGTTTTCCGGGAGCACATGAGGTCCGTTGGCGTCCGTTGACACGACGAGAATAGTCAGGGCTCGACGTCGTCCATCAATCGTGACGCAGAGAGGGGACGGGGGAGTAGATGCGCAATGCGGATGTTGATAGTTGAAGCGGAAGGTAGGCGGGCGGAGTGGACGACTGGCGTGCTGAATTCATAGGGGCAGTGGGGAGCCTGACATCTGCTTTCGGAGGGTACCTTTCGGGTCAGCCACCTTTTGGCTGCCGGCTGCCGAAGGGATGCGGGCTCGTCTTGAGGTGTTCATTGAATACTGGAGCGATCCCATCTCTCCATGTCTGCGTTCCGTTGGCACTAGCAGTGTGAACGACACCAACTGACGATCATGGTCTGTAGATGAACGCACACACGTTATTCTCGGATATGGGCCCTCGTTGGGGTGCTCTGGGGCTTATAAGTTTTTGATGCCTACCTGAGGGAATCTGGTCATTCAACTTCAGCCAGTTTGTAGGATTACACAATCCATCCCATTCCTTCCCCCACGCTAAGTCCTACCAACTGGTGCAGTAGGCCACTCATCCCGTTGCCCTTGCGCCGACTATAATGATGCTGGTGATGATCCGTGATTCCAGGAGTACCGTGTCTTTCATCACGCCAATCATCATTGCAATACCATTCGCCGTTATCTCTATTAGCCCGGAATTATACGTTTGCAAAATGTCGATCCAGGAACTCTCCCCGGACCAATTTGAATCGGTACGTCTACCCCCTAGCATGGCATTCGCCTCTCCTTCGTGGACACGAAAATATCTGTCCTCCCTTCTAGCGTGCTATGGATTCCAGGCTTCCAGTTGCAAGGATATACGCCTGGAAAGGGTAAGCATGTATGTTATGTCGCATACAGTCGCGATTTTAGGAGGCGTTTTGAGACACAAGGCAGGACTTTGCCTGCGATGTGTGAGGGCGTCACGGCTACGACAGTGATTTGACGAAGTAGGAACGCATAAGCGTGACACAATGTGAGCTAGTGATGCATCGAGTGATACAATCACAGCGCATGACATTGCTAACGGTAGCACTGTGGCCGCATCTTCAGCCTGTCCGAACAAGTCTTTGGTCTCCAGCCGAGTCTTGGAGGTTTTCAGGGGGAGTATAAAAATTGCAGTCGGCTCTATATTGTACATCGGAAAGAGGGAACCGAAGGAAGTGAGGCAGGGTGGAGGAACAGACACATTAACGCCGGAAGTTCCCTTTTACAATGCGGAGAGATTCATAATCCCGTCACTATCGTCTGCATTTCTCGGGAAAATGTAATGAATTGATGACCTGCTTTGCGATGATGTGCCGCAAGTTAATTCCTCGTGGTGTGCCACTTGAATATGAAGTCAAACGTGTTCCATGCTGTTGTCCTCGTTGTCACCTCCCCTCGAGCATGTTTTTGATGTCCCTGTTGGAGTTAGGTCTGATCGTCCTCCACGCCGTCACAGGCTGGCAAATAGCGAAACTCTCCATTATAGATTGGGTAGAAGGTGCGCCCTCTTCGCATGTTCCGTTTTCAGTTCCCGGTGACATCGGGGACAATATAAGAGTCTTTTGTAGAATAACCAATACTTATCGTGAAATGCGATACGAGCTGGTACGAGTACTGTCGGTTAGGATGACCCTGGTGGCATTGCTGCTCAATATATTATTGAATGCGATCGGTACGGTTCCTCTTGATGAAATCTGCCAACCGTTGTGAGCGGTGTCAACAAGCTGATAAGGCATGATTTTATCGAATATCGGACAGAACGGCGTGAGACGTGGGTTCACAGCATTGGGACATCTGGTTTGACAGGTCTCTCTTCTCATACCGAATGTGTACACGAAGAGTAGGATAAGTAGATGTGAAGAAAATAAGGGACAGCACAAGTCAAAACTTTGGGAGTAGCTTACTGACCGCCCAGCACGCATTTTTATTTATTTATTTTCTCTGAATTAAAGTGCTTGAGGGTGAAGCTACCCTATGTTGCACTACTCTACCTTAGTTAACGATCTAGCAGAGGCGCCCTGTGGCCTGCCACACCTTACCAGCGAGTGAATGCCCTAATGGCGGAGCTTTCGGTTCCCCATTAACCCTCCGTTCCCGCCGGCCGTTTTAGACACTCCGCCTTTGCGGTAAGGGTGGTTTAATACTTCGGCCAGTCGAATAACTCTAACTACACAGAGCGACCTGGCAGGCTTAGTTCGATCTTACGCTGTGGAGCTGCATGAGTTCTGTGTTGATGAGGAACGACCAAGCGGGGGACTCACGGATGGTGGCTTTTTAGAAAAGAAGCGTGCTAAGCGTCCGAAGGGGATCTTCGGTTTATTCATGTCGTCCTCCGTCTTCTGCAGTTCAGCTTCCAAGCGCCGTAGCTCCGCCTCGAGCTGCTTCATCAACTCCGGATCCTTCTGCGCGATGGCTTCTTCCTGCAGCCGTTTGATTGTTTCCTTTTGTTCATGCAAGACCCTCCGGAATTGCGTGTAGAGGGCTTTCCCAATTTCTGACGCGGAATCGAAATCGTCATAGAATCGTTCATGGCGAGCCCCTGCGTCAAGTATCGGCTTCCAGAAGTTCTCCAGTTGCAACACTCTGCTCTCTGCGAGATTCTCATCTTTCACCTTGCCCCACATAGTGGTCACCAATTGCACACGCTCGGCAGCCTTGTCTCCACGCAACCGGCTGAACATGTCAAGGTTCTTGTATACTGATCCCGACATCTGATTATCTTATGCGATGCGTGTAGATGATGTCGGTCAGTTTGACCTCATTGCGATATCTGTTTGTGTGTCGGTGAGTGGTTAATCTGATAAACTCGGTCGCTCACTTCTTCTCTAGCCACTTAGTGATTGTACGGAGTATGTCCCAGTCTAATTGATAACTGTCATCGAACCCCGGGGTGTCGACGAACATGTATTGTCGGTTGTTGGGAAGATTGACTGTAAATTCTCTAATGCTTTGCTTATCCGATTTGAGCCCATGTGCTGAATTGTCCTCTTTTCTTCCCGTGAGTTGGTTGATGAACCACGCGTCCCTTAACTAACGAATCTGAAGAGACCATTCCTTTACTTATGTTGGATTCCCCTGATCCCGTAGGACCCATCAATCTGGGACAGTGTAGTTAAAACGAACAGGATCCGCAGGGAGGACGTTCTACGAGCCAGAGGATTTCACTGGGGGTAGGGTAGAGCTCGCAGGGTTCGATGTTCAGGTATATATAATACCGTCCGGACACGTGCCAATATACCTGCATCAAGCTGTCCCACATGTCCTGCCTCACCATCATTTACAGCATGAGGACCCCCAAATCTACCCCTTCTAATCGTGGCTCATTTCGATCGATCACTTAAAGCTCCTTGTAGGACTATGACTATTTCTCGCTGAAGATAAGTTCTTTTGGCGCTCGATGCAAGGAATTCGAATGTCCGAACAGAACGTTGTCCGTCCTCGTGTTTGCGGAGCAATGGCGGTATCTGCCCTTCAATGCGTGTCATACTTCGTTGACGTGCCTCCTAAATACGACGCAAAATCCCATGCATTCCATGCTCCAGCCCTCATTGCAATCTCCCCTTTGTGGCGCCCTCCGTTTTCCCGATGTCGCCGTCCAAGCTCAAGGTAAATCCAGAAGTCTTGCATGCACTCTTGGATAATAGTGGAAATAGACTCTTTCCCTGTTTCGCTCTCCATCAAGGAATACCGACGCTTCCTCTTCATCTACCCCGTTTGCGGCTCTTGGAGACATCAACTATGTCTCCAGTCCTTCAAGTGACATACCTGAATGGAATGTTCGCGATACACCACCGAGGGGTAGCCAGGATGTCCAAGCCTGGGTAAACAGCAACGCCGCCCTCGAATGCCAGTCCAGTGATAGTGCGAGTGATCTAACTGCAATTTCGACGTCTCTGCTCGGAGAAATTGCAATTGATGAGAATGATATCATTATCGCGTGCGTCAGCATTACTCCCTATGTTGGTGTTTAACACTAATGCTCGATGCTAGTGTCATGGGTCCTACTGGCGCTGGGAAGAGTACTGTGAGTATTCCATGCATGCTCACAAGCTCATTCAAATTGAATGAACCCAGTTTGTTGATCGCGCGGTTGGAAGACCTACTGTAACTGCCGGTCATGATTTGATGTCGTATACAAAGGAAATGCGCCCGGTCCGATATCCTCATTCCGATGGCATCCGCAACATTGTTTTAGTCGATACTCCTGGGTTCGACGATACGTTCATGACAGATGCCCAGATTCTTAGGGAAATTGCACATTGGTTAAATACAGCGTAAGCTATCCAGCTTGATTGTTGAGCAGTCTCGATTCTGACAACGTTTCAGCTACAAAAAGAACCTCAAACTTAGCGGCGTGTTGTATTTGCACCGAATTTCAGACAATAGGGTTTCAGGAACACCGTTAAGGAACTACAATATGTTCAAGGAACTATGTGGAAAGGAGAACTTCAAGAATATCGTCCTCGTTACAACGATGTGGGATGAAGTAACTGAAGAGGTTGGCTCAGCACGAAAGCGAACTGCGGTCCGACTTCTGGCGGTCCATGATCAACTTGGGATCAGCTATTCATCGCTTCGACGGGACAATGGAGTCTGCCTGGAAAATTATTAGTTGCCTTTCCGTGGCGCCACCCGTTCAGCGCCGTCCACTTCAAATCCAGCGAGAGATGGTTGATGAACATGTGCCACTTCACAGGACAGCGGCAGGAAGAGCCGTCGTGGCGACTCTCACTGACGTCATGTCGGGTGTTAAGGGAATTTTCAAGCGGCTCAAGAATAGTACAAAGAGGTCTCGTAGCCCGGTTCCACAGGATAGCAAGCGTCTTCTTCAAAGATCGTCTTCTTTGCTTTCGACAAGTTCATTTACTACCTCCTCTGATACCTCCAGTAGTCGGTCTGTCGGGTCGGGGATCATAAGCCTTAGCAGTTCTGGAACTTGCAAAACAGAGGGCTACCGGAGTAGTTTGGTCCGCGTAATTCCTGTTCTGCAAGCTGCGCTTGGCGTGGCAGAACTCGTTCGTATACCTCACCTCAAGGACGTGATTTCTCCATCTCTCAGCCTTGCTCTATTAATTAAGGTGAGTCTTCGTCGCTGACTTGGTGTCGGGAATGACTTCATGCTGTTCTGTGTTAGACCATGACTGGAACGCACCACGTACTTTTTCAAGTCTTGGAAACTGCTACGCTCCTGATTAACGTAGTAGTTGAACATACAAGGCAGACGAAGTTACCAACAGAGCTAAAGACAGCAATCAATGATTTCGCGAAGTGAGAAAATCATGGATCACATACGGACATAGTTGATAACCATTATCTGCCTGTTAGGCCAATGAGTGATGTGCAAGGAATCGCCCAGAACGTTGCACAGAGGCAATCTGAAGCACGGCAGGTCCTTCATTCGACAGATGCTCGTATTATTTCTGCCTGCGCGAATTCGATGCGGCTTGTATGCGATGTCCTCCGCGTGCGTGAAATGACCTACTCATGTTTGCCTGTGACTAACAACTTCTGTAGTCGACACCCTCCTTAAGAATGAGCCTCCGCGCCGTGGATGATAGCTTGGGAGCATTAAAGCGGAGCTTGGGTATTGTGAATATTCTGTCCCTTTCTTTGCGTGTTGTGGTTGCCTTCTTACGGTTATCTACTAGGACATTTGCAGTTGCGGCATCCCCAGACAGCTCGTGCAACTCGTCTCATCTGTTCAGAATGTTTATGTAATCTTGTACGTGGAGGCATACAGTTCCGGAAACGTCGGTCTCAATGTCGTCTGCAGTGTGGTGGGCCCTATTGAGGCTGGCAAGAGTTTGGTAATGTTGGCATTGATTTACAGACGAAACATCCTAAATGAATGCTAGTTCGCCAACCAATTGTTTGAATGCCACGGTATCGAAGTCGCAGAGATGGGTTCACATCGTACAGAGCATATCAAGGCATTGAAATGCAACCTCATGAACAGCCAAGTCAATATCGTAGTCGTCAAGATACCCACATTACATTCGAACCGTGAAGATCTCGATCTCGATGCTGAGAATGTGATGATTAGTTGGTTAAGGTTGGGTGTGACAAATGTCCTTCCGTTATAACGTTTTAAATACTGCTACAGCTTGTCCGAGAAATGTCGTTCTGGAATTCTCTTTCTCCACTCGCTCGACTCGGATCCGACAGATGACCATACATTGACGTTGCAGCGTTTCGAGTCGCTTGTCAAGCCCCTTTCTAGCAAGGTCACGGTTCCGTCCTGCGTTTATGTGGTGCCGACTGCTAGCTTGGAATCGCTTCTTCCTGACGAAACGCTGAGCCAACGGTTGTCGCAGCTCAAAACTACGATGGGAACGTTGAACGGCAACGGAAACAGTAAATGGCATGCGTCAACATTCCCTGAAGTCTTCCAAGGCCAACCAGAAACAGCGTGGAGTGCAACACTGCGTCTCCTCAGGGATATCACTGAGGCTCAGGTACATTGCTCTTAATCGCACGCAATCCACTTGGTAAATAACGATTTTTTCATCACTACTTAGGCAAAAGAGTCCACCCCCTCCCCGAAACCTGCTTTAAAGTGCATGCCCCCGAAATCGCCAGACGCTCGCTTAGTTCTGAAAGATCTTGCCGACCTCCTTTCGGAAGAGCTCAAGAAGAAAAGAGGGAGTGCCGATTTGGCCGCCATAGTCACACTCTCGCGAACTGCACTCGAATTCACTCCGCTGGAACACCCACAACGCCACTTAGCCCTCATCAATCTCGCAGATCTCCTATTTGAACGGTTCAAGCAGGAAGGGTCGAAAGGGGATTTGGATGAAGTAATCGCGCTGAGACGAACTGCGTCAGAATCCTTGGCTCCAGATGACCCCCAGAGACAGACAATTCTTCTCCAGCTCAACAATTGCCTTCATGATCGCTTCCGGAGGGATAGTGCCATAGCGGATTTAGAGGAGATCGTGTCCCTTCGCCGAGTTTTGCTAGAGCATACACCCACCTTAGCTCTGAAAGATCTCGCCGATCTCGTTTCTGAAGAGCTCAAGAAGAAAAGAGGGAGCGGTGATTTGGCCGCCATAGTCACACTCGTGCGAACTGCACTCGAATTCACTCCGCTGGAACACCCACAACGCCACTTAGCTCTCATCAATCTCGCAGATCTCCTATTTGAACGGTTCAAGCAGGAAGGGTCGAAAGGGGATTTGGATGAAGTAATCGCGCTGAGACGAACTGCGTCAGAATCCTTAGCTCCAGATGACCCCCAGAGACAGACAATTCTTCTCCAGCTCAACGATTGCCTCCATGATCGCTTCCGGAGGGAGAGTGCCATAGCGGATTTAGAGGAGATCGTCTCGCTTCGCCGAGTTTTGCTAGAGCATACACCCACCTTAGCTCTGAAAGATCTCGCCGATCTCGTTTCTGAAGAGCTCAAGAAGAAAAGAGGGAGCGGTGATTTGGCCGCCATAGTCACACTCTCGCGAACTGCACTCGAATTCACTCCGCTGGAACACCCACAACGCCACTTAGCCCTCATCAATCTTGCAGATCTCCTATCCGAACGGTTCAAGCAGGAAGGGTCGAAAGAGGATATGGATGAAGTAATCACGCTGAGACGAACTGCGTCACAGTCCTTAGCTCCAGATGACCCCCAGAGACGGACTATTCTTCTCCAGCTCGACGATTGCCTTCATGATCGCTTCGGGATGGATGGTGCCATAGCAGATTTAAAGGAGATCGTCTCGCTTCGCCGAGTTCTGTTAGAATGTACTCCCACCTTAGCTCTGAAAGATCTTGCCGATCTCGTTTCTGAAGAGCTCACGAAGAAGAGAGGGAGCGGCGATTTGGCCGCCATAGTCACACTCGCGCGAACTGCCCTCGAATTCACTCCGCTGGAACACCCACAACGCCATGTAGCCCTCATCAATCTCGCAGATATCCTACATGAACGGTTCAAGCAGGAAGGGTCAAAAGAGGATTTGGACGAAATAATCGCGTTGAGACGATCTGCGTCAGAGTCATTAGCTCCAGATGACCCCCAGAGGCAGACAATTCTTCTCCAGCTCGACGACTGCCTTCATGATCGCTTTGGGATGGATGGTGCCATAGTGGATTTAGAGGAGATCATATCCGTTCGCCGAGTTTTGTTAGAACGTACTCCCACCTTAGCTCTGAAAGATCTTGCCGATCTCCTTTCTGAAGAGCTCAAGAAGAAGAGAGGGCGCGGCAATTTGTCCGCCATAGTCACACTCGCGCGAACTGCCCTCGAATTCACTCCGCTGGAACACCCCCAACGCCATCTAGTCCTCATTAACCTCGCAGATCTCCTATCTGAACGGTTCAAGCAGGAGGGGTCGCAAGAGGATTTGGACGAAGTAATCGCACTGAGACGAACTGCGTCAGAATCCTTGGCCCCAGACGACCCCCACAGTCAGACAATTCTTCTCCAGCTCGACGATTTCCTTCATGATCACTTTCAGAGGGGTCATTCCATAGCGGATTTAGAGGAGATCGTGTCGCTTCGCCGAGTCTTGTTAGAACGTACACCCACGCTGAATCGCTGCAGGCCTCTTCTTAACCTCGCTGATTCCCTTCACGAAAAGTTCCAACAACAAGGTTTAGTGGACGACATCGAGGAGGCCATCAGTCTTGCCCATACTGCGTCGGGGTTGTGCCCTCCGGAGCATCCTGATCATGTACGGTCTCAGACATGCCTTGCGCGTTACCTCAAAGTGAAGGTTAGAATCGGTGCTCACCCAAAGAGAGCCCAGATTGGTCTTTCATGTTCCGGCTCTTACGATATCAAGCATGTCATCAGAAGGGTCTTTTTCGAAACAGTGGAACACCTTCCGCCGCGCCTGTTACATACTCCGACAGGTGCCATGTGCAACCGAGATGACCAGCTATCTCATTTCGAAGACAGCCCTCAATACAAACAGCTCTTGTCCTCAGCCTCTTCACTCCACAGGCGGCGGCTCCAAACGGAGATCAGTAGTGCGGTCACAGACTTCTTTCAAGTTGCCATGCTATCTCACAGATGGGGGAGTGGCGAGCCCTTGCTACGCGAACTTGCAGGCAAAAATATCTATGACTTGCACGGCACGGACGGTCTGGCAAAGCTCCAAGACTTCTGCCTTCTTGCTCTCGAACGTAATTTCAAGTGGGCATGGAGCGATACGTGTTGCATCGACAAAGATAGCAGCGCCGAATTGCAGGAAGCGATTGGGTCTATGTTTTCATGGTACCGCCGATCGTCGCTGACGATCGTGTACCTTTCCGATGTCTTCGACGCCGGTTCGCTTGCAAACAGTGTCTGGTTCAGGCGAGGCTGGACACTTCAAGAACTGTTGGCTTCGCACGCCATCCTCTTCTATACGTATGACTGGTCACTCTACACGAAGAGTGACACCGCGAACCATAAAACAGACCCTACCGTACTCGAGGAGCTCCAGAAGGCAACGGGAGTAGCAGAACAGCACCTTACCAATTTCTATCCCGGTGTGGACGACGCGCGGACCAGGCTCCACTGGGCGTCAGGCCGTAGTACCACACGACCAGAAGATATTGCCTACTCCCTTTTTGGAATCTTCAAGGTTCACTTACCAGTCCTCTATGGCGAATCTGTGGAGAATGCGCTCGGACGTCTCCTGGCAGAGATCATCTCACGTTCCGGAGACATTTCGGTTCTAGATTGGGTTGGGGAGGCATCATCGTTCAATAGCTGCTTCCCTGCCAATCTCTTGCCGTACCAGACGGTACCTGATATCCAGGTGATCCCCAGCAACCTTGCCAAACGCAATGACCTGGGTCCTGGGAAAGGAAAAGGAAAAGAGCTGTACGATAAACTTTCAGGGTTACCACGTGCCGGATTTGCCAATAGGAAGCTTGCCTTGCCCTCCACTGTCCATCAAGTCACAGCGGTCAAGCTGCAGAGTTCCTCCACAAGTCCCTCACGTTACACATACGAGATTAACGCATCGCGCCTAAGACCTGTAAACGTCACACTGTCGGTCAAACTTTGCAATAGAGGTGCATATCTTCTTGTCCGTCCTTGGCATCCAAAATCGCTCGAAACGCAGACCGAGAGCGATGACGATGCTGTTTGGAACTTGCTGGGGCAGCTGGGGCAGCCGTTCAAAGCACTTCTCCTGAAGCGGTTACCTCACAACGAGTACAAGAGAATTGCAAGCGATTGCGAGATTAATGCTTGCGTTCGAGACCTGGCCAGTACCTTAGATACTGAAGTGCTGATACCGGAGATTGTGTAGGTCGTACTCGTCATGCACTCTCCTACTGCGGCCCGTCGTATTTCTGTTATTCGTGTTCCCGTTTGATACCTGTACTAGCAGTGCATTTTAGTACCCGAACATGAGTATGTACGTACCTATGGCTCTAGCAAAGATGTCTGACCGCGACGGTGTTGTGGCTGGTGATAAAGTCCTGCTAGGTACGGATTACAGGTAGTACAGGGGGACGTCGCACTTGGGCTCGTCTTGGGATGTCTACCGAATACTGAAGCAATCCAATCTCTCCATATCTGCGTTCCGTTGGCACTAGCAATGTGAACAATGTCAACTGACGATCATCGCCTGCAGACATGGACGCGTACACGTTATTCTCGGATATAGGCCCCCGCCATGAAATGTTCTGGGGTTTATAACCAACCAGTGTTTTCTACAATTAATGCCTACAGTTTGTAGGATTACATAATCCATCCCACTCCTTCCGCTTATTAGTACACGAAGTACTGCCAGCTGATGCAGTAGGCAGTTTGTCCCGCTGCCCTCGTGCCGACCTAGTGAGTAAACTCACCTTTTCAAACCCCGTAATTTATGTTTAAAACTGATGATAATGATAATGATGCTGATGATGACCTACGATGCTAGGAGTTCCGTGTCTTTCATCACGCCAATCATCATTGCAATACCATACGCCACCACCTCTATCAGCCCCGGAGTCCTACGCTTGCAAAACATCGATCCAGAACATCTCCCCGAAGCCATCTGAATCGGTATGTCCATACCCTAGCATGGCATTCCTCTCTCCTTCGTAGCCGGTCCCCACATATCAGGATGGCGGGGCTTTACTTAAGGCTTTCACGATCCCGCAACCTGGATTACAACCTTCGAGGCACACAGTATTAATCAGTTGCTTTCTTATTCTGATCTTCGTGGTAGGCACTGTATCCCCTGGTTACGATGAGCGAGAGCCTTCCAAGCCCACCGGAACAACCACCCCGTGCGATGGAGCCCGAGGAGCCAGCATCGACATCTCCTACCGCATCCACGTCCGCCTCTGCATCAATAGTGGCTGCAGAGGCGACAACACCTGCAGCGGTAGTCGCACTCCCCCCGACGGCGCCCGGAGCTCCACCACCGTCACCTTCAACGGGAGCAGTACCCCTAATGCCTGTTGGCATTGACAATGACATCTCCCTCATGAACGTCATCACAGCTATTACGACGGCCACGTCTCCGCCTCACCTAAGCCAATATCTCAAAAACTTCGCACCCAAGGAAGTCAGAGAAGTCGTTCTTGCTAGCATGCTCCCTGAAGGTCAAGACCCCTTGGCCATACTTGATATACAAGCCAATACGTTAGGCATCCTCTACATCTTGTTCGTCAATCATACCTTTGTTTTGGTGTTAATAGAAGTGACATACACACTCTTTCACAGATCTGCTCGGCTCCATGTTCCCAGTGCACCACGCCCACCCCTGAATTACATAGAGGACTTTTGCAGCAATTTCGTGGCAGAGCAAGCACGATTTGCCCCTGACCGAGGTGCGATGCTACTCATTAACATTTGTAATCTTGTGGTGTGCGTGCTGAGCCTACCATTCAGTCACGTTATTAGCAGCGGGTATCGCTCAAGCGGCTGAACAAGAAGGCAACGTAGGGTTCTATAGAATATCTCGGACTGCAAGAAGCTGATGATACGACTGCCTTCCCCAGCTTCGAGCTGCCATCTTGCCTATGCAGGCTCTTCTCCTTCGGTATTCACCATCGCCATCTCATCTCACAACCATCCACCCTATCTTCGCGAGGGTAAGCTTGTCGAAGCGTGTCTTTCTGCGACGTGGGATTCTTTTCCCGCGCTGATGGACTGATGACGTTTGCAGATATGCGTCTCCTCGCGCGTGTTCACAGTTGCCCTTCCTGTCCTTGCACACCCCATCACGACGATCGACCTTGCCATTTCTGATTTGACCTACAATGACAATTTGGTGTACCATTATGCGGGTGGCATGATATACGCCGCTTTGAGGCGGTGGGCAGAAGCGGAGGAATACTTTGAGATTTGCGCGTGCAGTCCTGGTGCTGTATCGGCTGCTATACAACTGGAAGCGTTGAAGAAACTCGTACTGGTTCAGCTAATTCGCGAAGGAAAAGTAATTACATCTTCTTTGTGCGTATGGCGGGGAGCTGACGGCACCTGTCTGTTTCGCAGACGTCGCCGCTGCCAAAGTATACTCACCCGAATTTGTCACGTCTCTTCAAGAACACGCCATACTCTGCGTTTGTGAATGCGTACCCTCACCATCGTAGTCAGTTGCGAACTATTGTGGAGGCTGAAGGTCCCTTGTTCTCTGCTGTAAGCACACCGCAACTGTTGCCAACTGTTGGGGTGGACGTTGACGCGTTGATTCATAGGAGAAAACGCTCGGACTCATCAATGAGGCTCTTGAGCGAGCACCACGTTGGTCCATTCGGAAGCTTACCGCAACATACCTGACGCTACACCTTTCGGATATCGGCCGTGCCGTTGGGATCGAAAATGAAAGCCACGTCCGAACACTCATCTTCGACATGGTCAGTCCTGTTCATACAGACTCATCTACGAATTAACCACATTGAACTGAACCAACAACGTATGGATCTCGGGGGGGAGGACAGATCCAATCTTCAGAGATATGCGCGCGTCTTTCTGCAGATGGTACCGTCTCATTCTCAGATCCGCCATTCCAATTCGGGAAAGCGGATGTAGATAAGGTATTGGGCAGTGCTCAAGAACAGTGTGCCTTGTTGGCAAGGTTGGAGAGGGAGATGGCGAGGAGTAAAGAGTACTTGGCAAAGGTTTGTTATGTTGCATTTTCACGACGCCTGTTTTTGGGTCAGCGCTAGTGCGTCCGACAGAAAAATGACCGTTGTTTCTCCGTGATACTTCTTTTTAAATTTTTTTAAAAAAAAAGTTCTCATCTTCTTAATCCAACATGCGCTGACCTTTTCACACAGGCTGTCAAGGGCAAGGACGATAATGTTTCTTGGCCAGGTGCACCTACGGCACCGATGGAAGAAGACATCTCGGTTGACCGCGTTGGATCAAATTTTAGCTGGGCCGAGGACGTGGGGTTTGTGTAGGATGTTTTGGTCGTGTTAAGCCGTGTATCATAAATTGCAGCCGCAATTCTGAGGGCGCCGGACTTGGGGTGTGTGCGGGAACTTACGGTACTTTGTAAGGGGGACACAAAGCCGCTCTTAAAAGCTTAACTTTCGGTGCGGGCGCCGTATCATACGCGGTCATGACTGCCTTGTTCTTTTACGGAGGAAACAGGGGGGCTTTCATTACGAGCATAACGCAACATAAAGAAAACAGATAAACTTCAATCAAAACAGGAAGGGGTGGGGTTTCGATGAATGGCCATGAACCCGTTCCTTGTCCGCTCTCAAGTCAGCCGACAGAAATGCATTTCGCAGTTTGAGTCACCGGGTATCCCTAACGTGGGTATCTACTAGATCTTGTGCTTAAAAACAATCTCCCAAAAACGACTTTCCGCGGTGCAACACGATCTCCAATTTCGAACGCCGAAGGTACATCTGGAATGCAGGATCCTGGACGATTACACGACAGTCCGTTTTCAATATTCACAGTATCTCGTTGGCTTAGGTATTTGAAGCTAAACTACACAGCGGGGGAATGGCTCGTTCGTGTCCGAAGATCTGTATCTGACATTGTCGGGACTTGACGCGATTGATACGGTTGAGCTTTTGACATCCTCGAGAGCGCCATGAATTTCATCATCATAGGCCCATAGTCATCCTGCGGAGGCTTTTCGACAAAGATCCATAACTCGGTTTGACGTCCGCTTTTGCTGAATTAGATGGGACCGTTTTCAAGCGGAATCCTAAGTATTGACGATAGCCATCTTTGGCCCGGTTGCAACTTGCGTAGTGGGGGGTCAAATAACAGTCGCAGTCACGTCAGCAAAGCACGCTCATGAGATCTGAGACGTGCAACTCAACATATGAGGACGCGGTCTTTGTAGTCTCCTCCCCTTGCAACGGTCGTCCGGGCACCTTACGTTAGCTTTGATACGCAAGGACACATGATTGGGAGGGCGAAGACGACATTACTTTGTATTGAGACTGCGAAGAGAATGGTAAGTAGAATGGATCAGAGAATGCTGTGTCAATGACTCAAAGTCACAGCGTGTCCTTTAGCCGAATAACATCATCCAACCCTAGCGCCTGCCGCCTGTGGCGAGGCGCTAAGGTCTGAGACGTTGGTCCAGGCCTTCCGAATGTCCTTCACTGCGCTCGTGGATCTTGGAACCCGGAACATATAGAAAGTACGAGTAACGGCTGTAATTGCTGATCGAGTGCTAAACTTCGAGTTCAGAACTTCAGGAAATGCGGCTGTTGGACGTGGAAGCTGTCCTCAATCGGGACACGGACACCCAAGGAGTCGAACACGAACTTGAGATCCTGAAGGAACTTGATGACAAGACTACTAGTTATGCGATACTGTCACATCGCTGGGGAACTGGCACGGAGGTGACGTACAAAGAGATGACTGGGCTCATGAAGATGGAAGGGCAGAAGGGGAACGAGGTCAAGCGGCGCGACGGCTACCGGAAGATCATCAAGAGTTGCGAACAGGCCATGAAGGACGGCCACAAGTGGCTGTGGATCGATACCTGTTGCATCGACAAACGAAGTAGCTCGGAGCTATCGGAAGCTATCAATTCGATGTATAGGTGGTACCAGAACTCGCAGGTGTGCTACGCATACCTCAGCGACGTTGACGAACCAACTTTTCCTACCAAACCAAACTACAGCAAGTTCAGCAACTCTAATGGCTGGCCAGAGTGGTTCATCCGCGGGTGGACACTCCAGGAACTCATTGCTCCAAGGGAAGTCAAGTTCCTCAACGGAGTCTGGGCGCCTATTGGCAATAAAGGTGACCTTGCAGACACACTGCAGGAGGTCACGCGAATACCCCTCAAAGTTTTGACGAATGGCCTGACCTCGGTTCGCCCTTCCATTGCTCAGGTCATGTCGTGGGCAGCCGACCGGAAGACGACGCGGGTGGAAGATCGAGCATATTCATTGTTGGGGTTATTTGGCGTGAATATGCCTATGTTGTACGGGGAGAGGGAGAAAGCATTTCAGCGGCTACAGTTGGAGATCATCCGGCAGTCTAGCGATCATAGTATATTTGCATGGGATCCCAAGGGAAGGATTCAGCGGACTGGTACTGTCCTGGCAGACGACCCGAGCTACTTTCAAGATTGCCATGACATCACCAAGGTCGAAACCGACAGGTTCGTCGATGAACTGGTGCGGTATGCGCATCGCCACGGACTCGGCAACTTTGCGGACAAAATGCATAAACTTGTGGCATTGCGAAACGCCGTGCGCTCCCAGCGACTCAGCAAGTTCTCTGTCACCAACGTGGGTATCAAAGTGAGACTTCCCGTCGTACCCTACCTGGCCTCTCCAACTAGCTTCAAGGTCGTTTTGGCGTGCAGCGACTGTCGTGAAAATTTGATCACCATCGATTTGGCTTGCTATGGGTCTACAACCTCTGACAGATCCTTCCACACTACGGAGATTCGCAAGATATATCCGGAGATTAGGACACTCTACCTCACTTATTCTCAAGACCTCGATGAAACTCGGCACGTTCTTGTGCTCGACGACGCGACTGCCTTGAACCGCGGGTTCACACGTTGCGGTATCTTCCCGCGCGAGATTACAGGCGATACCGTTACATTGTCGTCAATCACACAAAATCTCGTCATCGTTGTCTATACCGATGGCAGATCCCGCTTTGCGGTTGTACTTGGGCTCTACTTCAGCCAAGGGTGGGTACACCTTACTTATGATGAACACCCTGCAGCAGAGTATTGGGCGGATTTCGCCAAAAAAACGTATGACGTGATGGCGGATGCGCGTGCAGACTATGCCCGGAGCCTTATGCGCAAGCCTGGTAAAGGCAACAAGGGCCGCCGCGATGACGTCTTCGTAAAGCATGCTCACCTCCCCCAAACCATTTTGGCCGCGATTGTTGCCTGGGGTAGATGGGAAACAGGCAATCTCAAAGTCGTGGTTGGTGTCGAGACATGTCCTGGCTGTTGCATTGGGCCACGCCAATGGAGGCTCAAGTCTGTTGGTACTTTCTTTTCTATATACGTACGAATATAACGATCCCTGCTGTTGTAGGATGACCAGAACCGAGATTATGAACGCAAAGTGGAACAGTTCGAGAGAATTCGGTGAGCCTGTGACAGATGCTATGTGGTGCCGTGGACTTGACGTTTTGGAATGCAGGGAACACTTTCATACCTTAGTAAATCTGGTATATTGTCCTGCTAGCAAGCCAGGAACTCTTGATTGTTTGACTAATCATATTACTTGCAGCCTCAGCCGCAAAGAACTGGCATATATGACAAACCTTCGGTACGTTGGACAATTTCGTAGGCATATGATCATGTTCTTAGGACTGAAACAGAACAGACAAGCAGTCACCGAGGCAATCCAACTCTTTTCAGATACATTCGGTGTCAAGTACCTGCAAGATTACGTACGTATCCATTCTTTGACATCCCTACTTTTCCACACCTCGAAATGTAGGTCGGGGAGATAACATTTCTGAGAAAGCTCCCTTTGATAGTGGAAGCTGAGTCATCACTTGCTGGCGTTGCCAGAGGTCAGACTATTACATTTCAGTTTGTTAGTTCGCAAACTTACACCTGTAACTTTAGGAGATCGTTTACTGGAACGACTGCCGTTCGTTAATTGGGCAGTCACACGTAACCCTTCCAATAACAGATGCCAGTCGGCAGCGCAGGATCAGTGCGTTGAAGTAGAGTTACCTGTTCTGCGCAAGAGGTGCCATGCTCTTTACCCATCCGTGAACGAGACACGTGGGTACGTTCTCGAAGAACGAAAGGTGGAGCTCGAGGTAAATTCGGTATCACAAACTCTGGGTGCTACGGTAAGCATTGCTACTAATGAAAAGAAAGGAGGCTAAATTCAGTCGCAAAAAAGTTGCTTCGACACATCGGTATTGCCTTTAAGGACGCGTACCATAACCATAGCCGCCGCCGCCCGTAAGTACCCTTTTCTACTTAAATTATTACTTCCTTTTCACAGTTTTCTCTGGATCCAGGCAGATAGATCAAACAAACGGTGACCTCAATTTTAACAGGTCAGTGTCATAAATGCCTTCTAATACTCGATAGTTTACCTCTGAAGATTGTATCTAGACATGCTGATGTCAGCTCCATGGTGCATGAAATACAGGGACTTCAAGCAATGCATAATGCGATAGAAGATGAGGATGAAAAACGAGCACTGGGGGAGGACATCACAGGAAAGGCAAGGACAACATCAAGTTGCTACTATCCTGGATTAGTGGTTCATTTGTTAATAGATTCTGTGGATTTGCTGGTGCGGAATCTGCTCGGAAGTCGAACGACTATTACCGAAGGCAAGCTGACCTTGTCTGATCCCCGTAATTATTTATCGTGGCTCAGGTCATCGAATACATCCTCAAAGGAAGAGAGGTACTTGTGAGTGGCAACGCACACATCAGAGTGTGGTCTAAACCGCTGTCGCCAGGGTTTGCTTAAAGTTGCGCAGATTATCGAGGGGATGCGTATAGACCCAGACGACAATCATAGGCATTTGTGGCGGTGGGCGATATTATCGGGCATATGGCACACAAGATGAACTGACATTATTGCAGAATTATGCTTGATGCTGGAGCAGGCATATCGAAACATCGATTGCTGCTCGCTACTCGGGCTTCGACCCCTTTGAGGGACCAACGCACTCTCGACACCTTAGAAATACTCCCGAGTACAAGTTATGAAACACCATATACGTCGATGACTTAGCAAACGCTGGGTACGCATCCTTGGCTTTATGCGAATGTCGATCGGAAACGGACTACAGTAGATGGATACTTGGTATCGGTAACTGATCATGTGTACTGTGATCGTCCTTCTAGTTTGGACGGATTCCGTGAGTCGGCTGTGAGACCTGGACTGGCAATGCGCTCAACGTCAGTGGTTGCTTGGTGCGAACCTGGCGAGCAAAACCTACTTGCAAATTTCCGTAATGAGTTGTTTTCATTTTTGTTACCACGAGCAGACCAAACAGAAATAGGGACGTTTGGGAGCTGGGTTACGGGGAACTTAGCGGAGAGATCTAAGCACCGCACTACACGTGTTCCATATGGTACGCGCCTCTTGCCGAGATACACACATACTTAGCGCGGCCCGTGAGACATTTTGCACCTTACTTAGTTGTCTACCCTCGGAGCCTCATGTTCATCACAAGGGAGTCGGGGCCTCAGCAATGTCCGTCGGAGGCAAGTTCGGAGGGCAATCCGTTACGAGATGTTGCACCTGAAAGTCTTATGGTCGAGGTCGGGGTCTTCGCTAGGGAGAGGGGATTGATGCACATACTTGGGGACCTAAAAAAGGGGGCTCTATTAGCACAAGATGCGCTTGGTAAGTGTGACTTGGAATGGCGTCTCCATCTATTTCGCTGCTAGAACCGTGCCAGCCTACAAACGGCACAGCATCTATACACGCGCAGACATAGACTGTCTAAAGGTCGAACTCAACCACAAATGGAGACAAACCTGGCCCCTCTACTACGTGCGCACTCCAAATTTCGGCTGTCACGCATGGAATCAATATAGTTGGCGTGCGTTCCTCACCTTTAGGTGGTCGTCGTGTCCTCCCTGGCTGCTGTCGCGCAAGGCATGGATCAGGCTGTGATTAATGGCGCCCAACTTTTTTATCCGAAACAATTTGGAATAGATGCCTCAACTTGTGTGTTATTACCTTTTATATTTGGTTACCCTTCTCTCATTGTGGCATAAGTGCGTGGCAGCTGGTTGCTCGGCGTCGTTAACTCTGCGCCGTATCTGTGCGTTGTCATTACCCTCAGTTGTCTTCCTCGCCGCACTATCGATTCTCATATACTAGTTGCTGTGCAACCTTGTCATGTTGGCTAACCCATCCCCTGAACCAATGGTTTGGGCCGAGAAAAACGATTTGCGTTGCTTGCTGGCTCTCTTTTGTCACTTGTATATGGTCGGCATTGACAAATAGTTGGTGGGGTCTTTTCATCGCAAGGTTCTTCCTCGGTTTCGGCATTGGTCCTAATTCTGCAACCGTGCCCGTCTACGTCGCTGAATGCGCCCCAGCTGGAATCCGCGGTGCACTTGTGACAATGTGGCACGTGTGGACGGCATTTGGCATCGGACTTGGCAACTTAATCGATGTAGCATTCTACTTCATTCCCGATTCAGGAGGCATCAAGGGCCTCAACTGGCGTCTGATGCTTGCCTCTGCGGGTGTCCCGGGTTTGATCGCTTGCTTGCAAGTTTTCTTTGCACCCGAATCTCCTCGTTGGTTAATTGGCAAGGGCCGGTACGAGGACGCCTTCAATGAGCTGTGTCGCTTGCGTTCCTCGCGTCTTCAAGCTGCCCGGGACCTATACTATATCCACGTCCTGATCGAAGCGGAGAATGAGATAAAGAAGGGTAGAAACTACATCGTGAAGATGTTTGCTATTCCCCGTAACAGGAACGCAGCGATCGCAAGTTGGATTGTCATGTTCGGTCAACAGTTCTGTGGCATAAACGTGATCAGTTGGTTTACCTTGTTGCCTGGAGGGATATCGCAGTCTGATCCGCTCTCGCAGCATATTACTCGTCAAATATCTTCTCCCAGTCTGGTTTCTCGGATGCTTCCGCTCTCGTGGCGACGGCTGGTTTTGGAGCTTTGAACTGGATATTCGCACTCTCAGCGGTCTTTACCGTATGTCGTCTTTTTACGGTGCCTGTACTGTAACTCACCCTCCCTAGATCGACAGGTTCGGACGTCGTAATTTGCTCTTGTTCACCATTCCATGTATGGCTGCGTGCCTCCTGATGACCGGCTTCTCTTTCTGGGATACCTTGAGGGAAGGACGAATTGGTGGGGTAGTGACTGGCATCTGTATGCGAACTGCCTGTTTTGGTCCGTACAACTGTTGCTCACATTTTCCCAGATCTTTTCACCATCTGCTACTCGCTCGGCGCAGGGTCTGTGCCGCTCACCTACTCCGCTGAAGTGTTCCCCCTCTACATCCGTAACATCGGCATGTCCTTTGCAACCGCAGTGAAATGGTTCTGGAACTTTGTCTTATCCGTCACGTGGCCATCTCTGTTCCTTGAGTTTAAGCCGCAAGGTGCATTCGGATGGTACGCAGCGTGGTGTGTGGTCCTCTGGTTCCTCGTCCTCTTCTTCGTGCGCGAAACGAAAAGTATGACGCTCGAAGAACTGGATCAGGTGTTCTCGGTACCTAACCGTGTCCATGCTGTGTATGGGCTTAGACAGATCTTGTATGGCATCAAGAAGTTCATACTGTTCCAACAACCGACGCCAGAGGTGCTCTACCAGCGGGAGACAGGGATATAGGGTACCAGTCCGACGTTCGCCGGTATACCGGTGTGGAATCCTAGAAACCTCCTTTGATGTTCCATTCGTCATGATTCTGCTCTGCACAATTTTGAACTTACTTATTGCCCCGCCCCGTCGTTGTTTGTATAATTGTAGGCAGACTTTTTTTTTAAAAAAAAAGTCTGAATTAAAATGCGCGAGGGAGCGTCTACCCTATGTTGCACTATTCTAGTGTAGTTATTGATCTAGCAATACCCCCCTGTGGCCTGCCATTCCCTACAAGTGAGTGAATGCCCTAATGCCAGGGCCAATAGGCAGACTTGTTTGAGTGATTTTTCGCAGCGAGAAGGTCACCCTGTGGCTGGTCTGCACATGCGGTGGAATGATGGATCTTCAAAGCCGACTGCACACTATCTTCGTCAACTTCTGGCCTTCTTGTAACATCGGTTTGAGGAATGATTCAGCAGCCCAGAAGATTAAAAAAGGTATTCGATATACATGGTACCCAAAAGTATCGCCTAATGGGTTAAACACGCTCGTCAGACACTCGATGCATTAATGGATGAAGGGCGAAACGGGTTAGTAGAAAAGGACCTAAAGAGACAATAAAATATTGGTTCTCTGGAATGCGTACCTGTCAAGCACGCGATCGGAAAACGAGAACCCATCCGTCAATCCAATAGCGCCGGGCAAAAGGCAGCGAACAATGTTGATGTTTGATTACCAAACGTAATTCACTGTCTGGACTGCTGTAACAATCCCGTCGAGAAAAAATCGACCAAAGCACTCTGGCAGCAGTGAGTAAATACTGGGCAGCGCAAACATCACTATCTGCGTAGCACGAAAGATTGGTGCAAGGAAGCTTACTAGGTGATACCGGGTGGCCCTCTTGTCGCGGTAACAGCTCTAAACTTGCAATCATTCCCCCAATTTCAGGAATTCGAAGTTACCGGGAGAGAATCTCTAGCTACTATCCGAAATTAAAAAAACAGTTTAGATTTGTTTCTGGAGAGCGTTTAGATTTGTTTTTGGAGAGAAATTTAAATTTGTTTTAGAGATTATTTAGATTTGTTTTAGAGATTATTTAGATTTGTTTTTGGAGAACGTGCTTGGTTTTGGAGAATCGGAGATTGCCGACATCGCTACCCAGCATGTTCCAAGTTTTTAAGTCGACCAACGACGGGCGTCACCGTTGCTCGCCCCCCCCCACTGCCGTTGCTATCATAGTATGCCCACGTGCCAGCTTACTGCTTTGACTTGTGAAATATGGGTAGGTATGTGTCTTCTCTAGCTTTCTGTCAGTGCTGAGGTACTCTATTTTTGTCAGTGCTATTCCTTGGATGGCGACAACAGCAGGGTATGTTATTGCTGTGTCATTGCATCCATTGCCAGTCACCTTGTTGCATTCAGGCTGTCACTATGAATGTAATGGCTGGTGCTTTGTGGTTGGTCATCTTCTGTTTGGTAGGGGTTGTTACATGTCAACTTCATTTCTCTTGTACTCTGATACATACATTCCTGTGTTTGTGATGTTGTACCTGGGTTTGAAATGCTGTTGCTAGCAGGGGGTTTGAGCCTCTGCTTGACCCATGGTATATGCAAGGCAGGTCCTCTTTCTTTCCTCCATTGCTGACACCATTCCTGCCTGGAACAGTATCATGGCCATTTGGAAGGAGAAGCTTGGACATCTCTGTGTGGATGCATTCATTTGTTCTACTGGTATGTTCACTGCTGAAGTGTTGCTGCTTTTATGAACTTTTGAGTTTGGGTAGCACTCATTTTTCTTGTCACTTTAGCTCCATATTTATGTGCACAAAAGCAAACCAGATACTATTCTGTCCAATTGCTAACTGCTGAAAGGCTGATGGCTCTGCTCATGCAGCAAATGCAAAGTGTAAATGGCAGCCACCCTACTGTGCACAATGCTACAAGTTGGCAGGTGGCTGTGGACTTCCTGGCTACCAGCTGAAGGGTGCCCTTCCTTTGCCATTGCTGTTGCCACTCCAGCCACTGTGTGATGTATCTGAGTCCTTAGTGACCTTGCAGGTTATTGATCCTTCATTGATGGCAGTTTCCACAGAAGCTGTTGTAGAGGGTGCAACCTTGCTGACTGTTGGCTCTTCCCCAACTGAAACCTTTTCCTCTACTCCACACTCATTCTCAATGTCATCTAATTCTACCTTGATACCTTCAGCTTCTTATACTGGACCTACTACTCATTCCTATGCCCATCCCCTTGATCAGCACTATGCTCAGGCCTACTATGAGGCTCATGCAAAGACCTTTGAGGTGGAACACTTATTGAAGCAGTCAGCACAGGTGCAGGCTGATCTGCAGAGTATTGTTATTGTTGTTGTGTGGGTTGGGGTAAGCATGACTGTATAGTATGTGATGGATAGTCCTTAGTTGTTAATAGGCTCAAGAAGCTCCAAGGCATATTCATGTTGTCAATCCAACTCCAGGAACATTTGTTCCTGCAGAACACAAGCTCATTACAGACCTTCTCACTGCTGACAAGATGTCTGTGTACTGTCAAGATCTCTGGTTTGAACAGTTATCAGCTGCTTCTTTTGTGGTGCCCAAGGCTGATGCCACTGTCTTCCTATATGATGCATCACTTGCAGACTCTGATATTCTTGGACTTGATACAGAACTCACAAGGGTTTCTACCAGTAGCAAGTGCCTTCCTGACACTACTATGGAATCTACCTCTCCTCTCAAATGTTGTTGAGTTACCTTGGGTTCAGCTGGCCTAGCTGTCATGCCCCACAATCCCATGCCTCCCTCAGCTTCTTCTGATCAACTTTCCCAATGCTCTACTTTGGCATCTACACCACCTTCACTTGTGCTTCCTGGGTCTCCTCCATCACAGAAGTCAGGAAGTGGAAAGAAAATGTTTCCATGGAAATATGTCTGTGATATGTATCCAGGCATGACCATGCTTTCTGTGTTAGGAACTGCAGAGGAGATTGAAAAGAAATTCCCTTTGGCATTTCCAAACACTGACTTTGTGCTTAGCACATTCTACAAGCATAGAAAGCCATTCCTGGATGCATCTGCTCTTGGACTTTTAGGACCTAGAGTGGCATTGGATCATACAGAAGAAGGAAAATGGGCTGCATTGAAGTCAGACACTGAAAGACTTATGAAAGAAGGTATGTATATATCAAGTAGATGATTTCTATCTCATAGCATTCCTATGGTTACCCCAGGATCTTTGAACATGGGCTCCTCTGTCAATTCTTTATCCATTCCTTCCAACCCCTCTTTCCCTGAGGATTCAAATCAGCAAGATGGTCATTCCTTGAATACAGGATCAACTTCTGCTCCTGAATTGCTAGGAGTAACTGATGATATTATGGATATGTCTTTCAACTTCACTGATTTTGACCTGGCCTCTGTTGGATGAACTTCAATCAGATAATACTCTTCCTCTCACTGCAGAAGAGTCCCAGCATAATTATCTGTTTGATGATCTTCTGCAAGATGATGCTTTTTGGTTTGAGTCTTAATGCTCATTTGTTTACAGACAATTTAGTGCTAGTCTTCTCAATGGCAATCAAGTGTTTGAATCTTTTAATATGGGATGATTCTAAAACTGAGGAAAGAAATAATAAGAAACAATGTACATTTTTCAGTGCAACAGGTGGTCAATGACTATAATGCAGCAATGGGTAACAACCATGTATGAATTCCTGCTTTCTTCAGCTCTGAATTAACATGTTGATTTTGTCTTTTGATCATCTCATCCAAATAGAAGTTGTACCTATGCACTGTCATATTGCGTAAAATGGCTTGATATCCACCCAACCAAACATTTGTCTGTTCACAAATGGAAGTGTTGAAGTGCCATTTTCCATTTTCAAGGAGATCTGGAAATGCAGCTGGATTGCAATGTTGTTGACAATAGAGGTCAGTCTCCTTGTGTTTGGAATTGAAATGAAAGACATCAACAGGCAATGCAGTATCAGAGAAATGGTGATCTTGCTTGGCTTCTTGGTGTGCATGAAGTTTGCAGTTGTTATCAAAAATGAAATATTCTGGTGTGGACTGAGGGGTTGGAAACACAGCCTTTGCAAATTCCTGAATAGTAAAGATATATTAATGGATTTCTTGTCAAATTTGTGACTCACACTGACAGCTGATATTGCCTCTGAGCCATAGAATGTTGCCCAGGCAAGAATGATGCCACATGGTCTCATAATAAGCTGCTCATTGTGTGTGCATTGTGTACCAAACCTAGCTTTGAGGCAATAGGCATTTCCCTTGTCTGATTTCCCAACACATTCTGTAGACTCCTCCCCAACATCTTCACCTTCATCACCAATGACTGAATCTGATGGGACTGAAAGACCAGCTCTTGTTAGCTGTGCATGAAGCTGAAATAATGCTTTGGCAGGCTTGTAGTAAGCCTCTTCCAATTTGTTGTGTTCCACAATATGAAATGTCTTTGATCCTGGGCTACATGGGAAATTGCACCTTCATCTGCACAGATACTGCAAAGATTTTGATGATCTGAGCAAAATTGGAGCCAATGACTGTACAGGGGCATTTTACAGTCATGTACTGCACAGCATGGATGGCCAATTGTATTACCATTACATACAGCAGCCTGAATTTTGACTAAATTAAATGACATTAATAAAAGCAAACATTTAACAACAATCACACACCTTTCTGCCCATGTTCATTATCAAGTACAACAAAGCACTTGTCACATGCATGAGGATATATACCTTCCATTTCCTTGTTTCATGCAATCAGAGCTGCATCAATTCTTGCATGATGCTGGCTGTCATGTACAAGGATAAGTTGACTTTGCTTTTCAGCTTTGTCAAGAAGGAGAGAGTAGATGAAAAAACCATTGAGGACATTCTCATCTTGCATCTGCAAAGAACAAGGCCAAGATTTGCCCATGTGCTCTGCTTCTGGGGCCATGGCAAATGCATGCCTATTATTGAGAATGTAGGCATTGGAATGTGCCAAGGCAATGTTGTAAATGTGTGCACAATTCATGCTGGATAACCTTCATATATATATTATGTTAATTTTTTTGGGTAAAACAATGCATAACTTGCCAGCCAAATGCTTCTGCATTTGCAAACAACTCCAACAATGGAGTATCAATAAAGAAATGGGTGGCCACTTGAATAGTACTTGGAACTCCATAATAGTAAGTTTGTGTATTGGTGCTTTTGTGAACACTGAAGTTGTGATGATATCTTTGAAAGCACTCTTTAGGAATATTAGGTACTCATAATCAAGAGAGAAAATATACTCACTGCAACAATACATTGATGTGGTATAAATGGGCAATACACCATACTGAAGGGTGAATTGTGTTGCTTGATATGTGATTGGGTCTGTTAACACACCCATCTGATAGTTGGGGCAATCTGAAGAAAGACAGACATATGTTGGTGGATAAATATCACCATATGCTGGATAAATCATTCAGCAGCCAGATGTTAGACTTGCCTATCTTTTCAGCCTCACCATATCTATTGAATTGCTGGATATCATTGGCACTAGGTACAACAACCTCTGCTTGCCAAACTACATGGTGCAGCAGGACCCAGTAGCTTTGAATGACATCAACTCCTGTACCAAGCAAACCAACCAACAGCCTCTCAACTGATCCAGGAAGATTCCCAGGTTGATGGTGTATATCCACTGTATGATGTTCAATTGCAGGTTTTACCATGCAAGAGAACTTCATAAACCTGAGATCATGAAATGATGTATCACTAAGCACTGGCAAATACTCCAAAAACTTCCCAACTTCACTTAGAGTGCACATGGCAAATGGTGGACAGAATAGATCTACAACAAGTACCAGAGACTAGGTGGCATATATAAACAGCACAAGACAGTAAACCTGATGGAAACTAACTCACAAGTGAGCCCAAATGACCAGTAGATGCACTAGCAAATCATGAGTATGAACAACAGATACTGGCAAGGGCTAGCTACAACTTACAAGTGATCCAAACTTGTCACTCACACTACTAGTAGGGTACTACTACAGACAGTGTGTACAAAGATAGTGGGATACAGAAATGTGAAGGGAGTGGGTGGAAGTATGTATGGTAGAGTAGCTGAGGACCAAGGTAGGCTACAGAGCTGGCAGGATGAATTTCAGGTAGAGTAAACCAGGGAGACACCCACCAGTTGCAGAGATGATAAGATCTTGTCTTGTAGACAGTGCACACACAGAAACAAACACAGTAAGTGTACAGAAGGGGAAGTGACAGATGCACAGACATACAGAGGTCACGGATGCACAGAGGTGGAGATGGTGCAAGGTCACAGTTACACAGAGATTGAGGTAGGGGAGTCTAGGTAGCTGGTAAGGTCAGGGGATGGGGGCAAGTCTAGTAGCCTACACCATCACAAGTGGTCAGGAAATGTCATAAAGCACTTATTAATGTAAGAAAATGGAGAATGATGTACTCACAGTGCAAAGGATGGGTTCATTGTGACTTGTGATCAAGAAGGCTATCACAAACCTTACTAGCAGGGGTGTCTGAAGTGTCCAAAACCTGTGAACAAGCACTTAAGTAACTGTAGATATGGCACAGCGAGTGGGAAAGGTGTGGGTTGATGGGAATGGGAGTGACAAGCAGGGCAGGGCTCCAATGCAGGTTGTTGTTATAAGTATCAATGATCAGTCCCAGTGAAAACTTGACATGTCCAAGCATGGCCAGACATGACCAAATATGAGTCAGAGCAGACATCAGAATTATACCACAAGGGAACATGTTCCAAAAGAAAACTGGACAATTCTTATATTTGTAAAATGTTGGGGCAGTACTTGGCATGACCATATGTTAGAATTTTACCACCAAAATAAATTGTCACATTCCAACATATTCTTCAGTGCATGCTGTGTGCTCATGAAATCTACTTGAATCTCACTAGATATGGTTATTACTGGCTTTGCAGTTTATACAAAATATTGCCATACATGCACCAATATCATTTGCATTGCTACAATAACTAGTACACATTACCCCCTACCAGCTGTCCATGGAGACGACTACAGGAGAGCAGGGAATGACAAGAGCAAGTCTAACATGGGTAAATGAATGCAGAATAAATTAACAAAAATGCCTTGAAAGTGAGACATGTGTGGGGGAATCATTGTGACACAAATGCGAGTGCAGAGACATGAAAGTGAGATGGGCAGGTGTGAGAAGTGTGTGAGTGCAGGGACATGAAAGTGAACTGAATGTGAGTGACACAGTGTGCAAGTCCAAAGTGATATAGCAATAACTTGAGTGCTTGAATGCAAGATGAATGCAAGTTGTCCTCAGTAGACAGTGCCATTACATATAGTCTTTGGGTCCCAGCCACTGCTTTTAACCTATACTCTGTTAGTTTGAAATCATCACAACTAATGGCTACTTTACCAAACTCACAGCCTCATCAACATAGGACTAGAATATGACCTCTGTTAGTGGTGAGGGCAGTTGAAAGAAGTAGATGATACCTTGACTTTGTCAGCAGAAAGCAAATTGTAGTATTTCTGGAAGTCCTCTGTGGTTCTGTTTGGTTGAATTCTCTTGAGCCATTGAAGTGTGCAGAGGTTTCTGATAATCAAATATGTCAGACCAAAAAATAGTAACAATTTAAACATACCATCCATTCTTGGTTGGACTAGGTTGCATCCTGCCAGGCACCTTCACATTGCCCTTGGCAGACTTGGTGGTTGTCAATGGAATCACCAATCCTTCATTCTCTATCTTGCTGCCATTCAGGTCACTTGGGAGCTCAGGTAGGGACTCCTGAGCCTTGTTGGCAGCAATTGCCAAGCATGCTTTAAGAAACATCATCAGAAAAGATTCCTATTCATGTGTATACTCACAGTGGGTTAACTGATATCTTGGTAGGAATGACAGTGACTGGCTCTGGCTCCAGTTGGGGCATGCATGGCACAATCTCCTTCTCATTTGTGCATGTTGTTTCCTCTGCGACAGAAGGGAGATGGGACATGTTGCTAAGAGGCAGAGACAGTAATGCCATCAAGGCTGTGCCCTCTGTGATAGACAGAAGATGGGATGTGTTGTTGACAGGCAGAGATGGTAACACCATCAAGGCTGTGCCCTCTGCAATAGATGGAAGATGGGTCATCTTGCTGACAGGCAGAGATGGTAACACCATCAAGGCTGTGCCCTCTGTGATAGATGGAAGATGGGTTGTCTTGCTGACAGGCAGAGATGATGACAATGTTGGAGAGAGGTTTGACACCACCAAACCAGTGTCATCAATTTTGTGGTCCTCTTAAAAACTGGCTTTCACTGCGGTTCATTGAGATTGTATGGAATACACTCACATTTCATTCTTTTATCCAGTGTTTCTGACTTGACATTAGCTTTGAGGAGTTTCAATTTCTTGTCCTTCTTGTCCATCTCCATGTCCTTGTTGTCATCTTTGCAGTCCTGAGATTTTTTCATCTTCCAATTCCCCTCACTGTCCAAATGGGTCTTCCACCATGCCAGATATGAGTTGCTTGCTAAGTAGTCCAGCTTCCAACCATTCTTCACAAATCTGAAAAGTGGGAATGTGCTCTCCATGAGGTTATGAGTTAATTGCCTACCACTCACACACAACCAACCCCAAGATTTTGGAGCCAGTTTGTGGTTAGCTAATTCTGCCCACCCCCCTTGAAGTGTCTTTCAGATGGCCTTTGCTGTGCTGTCAGATGGTGGATTGCTGTTGTCTTCCTCAAGGAATCCAAGTGTCCCACACGTGCTAAGTCATCCCTCAGACAACTCAAGGAAGGTGTTCCAATCACTTTGATCCCAGAAATGGATTTTCAGATGAGTTTCAGGTGTTGGGTGTGTAAAATCACTTGGAGATGACTGTGGGACCATTTTTGTATCAAACCATGCCAGGTCTGTTTCATGTAAGCCAACTGCATCTGCTAGGTGCTGAAACATGCCCCTGCATCTGTCAATCCAAAGTTAGTAGATGTGTCAGTTAGATGTTACTGTAGAGTATTATTTTCAACAGTCAACTTGAAAGCTTGTGACTTGAGTACTTTGTTGCACTCTTGTAGTACTGCAATCTGCTTCAAGCTGGGATGACTATATGTGCCCTAAAACAAAGTGATCAGTCAAACTGACTTGAGAAATGTGTAACTTACACTATGAAATGGGGACAGTGCAGATGTGGTTGCCTCACCTGCCATTGGCAAAATGCTGAAGTCATTTAATGACTGTGAGAAACTATAGTGATCTGGCTGTATCATTGGGGTGTCCACTTGACCAAAGTCATTTAGAAGCATCATTTGAGTTCCCATCATTCCCATTGTGTGCAGAGTCATGCTTGGATGCATCAGGTGATGTGATGGGAAGACGAGCAGATGGTAGACTGCCAAAGACATGTATGCAGATGTGTGACACCCATATAGTCATGCACCCAGGTTTAGTGTCCCTTAATCTTCACCATGTCATCCAAGTCCCTGACATGTGTCCTTGATGCAGTGCAGGATGTTATATACCCTGAGGTTGATAGATTCATGTCTGATTGGAACACTCATTGTTTTACAATTGACATCACAATGCCTGGCCCCAAAAAAATTGTCTTTCATTTGAAGAATCTTACCACCACACCCACAAAAGACAAGTAAGTCTTAGTTTCAGTTTTAATTAAGCAGGGGTCACTAAGATATTTTTGCAGTCAGCCAGCTGATGCAGACTTGGCACCAGACAAGATTGCATTAAACAAAGTCAAGGAGGCTAGTCTTGAACTTGATGTCACACAGAGAATCTTTATGCAAGCATATGAGGGATCTATCAGACTCCAAGAGGCATATCTCCAAGTCTGTGAAGCAGACAGTAGGCTCAATGAGGCCTGCAATGAGCTTACTTGGCAATGTGCTGGACATGCTGATGCTGGAGCCACTTCACAAGACCTGAAAACTGAGAGTGACTTTCCAAAGTACATCTATTCTTAATATCATTGAGGACTTACAACTGATTTTCTTTTCAAGATTTGAACCTATCTCTGCTTCTCCATGCAGAATCCTTCTGAGACACTTGGGTAATCCAAATGTGCCCCCCAACACTTACAAGTGTAAGCCTTGGGCCTACTGTGTCACCCCCTTTGATCCATTCAAAATCCCTACAAATGTGGCCAAGAGGAAACTCAGGGAGGTGGATGTGAGTGTGAGCAATGCCAATGCACCAAAATGTTTTAAATCAGAATTACCTTAGAGGTTTATGTTTGTACATCTTCATACCCTCTGATGCCACTCTGTGTCTCGTTGACACTACTCTGCTTTTGTATTGATGCTATGTACCTCTGTTTTGTACTATATACTGATTGGCAATCAATTGATCATTCAACCATTCACAGCTTGGATATCAAGACATGCAGCAAATGGATTCATAACTATTCTACATCATCTCCCTTGTCATCATTGTCATCACAATTTGAATTGTACTGTATACCAAGCTGTAGGACATCCAGACCTGGCTTTTCTACAATGAAATAGCAGTCTTCTGTGATTCCTGATGTGAGTGTTGGCTTGTGTGGGATCATCCTGATGATGCTCTTGATCTTCTTCACATCAACAATGATGATTTCTTCAGTGAGCTTTGATGAGACAACAGTTTGTGATTAGAGGAGGAGAAGGGAGTCATCAGGAGGGTGTAGAGTCAAATGAGCACAATGTTGATGAATCTGTCACAATCTGGCATTTGTCCACTGACTGGCATTCTTGTAGCCAGCCTCACAAAATATCAGACCTCACCAAAATGTTCCTGACCTGCATGTATAAACTTTATCCTGTTAAAATCATTCTCGAATGAAAGAAAACAATTTCACCTTGACATTCCAAGACACACAAAGTTTTTCTGGCTGTTTCAATTGCTCTTGCCACAGTGATCACACAACCTGGCCATTGGGGAGCTGTAGGCAAGCCCACCACTGGAACTGCTGTAGACCTCCCAGGAATTGGGCTATGACAAGTGCATCTTGTCCTTCAGGAAGCCACAGTTGTTTGTCTCATTTGAAGAGTAGTACATATCCTCTGCCTAGCTGTACAGAGAGGTGGGGAGAACCTCTTGTGCCACTGTCATTGAGCTCCAGCATGCTTGCAAGTAATGCATTTACCTTAGTTCATTGTCAGTTTCATTCAATACTCTGAAAAACAAGGAAATAAATACCCTGCTTCGCTGTACACCTTCTTGTGCAAGGTTTGCATATGGTTGCAAAGGTTGGCAGATTTCTTGGCCCAGATTACTGATTGTTTGCTCCATTGTCCACTGCACATACATTATTGGGGGTCCCTTGTGCATCATCTCTGTCACAAGGTGGAGGACTTGATGAACACATGGGCATATGAAATGCAGATGGTTCTCCTGTAGTTTATAGTACAAAAGTTTGAAGTCACACTCCCAGCAGCAAAAGAGCATGTAAGCATGCTCGAGATCCTCCTTCTTGATACAGTGCTGGGACATGATTTGAATGCCATAAATGAGCTTGCAGAATTTGGTCCAATAGTGCTCAGGAAGTATTTGGTAAAGAAGTGCAGGTGCAAGACAAAATATATACAAGTGGAATTCCCAGGTCTTGTAGTCAGTGTTGAGTTTCTCTGTGGTGTTCTGCAGCTTGTGATTGAAAGAGCCTGGGATGTAGGAGCCAGCCCATTCAACCACCAGTCTGTGTGCAGACCACATGTCCTCATCACAAAAGATAGCCCAATCCCAAGACTCCTTGGTGTCAGTAGGAGTGCATTCAATCATACCTCACCACAGGGATAAAAAGAGGTCTGACAGATTACCAGCAAGATGCATAAGGTCTGTTGTCATACACAGTGGCACTCTGAGTGATCATGTCAGCTTCAAGCCTAAGATGAGAGGTGGCTTGGTAATCCCAGTCTCAGTCTTACACTTATCCCACTGTCATTGGCTAGGAGAATTGATGACAAGGTGCAGGTTCTCTGCATAGTCACTGGAGCCACCAAGAGGAAGGCAAAAGACATTGATGTCAGGGTGGTTACTTCTGGAAGGGCAATTGTTGCATGGTCACAGAAGTATGGGATAATAGTGTGTTCCATGAGTCTTTCATCGGCCTGGTGTTGGGCAGTACATGCAGCATCCATTTCTGCTGCTATGACCAACCATTCCATCCCAATAAACGAGCCCCAGCCTGTCCACTGTTGTGAACAGGAGATATAAATTTGCCTGAAACTCAGTATCACATGATGAGTCCCATATGTGAAGGCCCTTGGATTGAAGCACAGAGAGATTATGCATGCTGATGAAGAGAAAAGAATCAAGATTCTTGGGTTTGTTTGGTCCAGGTATAAACCCACTAGGAAGAACATGCATTTTCTTGTATCACTTGTCAGGAGATAGATTGAGGATGATCCAGATATAGAGCCAACAGTCAGACTGTTTGCTCTCATACAACTGAGCACCATCAAGTGACACTGAGAGAATGATGTCATTCTCCTGGATTTTGCCATCCAGAATGATGCTGAGATAGTCCCACCCTGCAGTGAAATCATCAGTTAATGATGTGGATGTAATTTCTTGGAACTTACCTGCAACAATGTCATTGATTATTGATATCAATCCAGTCTCTCAGAGTTCTGCTAGAACCTGCTGAGTGCACTCATACAGATAGCACATGTCACGAGCCTGTGCAGGATTGCAATAGAGTGCCTGTAGCTGTGGTCCTAAAGGAATAGTAGTGAATGTCTTGGTGAGGATCTTGTTATGCCCACTGGTGCCCTGCAAGCACTGTTGATTCCAGTGAGAAGACCCACAGATGGGACATTCTTTGAGGTTAACATAGGGCCCCATGAATGCAATGCAGCTGTTGGGGCACATGTTGTGCTGGACATGCTTGACACCCATAAGATGTGCTATGAGAGTTTTGACCTTGTAGAATGATAGTACATCATCAATACCATTTCCAGTAGGAAAGTTTCAAATTGTTGACTGGCAAACTTTTTTGTATGTCTCCTGCAATGAATGCTCCATAGCAAGATATACAGATATGCTGTGCCAGTGGCCAGGATTATCAATTGACATGGGAAGGTGGGGTGGATTATGAAGGCATATCAACAACTCTGTACTCAGCTTCACAATAGGATCTTCTAAAGTCACTTGGGAAAGAGCTGTGATAAAATGAAGTGTATCCTTTAGTACCTGAAGAACTGCTTTCTCTTGCAATTCTGAAAGGTTGATTGTGGGACATGGGCAATGTTCATGGTGGATTTCAACCTGCACAGGACACAGAGGTGAGTCAAGCAAATTGTTGTTGGGAAAATGAGGAGGCAAATCATGCATATTTTCATTGGGAAAACAAGGAGGCAAATCAGGCATATTTTCATCAGGAAAATGAGGAGGTGAATTGGGTATATTTTTGTCAGGAAAATGATGAGGTGAGGAAGGCATATTTTCATTGGGAAAATGAGAAGGTGAAGCAGGTCTATTGCCATCAGGCAGGTGGAGATTCTGAAATGGTAGAAGTTACATTGTACAATCAGTAAGTTGATGATAAAACATACCTCAAGTTCTGTATTGTTTTCTGGATGCACTTGGGCATTTTTGGCATGCTTGTGCTGTCCTATGAATTGGTTAGGGACCTTGTTTTCCTTGGCTCACTTGGCTAGTCCATGGCACACCTCAGCCCTATGAACACTGGGGGGCACAGAATCATCAAAAGCCTGTGGTGAGTCTGGTGTGCCTGGGGCAGCCAGTATATTGGAAACACACTCTCCCAAGAGTCTTGCCAAACATATATGTTGCCTTTCTTCATTTGTTGGTGCTTCATTGAGATGTTGTAGCCATGTAGTATGGGTGGACACCTTGTGCAAGTACCTGAAGCCATATTTCGTGCAGACACAATTGTATTGGTCCATAGCAAATACAACAGTTGGTGGAAAGTTGCAGAGGACAAGGCAAAGAAAAGCTTCACATGCACACAAAGTAAAGCTAGTAAAGCATTGCTTTGCATTTTCACTATCAACCATTGCATCAATGCAGACTTTGTGTCACAAAAAAGTTGCATTATCAGGTCGAGTAACAAAAACTAAGAATGGGTAATAGTCCTAAATAGGAAATTCATAGTGCAGCATTTCTGGCTACACCTGGACATGTCGAGTTTTCACTGGGGATCAGTGTTGATCAGCGTGGGAAAGACTCTCCGGCTTTGTTCTGGAGAGCGCAGCATCAAAAACAACACGTTCTCCAGTTTATTTGAATTTTACCTAGTTTGTCTGCAGAGAAGATCATGCTGTCGCCAGAGACTATCTAGCAATCCTCTCCCAGTGGATTATTTGCCCTCCCCAATTTGGACAGCTAAGATGAAGGCATTCGTGACAGCCTTGGATAGCCTCTGATTTGCATTCGTGTCAAGTTCATTCATAGTCTGAACCCACACGCCACTCATGCAAATATGCAGATGAGTGAGCATAAATTGGGGACGCAATTCTCAGCGCACTAGGTTTGGCATATGAACAAAACTGGCGAGCGATTGCACGTGCTTGAAGTCACGATACTTACTAAATGAGAGACTTGAATAGCTTAACTTTTAGTGCGGACGCCGTCCCATGGGCGTTCACGGCCGCCTTGCTATTTTACAGGACTTTGATTACGTGAAATATCGCGAAATTACAGTAAGAAAACAGATACAGGCCTCGATCAAAGCAGCAGGAAGACATGGCTTTCGATGAGTCACCAAGAGCTTATTCCTTGTCAGCCAACAACGCGTTCCGCAGTTCACTGGGTATCCCCAATGTGGGTATCTACTGGAACTTGTGCTTGGAAACTATTTCCCAGAACGATTTCCCGTGGAGCGACGCGATCTCAAGTTCAAGCGCTGAAGGTTGACGGGAACCGTCTGAGCCAGCAAAGGTACCTGAACCCCAAGGCGATCCTGCGCATCCGAGGCATATGAAAGAAAGGGAACAGGAAAAGAATGACTGCGCGTCAGCATGACCACTGCGACGATGGGAGTGTTGTACGCACCGCCATGTATTTCCGACAGGTTTGACATTTGCGCGAAGGTATTCTTATACCCCAAGGGAACGTATATCATCCCATGGTGGACGAAGGTCGACAAGGCATTCATAACCGTGACTTCCTGTCCACCGCCTTGCGTACCCGTGGAAACGAACATACTGCACATCTTCCCTGAAAGCGCGCCCTTGCTCCATAACCCACCCGTTGCGTCCCAGAACGCCTTCCATTGGGCGGGGAAGTTGCCGAAGCGAGTTGGCACGCCAAAGAGGAAGGCATCGAAGTTGACGAGGTCGCCTGGGACAAGGGTAGGGTAGTCTGGACGAGGAGGAGCCTTGAGGAGTTTGAGGACGTCTTCGGAGAGAGTTTCTTGAATTCTAAGAAGGGAGTGTTAGGAGGGAAGGGCCAGGTGGATCAAGGGGGAGACGTACTGGTAGATGGTGGCGTTACCGCCTGTGCTGTTAATGCCTCCCTTGACGGCTTCAGCGACTGGAAGAGGATCTCGTTTGCACATTCCCTCGCGATGGAACCGCAGTGACGCACCTTTAGCGATGTGCCCATACATAGAGTAGATGACAATAGCAACTCTTTGACCAGACATATTCTGGAGGTTATCGGAGATGGCAAGAGGTGCAGGAAGTGCAGGAGTAGCAGTGGATGCGGAAGGTTTGGGCTCTTCAGCGGCTTTAACCTCCCCAGCTTTTGTACCCGACCGCGTAGGGTCTGAATCAGCAAAGTTATTTTTTTGCTTCTTTGAAGGGAAACACATTGTGATACTAGTGTGGCGGCCGGCTTACGAGGACCGAGGGAATGTGAGGGCAGAAAGACAGAAATGGACGCAAACACGTACGTTTTTAACCAAGGAGCTGTTGTGTGCGGGAGATCTGAGAAGCTGCCAATGGGGCTTCAGGGGCTTAAATAGGATTTGTTGTGAGGGGGATTTCTACCGCCTTCTCTACCTCATGCATCATCATCATCGAAGGGGGGTGTTGCACGTGAGGGTTGAATCATCCCAAGCTGGTCTTACAAAATGGCACGGACCGGGGGGTGTAATTGTAATCACCTTGGAAATCGCCCACCCATATCGGGTTGGCGATGGAGGATGAGCGTGGTCGTGTTCAGTCCATTCGGGGACAAACCCTGAGGATGTTATCTCCACGCAGCGGCTTCGGTAAGCTGGCATTAATGACGCTGATTCAGCCATTTCCTTATATGGAAGGTGTTTCTGGACATTGCTAATGAGGTGATGACATAATCTGACATAACCCCGCCAAGAAATTAAAAACACTGGCATCGTCGTATCCTAAACTGGTAAGACGAGGTTCAGGCAGCTGTGCTATGAGGAGAGTCGTAGTAGGAGAGCCTGGAGCGGCCGCTGCTTATCCACGCTAGCCGTGCTGCCCGTTCGCCGTTTACTAATGTTGACGTCCTCGCATCAATTGGGGGAGGTCGTCTGGTTCTGCCAGCATGGCGCAAGTCCGCGTAATCAGCTAATCCATAACTTTGTTCTAATCGATGCTCATATATGGTGGATTGGTTCACAGGGGGGAAATCTCAGTGACGTCTTCTCCGTGCCTTTCAAAGCACATTAGGAGCAACGTCGGGCACACCCGAGACCTACAAATACTGGGTCAACATCTCCTCTCGATCATCCCCCTCAAACTCGTCTCCTTCCACTACTTATCATGTCCCCCCGTGTCGCCATCGTCATTTATACCCTCTACGGCCATATTGGCAAGTGTGCGTGCCCTGACTTTGTGATTTAGTCCTGGCGTCGTGTTGATTATCAATCAAGTGGCTGAGGCCGTCAAGAGCGGTGTCCAGTCTGCTGGGGGCCAAGCCCAGATCTTCCAGTACGTGCCTCCACACAATAGGCTAGGCTCTAAACAAATCACGCCGTTAGAATCCAGGAAACTCTCTCTGAAGAGATCTTGGCCAAGATGCACGCCCCGCCAAAACCGAACTACCCCGCCTTCGCACCAGGAGACCTCGCCAACTACGATGCCTTCCTCTTTGGTATCCCCACACGTTACGGAAACTTCCCCGCTCAGTGGAAGGTAGGCAGTTACCATCAGTTGCTGCTGCGCGCATTTCTAAATTTCTGATCGCAGGCCTTCTGGGACGCCACTGGCGGTCTTTGGGCGTCTGGTGCCCTGTCAGGCAAATTCGCCGGCGTCTTTGTCTCTACCGGTACACCAGGTGGTGGTCAAGAAAGCACCGTCATAGCGTCTCTTTCTACACTCACCCACCACGGCATCATCTACGTGCCCCTTGGGTACAAGCACGCTTTCCCACAGCTAGCCAACTTGAACGAAGTTCGCGGTGGTACGTATTTCGATGCACTTTTTTTCAAACAGAAGTCTGATTACTACGTTGCCCGATAGGTTCACCATGGGGAGCAGGCACGTTTGCGGCTGCTGATGGCTCTCGTCAGCCTAGCGCCTTGGAACTTGAACTCGCTACCATCCAAGGGAAGATGTTTTACGAGACTGTCTCGAAGCACACGTTCTAGGATGCTTGACTTGTCCACAAATGCGTTCGATGACTGATGCGTATGATGATCTTTCGGGTGTAGGATGTATAAATATGTATTTAAGTTGATACGTGTACGACTTTATGCAACATGCCTTGGCATTACAAAGCTCATCATCATCCAAACTTCTACTCGCTGCTGTTGTTCATGAAGGGCTGATTCGTGACAGTAGCATCCAGTGTAAAGGAATTAAAGTTGAGCTGGATTTGAATTCTGAGGCAATTCCGGTCATTGCCTCGGGACACACTGATAGTCGGAGTTAGGCCTCACACGACAGCAACCAGCGTGAAAGGCTTGCGCCTGACCACGTTAAGTCAGTGCATATCAAGGATCCGCGCCGCAGACATTTTCACAGCGCTGTTACCAACAAAAGTCGGGGAGACAGTGGGGGACTCATGACTAAGAAGTAATGGTTCAGCTCAGAAATGAAGTGACGGGTCACCCTAATCAAAACAACGTCAGTGAGCTTGAACGTCAACAGAACCAGTCGCCACATTGCCTAAATCGGTGGGCAATCCAGATTAATTCACACTTGAGGGTGAGAAGGACCATGGAAGTGTACGGACATTAGTGCCAATGCTTGCAGTAGCACACAAGTCAGCCCTGTTCGATGAGTACTGGTGGCGGTTTTTGACACCAAATATAGTAGTTCTGGTGATAAGCACGATCGAAAAGCTTTCCTACCATTCATAGGAGGAGCACGACAACGAGATACAGACACAAAGCAAGTGCATTGCATACTACAAGCCAACACAGGCGGGGACGTGGGTGAACTACTTGTCAGGGTGCACAGGGGCTGCTTGGGAACGTACGTTACTATCAAGAAGTCGTCGCCAGCATGCCCGGGGACTTCGCGAAATACGTACCGAGCAGGGAACCGAGCTGACAGCATGATAAGACTCGCCTAATAATTACAACGTCGGAAGACACAGCTAACCGGGGCCGACGATGGATGCGATGATCGTTCTCAGCGACTTCTCGTTGGCCACACTAGCCACAGCGTGCCCAGAGTCGGTGGGGAAGGAGTAACAACGTCTGGCCTATGGTATCGAAACCTACAGAGTGCACCGGTGCGCATTCTTATCCGTGTTGGTGGAGTTTAACAGGTAGAATGGGTGTGAAGGGACTGGGCAGGACATAATTACACAGCCTGGTGTGCCCTCGATAATCACGTGTGAAAGGGGTGAAAGATTGATCAAACGTTACAGGCACAGATTCTCGTCAACTGCGAGGGCAGAATTGGTAGAACCCTGTAGGTGAACGGGGAAAAGATCAGGCGAAGTAAGAGACGCAAAGGTGCCGCCTTTTTATCCTGGAACAACAACGGATTTCAGGTGGTGGCAGAGAATGTTGCTTAGATGTGTACCAGCGAAGGAACCGAGAGCCGAAACATGCGTCATAGTTTTAAGTAAACGGGAGGAAGGCAGGGAACGTGTAGGGTCCATTGGTGCCCGGGACGGTGATGGAGAAGGACACGTTGCGACACGCGGGTCAGGCATGGTTGAAAAATAGCTGATATGATCGATTGAATCAATCAGTCTTTAAATCGGCATCGATGTATCAGAGGGGGGGTGGGCTGAAACAGATGGTAAATGGCAGATGCGGGCTATGTCAGAATGTTTTCCTGGCCGCACGGCAGGAGTTCCAAGCTCCTCATCGTCGGTCGCGAACTCGGTAGAACACCCCAAAGAAACAGAAAAGTGGGCCGAGCTCTTTTTCTGGTTTTATGTTAGTGCCTGTGGCTGTGCTCATATTATCCCCGTGTGAACATTGGGGGTTTCAATGATAGACAGTGTTTTATATACCACATTAATATCAGCTCACCCGCCTCCCATCTTGCATTCCTTCCATCATGTCCTCCAAGGGTCAGTAGCTTGGGATTCATTATCGTATGTAGAGTTGATTTGACATTGGTGCAGCTATTCGCGAATTTGATGCAAAACTTCTCCTCGCGTATTGGCTTGAGCGCGCACCTGCCGCCCATCCCAACTTCGCCCTCCCTGCCAATTCGGTCCTCACCTATCCATCTCCAAAAGTAGCCCAGATCTCTTGGGATCCTGCTACCAACGCGATCACCCCCGATAATTCCCTCCCAGGTTGGGTTCATACGACACCCCTTGTCGCGAAGCCAGATCAGCTTATCAAGCGTCGCGGAAAGGCTGGGTTGCTTGCTCTCAATAAACCTTACTCTGAAGCAAAGAAATGGATCCAAGATCGCGCCGGAAAACCACAACGAGTAAGTCATTTCACCGCCTATCGTGATCGCGTGATATGGGGCTGACGAACACGTACTCGTCCAGGTCGAAGCAATCGTTGGCACCCTCAATAACTTCATCGTAGAACCATTCCTTCCGCACCCTCAACATACGGAGGCTTACATCTGCATAACGTCTTCTCGACCAGGTGACACGATCCTCTTCTCGTCCACCGGTGGTGTCGATGTGGGTGACGTGGATGCTCACGCGCTTCGGCTTAACATCCCCGCCCTTCCTTCGGCGTCTAACCCATTCCCTACGCGTGAAGAGGTGCAGAAGACCCTTCTCGCGTCGTATGGGGCTGGAAAACGCAAGGAAGCACTCACGGACTTCATTCTCCGTCTGTACTCCGTATATGTAGACCTCCACTTCGCTTACCTGGAAATTAACCCTCTCGTCGTCCTCGACGATGGATCCATCCATTACCTTGACATGGCTGCTAAACTCGATCAGACGGCCGAATTCATTTGTGGTCCCAAGTGGTCCATCGCCAGAGATATTAGCGTGTATAACCCATCTGCTGCCGTCGCTGCCGACAACAAGATTGGCGCAGACCGCGGACCACCAATGGTCTGGCCCGCTCCGTTCGGTCGTGACCTCACGAAGGAAGAGGGTATGTTTTTTTTTGGCCATTAGAATCCCATTCATGCCTCACCCATTTTGCACAGCCTACATCCAAAAACTTGACGCGTCCACGGGGGCTTCTCTCAAGCTCACTGTTCTCAACCCCAACGGCCGTGTCTGGACTATGGTTGCTGGTGGTGGTGCGTCCGTCGTATACGCAGACGCCATCGCAGCTGCCGGTTTTGCACACGAACTCGCCAACTACGGCGAGTACAGTGGTGCACCTAGTGAGGGTCAGACGTACGAATACGCCAAGACGATCTGTAGGTGTCTTATGGAGCCCACAAGCGATTACTGATGCCCGGAGTCAGTGGACTTGATTACCCGCCCGGCCCCTCGCCCGGATGGCAAGATTCTGATCATCGGTGGCGGTATTGCCAACTTCACGAACGTTGCTGCAACCTTCAAAGGTATCATTCGTGCGCTCGAGGGTGCCAAGGCTGGATTGATCGCCCACGGGGTGTGTAACGCGTGCTCAAGCACGAGATCTTCGAAGATGCTGATACCGCTTTAGGTTAAGATCTACGTGCGCCGCGGTGGTCCCAACTACCAGGAAGGTTTGAAAGCAATGCGTCTGCTTGGTAAATTCATCTACTCTTTTGCGTATAATTCTAATCGTCCTTCCTGTAGGTGAATCTCTCGGCGTTCCGATCCAGGTTTTCGGTCCCGAGACCCATGTTACTGCGATAGTCCCTCTTGCGCTGGGTATCAAATCCAATGACCTTGCACCCCAACCCATTCCCCCCACACCTGTCACACCCGCCACCTTCCCTGCCACACCGTCTGTTCCTTCTTCGACCGCTGCGCCGACGCCTAGTCAAGTGGGCATGATCCACGAAGACGGAGAACGCACTCAACCAGACGATGTTGTCATTCGCTTCGAGAGTGCCGCGACCGAGAATGGTCATGCTGCTAGCCGGCCTTCATATCGCCCCTTCGACGCCGAAACTCGTGCATTTGTTTATGGTCTCCAACCCCGTGCTATTCAGGGCATGCTCGACTTTGACTACTCCTGCAAACGTTCCCGGCCCAGTGTGGCTGCTATGATCTACCCCTTCGGCGGCCATCACATCCAAAAGTTCTACTGGGGTACACGGGAAACGCTTTTGCCTGTCTACACGTCACTGGCTGAGGCTGTTGGCAAGCACCCTGATGTGGATGTCGTCGTCAACTTCGCCAGCAGCCGTAGTGTCTACTCCAGCACTCTTGAGTGCCTCGAGCACCCTGGAATCCGCGCGATTACTTTGATCGCCGAAGGTGTACCAGAACGTCAGGCTCGTGAACTGTTGTGGCGTGCCAAGGATAAGGGTGTTCTCATCATCGGCCCTGCTACTGTCGGTGGTATCAAGCCTGGTTGCTTCAGGATTGGAAACTCTGGAGGGTGAGCCTTTCTTTTTCTTTCGGTGTCCGTAACGCATTATTGACGGTTTGAGTACAGGATGATGGACAACATTATCTCATCGAAGCTATACCGCCCTGGTTCCGTCGGCTACGTCTCCAAATCTGGAGGCATGTCCAACGAGCTTAACAACATTCTTTCGCTATTCACAAATGGAACGTACGAGGGTATTGCTATCGGTGGTGACCGTTACCCCGGAACCACCTTCATCGACCACTTGCTCCGCTATGAAGCCGACCCCGCTTGCAAGATGCTTGTCCTCTTGGGTGAAGTTGGCGGTGTCGAGGAGTACGCTGTTATCGACGCTGTCAAACGCGGCGAGATCAAGAAACCTATCGTTGCATGGGCTATTGGTACTTGTGCCAAGATGTTCACCACCGAAGTCCAATTCGGCCATGCAGGCTCGATGGCCAATTCCGATTCCGAAACTGCCGATGCAAAGAACCGTGCGATGCGTGCGGCCGGATTCATCGTTCCCGACACTTTCGAGCAGCTTCCTGATGTCCTGCGTGCGACGTACGCCAAGCTTGCGCAGGAGGGCACGATCGTCCCCGCCCGGGAGGTTGACCCCCCTGTTATTCCGATGGACTACAAGTGGGCACAGGAGCTCGGTCTAATTCGCAAGCCGGCAGCATTCATTTCGACTATCTCTGATGAGCGTGGTCAGGAGCTCATGTACGCTGGCATGCGCATTTCCGATGTATTCAAGGAAGAAATTGGTGTCGGTGGTGTCGTCAGCTTGCTCTGGTTCAAACGCCGCCTCCCTCCCTATGCGACCAAATTTATTGAGATGGTTTTGATGTTGACGGCTGACCACGGTCCTGCTGTCAGTGGTGCGATGAACACGATCGTCACGACTCGTGCAGGCAAGGACTTGATTAGCAGTTTGACGAGTGGTCTCTTGACGATCGGAAGTCGGTTCGGTGGTGCGTTGGATGAGGCGGCTGCGATGTTCAGTTCGGCCAAGGATCGTGGTTTAACGCCCAGGGAGTTTGTCGATGAGAGCCGCAAGGCCAACAGGCTGAGTGAGTAGTTCTATTGGACAATTGCGTGTGTGGTGTTGACCATAGACGTAGTCTCCGGTATCGGACACAAGATCAAGTCTGTCAACAACCCGGACTTGCGTGTCGAACTCGTAAAAAGATATGTCATGGAAAATTTCCCCTCGCACTCCTTGTTGGACTACGCTCTTGCTGTTGAGAAGGTGACGACGGCCAAGAAGGATACGGTGAGTTTCTCAGCTTGATCGTAGTAAATCAATGAGGTAGGGCGAGGGTTGTTTCGATGCCTGGACCGCGCTGTCATCGTATTTGTGGTGGTGTTAGTGCGGATGACTGATGACCTCTTAGCTGATCCTGAATGTTGATGGGTGTATTGCCGTCTGCTTCGTTGATCTCTTGCGCGACTCCGGTGCGTTCACACCTGAGGAAGCCGACGAGTACATCAAGGCGCGTATTTTTACAATTCAATTCCTGCGTCCTGCTAACTCGAATGGGTTTCTCACAGATCGGCACGCTTAATGGTCTGTTCGTGCTCGGCCGCTCCATCGGTTTCATTGGCCACCACCTCGACCAGAAACGTCTCCGTGCACCTCTGTACCGTCACCCTGCAGACGATATCTTCATCAACATGGCCGACGTGCCACAGCCGAGGGTGTTGGGCAAGATGCAGTAAGGAAATTCCTGACTATTATTCGGAGTAGCCTACGCTCCATTCGCCGAGGAAAGAAACAGAAGTACGAATCTTGTTTGTTTGGACGTGGTACATGTTAGAGCGACGACTCCGTCATGATTTTACAGTGTTTTAGAACAGACGTTTGAAAATGGTATACGTACATCATTGTGTTGACGAATCCGTTTTTGTAATACCTTGCAAGTAGTTTTCTGCGATAGATCACGGATTTTTGTTCGCATTGCGTGATAAGATTTGCTGTAATACTTAGCGTGTCTACGTGGAACGTAGGGAACTTAGGCACATGTGCCATACTGCATGACAGCACGAGGACATCTGAAAGTGTGATTGCACATGGCATGAAATAGCCGAACTATTCGGAACTTTAGCACACAAAACATTTTTCACCATGAAGCGGCGGATTGAACGTACAAACACAGCACACATACCACATAGCGCATATGCCCGGCACCCAAGCACCAGTGACCAGTACTGCACAATTGGACAACTGAGCACTGTTGCGAATATTACCGACCTTAAGGGTATCACAATGCGAAACGAAAGGACACGGAACTGGTATATTATTCAGGTACATCACCCAAGCAATGCATAATCTAACTAAAGTAATTAGGCATTGACGTTAACGGGCATGCAACCCATGTTGGCGGTGCCGAGCTGAAATGGGTTAAGTGAGATCAATCTACTGCACGTGGATAAAGCAACGTACGAAGGTGTTGTCAGTGCAGCAAACGGGCTGAGTGCTGCACTGAGCACCGCTGCCAGTACCGGCAACGGTGACAGGGGTACAGCTAACACCGACGAGAGCACTGACGGGGACGGAGGCAGCGACAGCAGTGAGGCCGGACGCACTGAACAAGTTCTGGACCTACAGCAAGCGGTTCAGCAATGTCAACTAAATATCAGTGAAAACATCACATACAGTCTGGACCTGGCTGCAGCACGAGAGAGTACCGGTGTTGCACTGCGAGGAGCCACCACGAACTTCGAGGGGTCCAGCAATAGCAAGAGCAGCGAGGGCAGCAACGGCGAAGATGCGGGAGAACATGACGATTGTTTAGAGAGTGACGGGGTTGAGTTGGCTCAAGAGAGTGTGTTGTAGTTGGCAGAAGAACGACGAGTCGATGAAAACTCAGCTCCCCACTACCATCCTTATATACGTTTTCTGGGTCCGTTTATCGCTTAAAAGTCGGTTTTTGTTCCGTTGACATGTCAGAGTAATAGTATGTAATTAGCACTGAAGCCGAAGTATGCTGCCATGCATGTCAGGGTTAATGAACCTGAAAGTTCGTAAGTTGTGTTACCGGCTTTGGTAACTCGGCACGGGCCACTATTAGTCGCCAGCATCTGCAAAACTACCCGAGGGAGTGAGCAGGTTATACCTGCCTCCGTTTGGAAGTGACTTGTCGTAAGACTCGCTAAGACACTTGTTGGCCAATGAGAGAGCTCGCTCAAGTGCGGAAGAGCTGTTAACAGCCGCGTCGCGTAGCTGTTTCCCAGATGCACGTTCTCCGTGCTTACCTTCGAATCTAATACATATTCAAGTATTCCCGACGGCGGTCCATGGGTCTATCTGCTCCAAGTCCTAAGCTTGGAGTAAGTGGTCCTTCAGAAACGTTCCAGAGGCTCAGTCGCAACACGAATAACTCGTGGTAGGTGTATGGTCTTGACATGTATCCAGTGCCTGTATTTTTCGCGCTCGGGTTTCGAGAATTCTTCCAGCATCAGTGAAACAACAGCCGAAGCTATCAAAAATTACCATGTTGTTACTGAACTACCAGTCATCAGTATACCTAAGTGCTCGAAAAGCTGCTTTTCGAGCACTTAGCTTTTCCGCATTTAGACTAGCAAGATTTTATGCTCAGCGGCGATCTGTCTTTTGGGTCGCCGAGGGGCACAATACACGGGATCTCTCGTTCTTATGAGGCGCATTCGGGTGGCACCGTTATCCCCCTTTTGCGTGACCTCACTGGTTGAGTATGGTGTCATACCTCATGGCCCTTTATTATCTGGTGTGCAGTAGTTACAAAGGATCCATCTCCTTTCTGACCTGTCCTACTGCATTGCCAGGTAAGTTACACTCCTCACTTATTAGATCTCCTTTTCTGACCTGTTGTACCTCATTGCCAGTGCCATTTTTGCTATAATTATAATTAATTTATTGATTGCTGTGGGACACTACCTCTGGGTAGTGTGCAATTAGGGGGAAAGCTGTAGGGTAATCCCTAGGCTCAACCCAAGGGGTGCTGAGTAGGAAGGAAACATAGAATATGATGGTAGAGTTGATTGGGAAGTTGAATGTAGGGTGCAGAATTTAACTCTGCAGTGTTGTAGATGATTTGGGTCTGAATAGACTTGTTCATGAAATTCCAAGTGATGATCTTGGCATGAGGAAGTAATTTGAGACTCATGAGACATGAAGGTGAGACACAGATACACAGGGGACACAAAAGACACAGTAGACACAGATGATGCAGCAGACATGTTGAACACTTAGACACATGAATGACTCAGATAGTGACTCCAAAAGATGGGTGGTATTTTTCCATTGCTGAGGCAGAATTATATAGTACATGGAGAGTAAGGTACTGATCAGGATAATGTGGGGTGGGTGAAGTAAAAATTCTGAAAAATAAAGGGAGATGTGACAGATGTCAACACACTACAGAATCATGTGAAAACAAACTGAAAAGCAGTAACTGAGAGAAACAAAAGGGAAAGATGGGTATCTTTCAACAGAACAAGCATACCACATACTGTAGAGTAGTGTACATGAAGGATAGAGGCCATAGATGCAAAGGGGTTCTCACATTGCAGAGAAAGATTTGCAGGGAAGGAATGAGAGGGGTAACTGGAGTTTATTACTGATGATCTGCATGATTTCCCAGCTATGTGGTGAGGTGAAGGATGAGGCAAAGTGACTGTGGAATTCCAGATAGATGTATGTCAGGTTGATGTTGACCCAGAATTCCAGGATGATGACTGGTGTGTGTTATTGATGGACAGGGGAGCTCTGAAGGTTTGACAGGCAAGGTGGCACATGAGGCTGATGCAATAATTCCAAAGACAACAGATGTGGAACTCTGATAGGGGTTGACTTTGGTAATGGTGGAATTTTGGTGTTGGCATCCCTATTTCGGCCTCAGGGAGTATACAACTCCCTACATCACCTTCAGCTCAGCCTATGTCCACTGAAAGAAATGCCTCGGAGTCTTGGAATCCCCCCTCAGAAGAAGGGGAGAATGCATTTGAATGGGATGCTGAATGCATCAAATGGTGTGAAGAGTTCATTGACAGATATAGAAAGGGGGAAATCATCAAATCCTTGGTGTTGCTTGGAATCAGGGAGGTTCTCATTGATGCACCAGCTGTCAAATTGGGAGGATCAGAACACCTCTCAATTGCTCTCACCATCTATGTTGACATGCTTGATGAAGTTGATAGATTGACTGACAGAGCAGCCCAGCATGGAGAGCAACAGTCAAGCCAGACCTTGTCTGAAATGATCTTGGGAAGGGTTGAACAGTGAGATGAAGAAAGGAGATCAGACAAGGATGAGACTGATGGATCAGATAGGCTCTCTGAACACTCATCTCAAGGAGGAGATGATGAACAACACCCAGTTAAAAGAAAGCAAGTTGAGCTTGATGTTAGACGTTTCCCTTGGAATGAGTGGCAACAGGCACAAGTTGCCACTCTTGCAGAGGATATCAGAATGACCTTTGAACAAATTTAACTTTACTCAAAGGATCCCAGACAAGTTGTTGAGCACATCCTCTCCACACCAGGATGTCCACCCTTTCCACCCAGTCAGTGGACAAATCTTGTGCAGTGGAAATACATCAACTTGGCCAAAGTCCTTGAATTGGCACATTCCACTGAGCTTGACCCCAAACAATCCCACATTATTGACAACAAGGTTGAATTGTCCTTCAGAGTACTGAAACCTGCAGGAACCATCAAATCAGTGGCAGATCACAACACCACTTTCACAATGTTCATCAAGGCCCTTGCATTCATTTTCCCTCAACAATGGGAGGAGTATTTGGAATACCAAGAACACATTGGTTGCCTCTTCCATTCCATTGAACTGGTCTTCCATTCAAGAGTCATCAACTATGACCATGTGGTCCAAAACCATGTGTCCATCCAATGACACCTATGTGTCACTGATCCTTCCCAATTTGATGACCTTAGGACCACTTTCTTGTCCTCTCATGGCATTGGTTCCCATTCCTCTGAATTCACACCTTCAGTGCAGAGCAGATTTAGATCAGGACTGTCTGGTTGGTTCTGAGACCCCTGTCATTGGTGGAATTGTGGCCTCCATCAAAAGTCTGAAGCCAAGTGTTTCTATGCACACTGCTGCAACTGAAGAGGGTGTCATAGATCACACAAGAGACCTGAATGTTCAAAGGTGGTGAGGGTTTGAGAATGATCAAATTGCACAGGGTCAATGTTTTCATCATCAGTATGTTTGGGGACATAGTCATTCCTTTGTTAGTTGGACTGCTCTTTGGACTGAAATGGCTGTACCCTTGCCTCCACCTCCTCCTGAGGAATTTAAAAACACTGCAGCTGTTGATATGATCTCCTCAAAACCTCATCTGTTCCAGTTTATTACACCCATCAATGTTGACTGCTTCAAGGAGCTCTTATGTGATCATCCTAACTGGAATTTCATCCAGTCTATCTGTTGCAGCCTTCATGAAGGCTTTTGGCCTTACATGCATACTCATCATTGAGACTGGCCCTCTTTATGGGATAATTCTTGTCACCCCTTAAAATCTGCTGAAGAAATAGTGTTCATTAATGCTCAAGTTGAAAAAGAAATTGCCAAGGGTTGCTTCTCAAAAGATTTTGGACTGAACCTTCTACCAGGGGTGTACTCAATGCCTATACACACTGTGCTGAAACCTGGGGTTGAAGAATTCTGGCTGGTCACTGATCATAGCACTGGGGAATATGCACTGAACAATATGATCAGTTGAGAAGATGTATCAGGTGTCACACTTGATAACATCTATGATTTAGGCCAGGCACTCTGTCACTACTGCCTCACTCATCCCTTAGAACATTTGGCTGTTTGGAAAGGGATTGCCTAATGCCCATGCATCCCCTCTGGCAAATCAAACAGGTTGTCACTGTAGGGTCACACTGTTATGTTGATTGTTGCAATGTCTTTGGAGGATGGGCATTGCAGTGCCTCTGGCATGGGTTCATGTCATTAGTCCTTTGGATCATCATCTTCAAACTCCTTGTCATTTATAGCTTCCTTTATGTTGATGATTCATTTGGGTTTGCACCTGAGTCATTGACTGAATGGTATCAACCCTATTCTAAATCGCTTCCAGGCCCACTCATAACTGTTCTTCATCTGTGGGATTCACTTGGCATTCCACATGAGGAGAAGAAACAACTCTCAGGTTTGGTTCTCCCTGTTATCAGTTTTAAGGTTGACCCTAATCTCATGCAGGTGTGCATGACCCTTGAATCCCAGGAATGGCTCCTTGACCAGGTCCATTCCTTTGCACACCAGGGGACTCAACACTCACTTTGTGATTTTCAATGTCTTGCCAGCTACCTCAACTGGGCTCTAAATGTTTATCCCATGCTTCATCCAGGGCTCTCTGCCCTCTATGCTAAAACAGCTGGTAAAGAAAATGTGGGAGCTCTTTTGTGGGTCAACTGCAACCTAGTTCATGAGCTCCAATGGTTTGCCTCACATATTGAGATGTCTGATGGCATCTTTTTCCTCTCTACTGTATCCTGGACTCATTGCTGTCTTCCCACTTCCACTTTGGTGGCTCTCACAGATGCCTCTGATGATGGGTTAGGTTTCTGGTTTCCATCCTTGGGTTTGGGTTACACCTCATCTGTCCCAACTTCCTACCACTCACCCAATTTTCTTCCTGGAAGCCCTAGTTGTCCTGGCTGTGATTCAATATGCCATCCATTTCCTGCCACATGGTGGATGCATGGCTGTATATACAGATAACTTTAACTCCATGTCAATGTTCAATACCCTTGCAGCCCTCCCCCACTACAACTGGATCCTCCTCTCTGCCATTGACACTCTCCTCACTCATGACCTTGATTTCTGTGTGTTTTACATCCCTGGTCAAGAGAATGTCATTGCAGATCACCTTTCTCATGGGCATGTGTCTGATGCTGTGGCCCTTTCCCTGAAGCTTAGTGTTTTGGGTTTTACACCCCCTCAGGATGCGCTGGGGGTTGCCCCTCACTGATGAACATCTCCCCTTTGGCCAGGCAACCATTCCAGGAAGCCTGGCCTTTGGAGCATTTGATCTATGAACACTCCATAGCCCTCAGCATGACTCTTCACCCTAGCACCCAATGCACTTGTTCATCACATCTCAATTCTTACCTGACTTCCTGTGAGATACATGGATTTCCCATCTCTCCCACCCCAGACACCCTTTCCTTTTTTGTAGTTTTTATGTTCCATTACTAAGCTTATGTAAGCAGCATGATCATGTGCCTAAGTCCAAGTATGGACAGGGGTCATTTCACTCCAACATAGAGGAGGTTTTGCAAGTTGTTTTGTCTGTCAATCCCAGTTGGTGATGGGAGGTCTGTGCAATTGAGATCCATGAATAGTAAGTTCTGCTACAATTTGGTGTGTGTCACTGACTGCCCCCCACTTGCAGGATGGTCAGCTGATGACTGAAGTTTACTTGGAAGAAGTCAAGCTCCAGACTTGGTGCAGGTTACTGTCTATATCAGGCAAGTTTCCTGCTCGAAAAAAGCGACCACCTTTGGAGACCTGTAGCATGACATCAGGCTATTAGAATTCAAAAAGCACAGTGTTGGAGTCAGACAGGCATAGAGAAAACATTCTGAGTGGACTGATAAACAAATTTTCATTCCTGAATTGTGGCATGCCAAGATGTCCATGGAATTTCCAGGATTTGTATGGTGGCATTCACTTAGAAAATGTACATCAAAACTGGATAGATTGTAAACACCACTACTTTTGTGTAAGTGCCAATTTGGGGATTGACAAAAGTTCTAATCCTAATCCTAGCAAGAGGTGATTGAGGGTCAACCATCAGTGCAGCAGCATGCATTTAGTCTTAACCATTAGAGACTAGCATGATTTGTGCATTGTATACTCTGATGTCATGCTCCAAACACAACATACAAAAATTGTTAATAACAAGCTACAATGGCTGGCAAAGCTCAGAAGCCTGCAGCTGCTTGTGCATGAACTACTCAATATGCTCCAAAATCAATGAACACCCCACCCAGTCCTCCAAGTCCACCTCCTGGTCACAGGCAGCCACAAAGATGTGACATTATCTGCTGCAACAAGCACATATGTACTTGAGAGACAAGATCATTTCTCTGAACAAAAATCCTCAATACAGGAAACCATTGAGGTACATGGTCACCTATGCATCTTCCTTTCAAAGTCCTGTTGTGAAATTAATTTTATCAAGTTGTTTCAGGGTTGTGTCAAGAAGTATCTGCAGGACCACTGTGATTATACCTTGGACATGCTCAAGCATGTAGAAATATCTGTATCCTACCTTACTGAGTTTATTACTATACCTGTAGGCTACTGAGGGACTACTAGTAGAAAGTACTACAATAGCTTTTTTTGCTTGTGTAAGCACTTTATGTTCCAACAAAGCAAACTTGCTCCTTGTACTTGCATCTGTCTCTATCTCTACCATCTGTTTATGGGAAGTGCAAATGCAGCACTGGATGGAGGCCTAGTGCCCAGGCCTCAGGTCTCACCACAAGGGATGTGCAGCATACAGGCAAGTGCCAGGGGGTCTTGCACATCAGTTTGATGTGGAATAGGCCTTGATGCACTGATCCAACCTTGGTACCTTTTTTTTTCACTCATTTTCAAGTTTTTTTTGTTGATTATATATATATAACCCTCTTGGAAATGTGCTCATACCATAAATTAGAGCATTTTTAGCAAGAGAGATAAAAAATTGATTATTTTTGAAGGCATGAAATGTTTATACAAAAGTAGTGGTATTGAACTGAGTGGCACCATTTGTTGACATATCATCAGACACTGGGCATGGGGAGATGCTGTTGTTGCATTGGAAATCATACACAGGCACAATGATTTCCCATTTCATATGGGAAACATCACAGATGAATGGGATGTGCTGGATGTATTGAAATACTCAGGCACTACACATATCATATGCATTGCCTCATGTCTGCATCAACATCAAAGGCACCTGAGTCATCATCAACACAGCCATCACAGATGCAGTCAGTAAGCCCATCTGCATGATTGTCAGGCACAGAGACTGCCAAATGACTGCCAGGTTAAACCAAGCTTGAGTTCAATTTTTCACTTTGAATTTGTGTCATTTCACTTATGGCTGTGTTCCTCTAGAAGATGCAAAGCTCTAAGATTCAACATCTCCCACCAACACCATGTATGACTACATCTCTCTTTTCATGCCAATTGGGACTGGCCCAGAGCTCCATTGCTGTGTAGCAACCCATTTCCAGCTTGGTGTCCTGGTAGTGACTCAACATCCCATCTCCCTGTAGTGATCATCCCTGTTTATTGAAAAATATGACTTGTACTGCTTGTCTGGCAGCAACTATGGCCATGGTTAAGGAAGTGGCATCAGCATACCAGCAGCCTGGAGTGGGGGTGCATGATCGTCTCCAAACCTTGAAAATCTCTGGCATTAATATTCCAATGGTAAACCAGGCCCTCCTATGGCTTTCCATACCATTCTTGTGGTTCTTGCCAATCTGCACTGGTCATTAGCAGCACCATTTGCACTTGGGCTGATGTCACATACTAAATGTATTGATATCCCCAGTGGCAGGTTTGTTGAGGTGTGGTTCATCAGCCAGTGAGTAAGAGAGGTGAGCTTTATATAGACAGGAATGTGCTTGTAAGGACAAGAGACAAGGGGTAAGAAAAGATACTAGGAGCAGTACATAACCTGTCAACACTGGAAGCATGGGAAAAAATTGCTGGTTCATTAAAGGTTCGTTTTGGTTCATCTAAGGTTCATCTGGCCTTGTAGCTTCCTGAGAGATGGATCATGTCTACCCACATAAAATTTCTCAAATATATATAGAGAGGAACTGGGCATGAGCAGGGCAGCCATGAAGCACCAAGTGATATTCAATGTTGCAGAGTGGTGGAGGTGTGTGATGACAAGGTACTCTGTGATGATGGATGGTAAAAATTGTTGACCCAAGAACCAACAACATCTGACTCTGGTCACCCAGACACCTCCAAGCCAACTCCATTAGTACACCCATGCAGTAAGATTTTGCAGACAGAGAAAACTCCAAAACATGTGCACCATCTCCATATAGTTGAAGTTTGTCACTTTGTTTACAAAGAGAGGGGACTTCAAGGGGGAGGACAGTTGTGGCTTCGATTGGGAACAAGAGAGAACAATGAAACCAAAGCAATGCATCTAATGAAACCTCTGAACTCATGTCATGCAGGACATCATTCCAATCTAATAACATCCTAAGCATCTGATGATCTGCACAAACATGGTGTCTGGCACTTCTGACTTAAGTATTTACCATTGGCCATCCCCTGAAAGCACTTGTCCATTCAGGTTGCAACCAATATTCATTTCCTACTGGCCCCTGATGCTACCTGAATGCTTGTCTATAAACCTACCATTACTAAGGGTGATAGTGATATGTGTATATGTAAGTCAAAAAGCGCAGGGTATTGTCCCCATGCTCACCAAATTAAAGTCTACAAATGCATGGGATCAGTCATACTTCTGACCTGATATCCAAACTGCAAAATATTGAAATTGAGACCACACCACTCACTGATGCCTTCTCAGTCAGTACCAGGTATGTGGTGTGAAAGTCTCAAACTCCTCCTTCATGAGATCCCTCCAGGGGCTTGTCCCTTCATCTGGTTTGGTGACCTTGGCTGAAGAAGGGTCTACACTGTGTATTTTAGCTCTGTGACATGCCCCAAGCATCATAAATTCCAGTTTACAAACCAATACTTACTGCAGTTCCTCCAATGACCAATATGCTAGGACCCAGCAGCAGTGCTAGTCACCATTACTGGCATGATATGTCCACCTATGATGAAGACCCTAAATCACTGGGCAAGCTGCACTTGCACTTGCTGCCACAGTGGCAGGCTTTATCATACCTCATCATCACTAATCATATTAACCTACAACATGAAAAGCCTTGGTCTGATTCTGGTGTGACCTAGGTGGATGAAGCAATGTGTTATTTCACAGGGAGTTCATAGTGAGGATACAGCCTCAGCCATGGCATAGTGAGACTCATTGTCACTGCAAGATTGTATGAAGATAAAACAACCCTCCTTGGGAAGGATGCATGGTGCCCATGTGAATGAGATGGGGTTTCTTCTTGCCTCACAGGATGACATGCATGGGGGGGAGCCCTCCATGTGTAGACACTCCTCAAGGAAGCTGTTGCAGCCAATCATGGCACTCTCTATCTGCAAAAGCTGAGAAAATTGCCACATGCAATGACTGGGATATCAATGTATTTGATTTCCACTCAGCATTCCTAAATGGCAAACTTGGAGATGGTGAAGACATCTACATGGAGCTCCCTGAGGGCTACACTGTAGAGCAGAATTTTTCCTGTCCAGTTGGGAAGCTAAACATCACATTATATGGCTCAAAACAAGGCACACTTCGATGGTACCAGAAGCTATGTGCCACTCTTGCAGATCTTGGACTCACCAGGGCACACACAGACTGGGGGGTATTCCATGGTCACATAGGACCAGCAATTCTCATTCTTGCCAGCCATGTCGATGACTGCACTGTAACAGGCAGTTCCCCATTGTTAATTTGCTCATTCAAACAGGAGCTAAACACTCATTTTAAAATCTCTGACCTAGGGCCCATCAGTTGGCTACTTGGGATGAAGGTGACATGGAACAGAGAAGCCTGCACCATATCACTATCCCAGCAGTCCTACATTGAGGCCATTCTGATGAAATATAACCTCACTGACTGCAAGCCTGCCACAATTCTGATGGACCCCAGAATAAAACTCTCATGTGGAGAAATTCTGCAGCCAGCTGAAGAAGCTGCATGCATGAAAAATGTACCCTACTATGCTGCTGTAGGCTCCCTTATGCACCTTGCTGTTGGAACATGCCCAGACATCACATTTGCTGTCTCCACAGTCATGCAGTTCAATAATGCACCCAACATGGCTCACTGGGAAGCTGTAAAACAAATCTACAGGTATATCACAGGCACAAAAGCACTCGCTTTGATGTTTGGAAATACAGAATGAGGCCTCGAGGGCTATACTGATGCAGACAGAGCTTCACAAGAGCATTGACAGGCTATCAGTGGATACACATATCTACTGGATGGTGGAGCTATTAGTTGGGCTTTGCACAAACAAGAACTTGTCATGCTCTCAACTGCAGAAGCAGAGTACATTGCAGCAACTCATGCAGCCAAAGAGGGCTTTTGGCTTCAACAACTCATCAGAGAAGTTTTCTGACCACTCAAACATCCTATCCCACTGTATTCTGACAGCCAATCTGCCATCACACTCACCAAGGATGGCAGCTACCATGCTCACACCAAGCACATCAATATACAATACCATTTCATTCATTTCACTGTGGAAAACCATTCCTTTTGTTTAATTTATTGTCCTACTGATGACATGGTTGCTGATACCCTTACCAAACTGTTACCTAGCATCAAGGCAAAACACTTTGCATCTGCACTCAGACTCCATTCCAATTGAGGGGGAGTGTCAAGAATGTGTTCCAGAATTACAGTAGCCTCTCAGAGTTTTGCCCAGAGGGCTTGGAATTTCTCCCCAACCCTTGGAATTAAATTCCAATGTCAATGCACTTACTAATTACCATACTATAAATTTTCTGCACCATTGTTTTCCACCTCAATGACTACTTCATACACTGAGGTGAGTATAGCTAGATTCCCACTCATTTACTCAGTACTGATGTAGTGTAGAAACTCATACCTTCATTAGGTACTAATACAGTGACTACTTTGTACACTGAGAAACTCATACCTTTGTTAAGAATAACCTCCCTCTCCCATTTCTGATCTTTATGCAGATCCAAGGGGAGATCTGAATTGTTGAAATGCACTTGTGCAGGGATGGTCTGTACTTGACTTGATGAATCACTCGCTATGATAGATCTCTTGCTAGTAGATGTGGCTGATAAGCTGGACATAGAGTTGCAAGCTTGTATCTTGATCTTCTTTGGCATGCCCTTTGTAACTGTGATGCACAACTGAAAGAAAATAAAAGATGAAGGAACACAGGGAAAGGTGGTTAGTACATACCTTGGCCATGGCATTCTTGTGCCCCAAAACACAGATGGTATCATCTAGATTGCTGCAGTTATCATCAATGCCATCACCCTCAACCTCAGAGGTTGAGACATATTCCAACTTGGCTACTTTCCTCTTGACATTGGTGAGTCTGGTGGCAGTATCATTGGCCTCACAATCCTTGGCCATTGTGGCAGCACACTGAGACTACCATTGCATGAGTAAAAACTGTCTCAGTGTGAAAGATACTCAACAAGAACATTTTGAAGAGTGGGGACATCCAAAACCAGAGGTCTCACTGGCCAACTAGCTTCACCATCTTTGCAATCAGGTGGCAAGTCCAAGTTTTCTGGTAGTTGGGATTCAAACTCATAGTTGTATTGGGGGTCATTTGGCAGTGGAGAGCCAAGATTGAATACATGGAACTCAATGTTGGTAGTACTTGTAGCAAGGGTACTTGTGGATGGAGGTGGTGCAGCTGATGTGCAAGGACTGGCATGCACTTGAAGATCATGTAGAGCTTGTGTTGACAGTGTTCACCCAATTTTTGACATGCTTAGATAAAGTCAGTTTATTGTCAGAGCTAGCAGTTGTTAGGACATTCACAAAGAACAGTGTTGCCTCAGTTAGGAGGAACATGTTAAGAAGTGAGATGCACATCAAACCAGCACTAGTGCTGATGCTATTGTCATGTGTTGATGGCAGGGATGCTTTGTTGCATGTGGAGATTATCGCTTCATGCAGCAATTTCGCATTTGCTGCTTTTGTCCCTTTCCCCTTCATCACTACAGGTCCAGTGTTGTCTTCCATGTCAGCTAATAGGGTAAGTGGCTCACTCATCCCTACAAAGAAAATCAGCCTCATTCTTTCTTGGTTAAGCATGATAGATACTGCTATTTCTCTCACTTCTTTGCCCACCAACAGCATGAGGATGAGGACAAGGACATGGCTTGACTGGCTTAGCACCAGTGGCAACACCACATTGGTTGACTTCCATTTTATCCTCAATTTTGCTGATCCATTGGTAACCTTTCTTCATCACTGCAATCTTTTTGGTAAGGGCTTCCTGGGTGCATTCATCATTGGCCTCCTCCATGTCATCTTGATTGGCTGTCAAGGACAATCCTACCAGGATGCACATTAGCCACCTGGCATTTTGGGAAACCACACACAAGTGTCTCCTGTGGACACTCTGCAACTGGTTGGTTGTCCATATCTTGAAGTGCAAAGGGTCATTGGCAGTGCATGAAGTAATGAATGTATGAGTTTCTCAGTGCACAAAGTAGTGACTTTATTAGTACCTAACAAAGGTATGAGTTTCTACACTACATCAGTACCAAGTAAAGGAATGGAAGTATAGGTATGCTCACCTCAGTGCATGAAGTAGTGACTGAGGTGGAAATAATGGTACAGAAAATTTATAGTACCATAGTTAGTAAGCAGATTGACATCGGAATTTAATTCTGAAGGTTGGGGAGAAACTCTGAGCCCTTTGGGCGAAACCCTGAAGATGCTACCATAATTCCAGAATGCATTCTCAACATGAAGGTGGAAGATGAAGAGATGGAAAAAAAAGGTACACCCTGCTGCCATCTCTTTTGGCTTAGTTCAATTCTCTGTTCAGTCAGCAAATCTTTGCTGTCCCACAGTAGCCCCCATTACTCATAATTTTTCTTTCAGATATGACTCCCTGCATGAAGCCTGGCTGCTGTCAATGGTTCAGGAATAAGTCAGGCCCAACCCAGCATGTCAACCTATACCACCCAGTATTTCTGCCTATCAGCATCACTGCACTGGTAGAACAGCCAGATCAGGCACCATTGCCCAAAGAAGAGGAATTCCAGTTCCAGCCAGATGATGACTATAGTGACCCATCCACAAACCTTTTGAATCCAACCCTTTTGGCAGAATTCATTGGACCAGGCAACAAGTATTATTGGAATTATCACCCAGACCTCACCAGTATGCAGCATGGGTTAAAGAATTAAGTATTTACTGATGCATTATTCAACAGGGCAGCCTTGTGATTCATCTGGAAACCCCCTCCCAGTTGGACAGTCATCCCTGGAAACTCCTTCTGAAAAGCAACCTAGCAATTGGTCACCATACTCCAATCATTTGGAGTTTGAGCTAGCTGACTTTCTGTTCACCTGCAGCCAATATCAACAAGTTACTAGATCTCTGGAATGTGACACTACTCAGTGCTGGCAGCCAGCCTGTCTTCAAGGATAGTGCTGAAATGTACAAGATGATCAATCACACTATACTTGGTGATGTACAGTGGGAGAATTTTTGCATATCCTATACCAGTGAATGGCCAACTAATAATGTGCCATCATGGATGAATGCTGCATATGATATTTGGTTCTGGGACCCTAAAGATGTTATTCACGATATGCTTTCCTGACCCAAGTTTTGGGTGACATGGATTACTGGCTGTTTGGGAATATGAGAATGTGATGGACAAGAGACAATGGGAGGAGTTCATGTCTGGTGATTGGATGTGGACACAAGTGGTGCATCATTTATCTTCTATGTCTCTGAGTGCTGTACTAATGGCATGCAAATAACAGGATATAATTTCTTGTGATTCAGACACACATGTGTCAACCTTCATTCCAATCATCCTTGGCAGTGGCAAGATGACTGTGTCAGTTGCAACTGGTCAAAATGATTATTATCTCCCCTCTACCTTTCAATAGGTAACATAAGCAACAAAGTCCATCATGCACATCACAACAGTGTCACTCTCATCACTTTCCTTGCAATCCCACATAGTAAGTGCATCTGATAGATTCATAGGAAAGTAATGGTGCTAATGAGAGATATACTTGTAGCTGACAAAGAGCATGCACCCATGATGTGTTCTGACAATGCAGTTCAGTGATGGACACTATTACCACATAACTTTTGGACTCAGCCCTTACATTCGCTGATTACAAGGAGCAAGTCCTTCTGGCATGTATTGTGTGAGGATGGTGTGCAAAGTATGTCTTTCTACTTTCCAACTCTTACTATCAACTAACTAGAATCTCAGATGTCTTGCAGTGAGGCAGGAACTCAGATACTGATGCACTTTATCAGAGTCATGGACATGCAGAAGCACTGATTGAGGAGTTTGATCTCAAGACCTTATGGGATGTGTGTGGCATTGTGGGTGATATAATTGTAAGTATTGTTTCACTTAGATTCTACTGTGCCTGTGTCCTGAAAACTGATTTCAGCTGTTCACCAGCAGCTGTCCCTGTGCCAATATATACCAACTCATCACCCCTGACATACTACACCAGATCATCAAAGGGACATTCAAGGATCATTTAGTTGAGTGGGTTGAAAGCTATTTGAAGACTGGGCATGGCACAACAAAGGTGAATGCAATCTTAGATGATATTGACTGGAGGTATGTCTGCTTTAATTTACATTTCTTTCTTTCCTCATGTAGGATACCTTAGAATCACAGCCATTGTGCCTTTCACAGGGCTCCATCGCTTTCCTGAGGGCCACCATTTCAAACAGTGGACTGGCAATGAGCTCAAAGGTGCTAATGAAGGTAATTTTAGAATGGGTTATTTACTGTCTGTCATTAACAATTGACCCATAGGTGTATCTACCTGCCATTGAGGGACATGTACCAACAGAGATTGTGTGAACATATCACACTTTGTTGGAGTTCACATACCTGGTCCATCACAATGTCTTCACTGAAGAAACCTTGGTTGCAGTTCAAGATACCATTGACTGCTTTCACAAGTACTGGGAAATATTTCTCCAATTGGGAACCATTCAAACCTTTTCCTTACCATGCCAGCATGTGATGAAATGCTACCCTGATCTTATACATTTATTCAGGGCACTGAATGGACTTTGCACATCAATGACTGAATCAAAGCATATCAATGCTGTGAAGGACCTGTACCAGTGGACCAAGCCGCTGGGCCAAATGCTCATCATCAATCAGCACTTAGATGAGTTGGCAGCCTCAAAGGGATTTCAATGAATGAGGGATGCTAGAGGGACACTGCCTCATGGCAACTATACAGCTCCTTTTGACTCAAGTTTAGTCATTGGACAATCATATTGATTTTCATCATATTCACATGAAGTAAACAGATGGCAGAGAGAATGGTGGTACATCACAAGTCCTAGGTTCTGGTCCCTATAACAAAGACAATGGTGAGGCTGTAGACTGCCCAATGTCCATGGAGGCACATGTTGAACTTGCTCGCACCACTCATATGTACCTTATTAACCTGAGTATTGCAGCAGCTCACAATCAACCTCTTGTGTTCAGAATGAAGTGGGCCAGAACTGTGACAGATCTTGCAATTGAACTCAGTCTATTGTGTCTCCCTACCATTTTGGAGGAGTTCCTGTGTCAACAAGCCAATGCTGAAGACTGCTGTGATCTCTGCAACATTCTACTATCTGAGCACCCCATCTACAGCAACAAAATCACTGTCATTGATGTTAGAGCACAGTATGCTGTCCAGTCGACACTGAGTTGATTATGTAATATGTTAGGTACTTAGTTTACACTGCATCTTACCTTACACCTCAGACTTTGTCATTTCAAGTCTGAGGTACAGTGTTATTCCACTACTAAAGTACACCTTTCTTTACTCACTACCTACGCAGTTCTGTGTCTAGGTTAGTAGATAATAAAGACTTTGTCATTTCAAGTCTGAGTTCTGTGTCTAGGCTAACTTGGGTAGCCTTCTGCTCTCACCCTACCCACAAAAGTTGATTCTGCAGCTGCACTATTCTATGTGCCAAGTGATATCAGTGGTATTGGTGGCATGCAGCATGAGCATATCATATCTGCTTGTGTCATTTGTGGCAGAACAGGCCACCCCAGTATCACTGTGCATTTGTGAATACTAATCTAGGGCTGAAGGGGATGCAAGGTTTGGACATTGTGCATATCCTTGGGTTTTTTTCCTTCATTTCCCAAAGCAAGTGTTGCCCATGTGCAGTAGTGCAGTGGTTTCATCATGTTGGGGATGACCCAGGGATGTGGATCATATGCCCAGCCCTTACTGCAGATTGTCACCCAGCCACTGCTGACATACACATAGACATCATATATTGTGTGGCACACCTTGTTCCCTTGTATGGCACCCACCCCATTCCCAGAACCATAAGGCCACATCATTCTTATGACATATTTACCACCTTCTATATGAACAGATTTATTGATCATCATGCATTTTCACTTTTATCAGATTCATATTTGTAGTGTGCTTGATTGTATGCTTGAATTCTATAGTAACTTGACAGAAACTAAGTAGGAAGTAACTCAGCCACTGCCTGAGTATGGGCAAGATGACTGAGGTTTTGTAAGTAAGAGAGATTACATTCAGTCATGCTCAGTCAAAAATTACTTATTGGGTATCATCTCCCAGCTTGAGCCCCATTTTCCTGACATATGTTGTGTCTGGAATTCCAACTTTGTGTGCTGAACCCTACATGGGTCTCTCCATCATTTCACTCAGCCTGCTTCTCACACACAGTCACTCTTGTGGGACCATCTCCTACATGCCCTTCATTCCTGCCCTTCCCCTTTTGAATATGACAACCTCTGTTGGCTTGTTATGCTCTTCTGCAGTTTCTTTGGGCTCCTTCATGTTGGGGAATTAGTCTGGCCTGACTCTAGTGGCCTTTGTGACCATGCCTGTCTCTCATCTCACTCATCTGTATCTATTGATCAATCCTCCTTCACTTTTGGTGTACCTCAGCACAAGTCTGATGTTTGCTTTGAAGGTCACCTTATTTGCATCACTCACAGCACTCTGCTGGGTGATCCCTATACTATTTTTCTGTGATATCTTGCAGGTTGCGATTCCACCTTTCCTCTCCATCCCTTCCTTTGGCTGTGAGCAGATGGCTCTATCCCCACTTGTGCTTGGTTCTTAACTCACTTTTGCACCTTCTTCCCTGACCCCTGTTGATGCACATTAATTATATTTCTTACACCAGTAATATCTTACATAAGCACAGTCATTTCAGCACATTGTTTTTCCTTTGTGCACCTCAGCCTTCTCCCAATAGAAGCCTGAGGTGAGGTTCCTTTATTATGAGTTACAGCTATCTTACTGAAGCTATTTAGTATTTTCTCTTGTTAGGTTAGTTGTACCTCAGTCTTCTCCCAATAGAAGCCTGAGTATCTTCTCTTGTTAGTCTGTCACTACTCAGAAACACCCCTTCAGAAGGTTATGAGCCCTGCTCAGCTCTAACCACTGCAGTTTTAATTCCAGTCACTCTCTAGTTCTACAAGGTCATGCTAAACAATGTTGAATCCAACTCTGTCTATCTCAGTTGGTCCTCAGATGGGTCCTTCTACTGCTACAGTCACTACTCTGTTGTCATCTAGCAAGGTTGCTGCTCCCTCAAGTCAGCTCTATGATATTCCATTGCTTGCAGATGATGGAGGAAACTTTCAAATGTGGAAGTTTCATGTACAGAAGGTTCTCAAGATTCAAGGCCTGTGGGAGGTGGTTGGTGGCTCAGCCATGAAGGCTCCTGATGCTGCCACTCACCCAGACAAGTATATGGAGTGGGTGATGAAAGATAGGGAAGCCAGTGCACAGATTACCCTGACACTCAAGGATGAGCCTTTGAGTGGGGTCATGTATGCAAAAACTGTGTCAGAGACCTGGAAGCACCTTAGTGAACAGTATGAGGGCAAAGGGAAACAGACAATTGCCTACCTCATTGGAGAACTTTTTTGTGGAACCCTTGTTGATGATAGCCCAATGGAGACTCAGCTAAATGCAATGCAACAGAAGGCACTCATACTGAACTTGCTTGGACAGACTCTCAATGAGTCACTGGTTGCAATTGCAATGGTGATCTCCTTACCTGCTTCATACTCAGTTCTTCAAACCATTCTCATGTCAACAAATGACAAGTTGGCTGTGGACTCTGTAATCTCACAAGTCCTCATAGAGGAGAGGACATGCCAGGGCTTGCAGGGTCACTCAGCCCTCACAGCTGGAACTGGTGCAAAGTCAAAGTCTAAAGGGAAAGGGAAGGAAAAGTCAAAGATAAAGTGCTACAACTGCAAGGAGGTTGGGCATACAAAGAACAACTGCCCAAGCCTGAAAAAGAAGGCAGATGATGAGAAGACTCCATCCTCATCAGAGAAGAAAGAGAAGGGAGCAGACAAGGCTGATCTCACAGTGAAGGTTGCCCAGGTAGTTGAGGATCCAGCTCTTTGGCTGTTTGTGGCAAATGCAAGTCCAGAAACCAGCCCCTTGGAGTGGGTGGTAGACTTGGGTGCATCAGCACATATGTGCTGCCAGCGGTGGTGGTTTGCCACATTTAGGGTCTTGGAACCATCACAACTGGTTGTTATTGGTGATCCCCTGGCAATGCTGCATTCCCATAATGCCCTGCACAGAAAAGAAAGTTGTGAGTTGAATGGTGACTGGCAACTGACAATTTTCAGAGCTACTATGAAATATCAGGTGGCTACTTATTTGATCAAGGATGTGATCAAAAACTTCTGGCCATACACAAAGGCATCTAAGAAACAGATGAGGGCAATGGTCAGCAAAATGGTCAAGCAGGCTGAGCTGCAATGACCACATCAATGGTACAGCAGGTTTTTCATGAACCTGTGCACACTCTACTTTGTCCTTCAGAGCCTCAATTGCATTCAGGAGCTGTCCACACCACCTATCCCTCTCAACCATCAAGTCTGTATCATCAGAAACACTGGAGTTGGAATCCATTGAGATCAGAGAGATCAGAGAGATCAGAGACAGCAGAGTAATGAAGAGGATGCTCTGAGATGAATCAGAATCCCTGTATGTTGCAGTTGAATCACTATTATCACTACTATCAACTTCACAATGTGCATTTTCCAGCCCAGCTGTTGCTACTTCCAAGCTAGCTTCATCAAGTTGTCTGAGGAGATTTTTGTGGAGAGATTTGCAGGGCATTGTTCTTCAAGTCTTAGCTATTTAATTATTTGATATACTGCTAAAACTACTGTAATTTATTTTGAGTCCAACAGGATGCCACACTGTTCAGCTTGTTGGAGTTGAAAATGTAGTGGCCAGAACATGATTCCAGAGCCAGTGCCAGAACACAGACAGAGCACTTCCAGAGCACTTCCAGCACCACCTTGAGCACCACTACTGTTCTAAGCTCATGGTTGTGCTTGTGGACACTAGCAAAAGTAAACTCTGCATTTGGCACAACCCCAAAAACAAAAGTACATATGCCCTCCATTTTTTATGATAGATGAGTACTAATGCAGCTATAGCAAATCTGCTCACATCCAAGAGTTCAGTTATCATCAGCACCCTGCCATCATTTGACTTGAAACTGCCAAGGGGAAGCAGATCTTCTGTAGTCTTGCAGTTGATCATCTTGGACTGGGTTGACTCCCCAATCAAGAAGACTAAGCTGAAGAGGGCCACACCTGCCAGAGGTGATGTTGAAGAGGAAAACTCAGCCACCATTGACACTTCCAACAGCATTGAAGAGGTTCCTGTGACCAAGCCTGGTACTTCCACCACTGCCTCTGGGATGCAGTTTGTGGGTGTATTTTATCCTCAACAGCCTTCCAAGTCAAAAATCACAATAACTTCTGAACTTGTCATCTCTGACAATAGCTTGATCTCTGCAAGCAAGTTACCCAGTGATCACTACCTGCCCAATCAACAATCCTGAGGTGTCCAGGACAGTGAGATGGATATAGATGATGGTGAGGTCAAAAGGAATGGCATTGAGGACAGCATCTCTGACTATGCACAAGAACCACTGTCATGTAAGCATAAAGTCAAGGGCCATGAAGTGGGTGATCTGAAGCAGAAAAGGAATGGCTCACCTTTGTGTAGCATGGGCCATGCATCTAAATGGAACATGACCATAGGGTTCAAAGGCTCATTGGCTCCTATGACCTGTAGCAAGACCCACCATTGCATTCCTTCTTCACCAATGTATATTTCATTGGAGGATGCTTTTGTGTGGAGAGGTACTTGGTCTGATGTTCCACTGGATACTCACAAGGAGTCCATTCAGACTGTGCAGGTGCTCCCCCCCCCCCCAATTATTCCTGACTCTACTGTCATTCCTGGTTCTGCACAGGAACATACTTCATGCAATATTTGGGACTCTCACAAGGAGGCTGCCAACATTCTGAAGGTGATCATCCCAACCATTACCCTGGGCAGCTCTGTTGATTGCAATGTCTCACCTACTGACTCTGATAATCTGTCCATCCCCATCACTTCTCTCCTTGAACCCTCTGCTGACACCATTATATGCAGTAATACTCATTTACTGGACACTTCTGTTATGCTTGACTGAAGTCAAGATGTAGGGAGAGCTCAAATGCAGACAATGGGTTTCTACTGAGCAACAGTTGCAGTAACCTTTGTAAATGACAAAGGATTTGGTCAATGCTGGTAAGAGTGATCCAGGTTAGGGATACTGAGGGCAAAGTTCTGAGAGAATGCTGCATATGATTGAGCAGCTCAAGCCTGGGTTTCCAGGACTTGAGCCAACAGCTTAAATACTGTACAAGAGACAGACCATGAGGCATCCACATGTAACAAGGTAACTATGCAATTGGTGGAGATAGAGAGCCATCAGATCAGAGAAGAGATGGCTCTAAAAGGAAAGATAGTCCAACAGATCAAACATGAGGTAAACATAACATGAAAAGAGAAAACAGGGGTGAAACATAACATTACCTCCTTTCTAAGCATTGAAGTCCCCAACTTCAACTACTCTCTGTAAGGCTCTCTGGTCATGTTGCTAATGGTGGAGTCATCAAAATCAAAGTCATTGTCATACAAATCATTATCCTCACTCCCAATGAGGGTATGATCATCTACCACTCCAGGGGTGGCAATTCTTTCTTGTAATGGCTGGCAAGGGTGCAAGGATGGGCATTGAGCCTGAGTATGTCCAGGACAAGTGGCATGGCAAAGTGGGCACTCATAAAGTCCACAGTTAACACAGATATGACCAAGACAGTGGCAGACATAACACACTTGATGATAGTGTGGATTGGAAGGAGTAAGAGGGCAATCAGTCTTGGTGAGTGCATTCAACACAGGAGATGGGGGCAACTGTGCAAGGGTTTCAACAATGTTTAAGATGTAGTCAAGTTCAGCTCTGGAGATGCCAAAGGCAGTCTCAGGGTCAATTTCAGTGGAGAGTCATGGGACTCACAAGGCTGTGGATTAAGGCCTGACAAACAGCAGGCACAAGGTCTGTCAG